ATATCTCCCCCTGTTTTGGTGCATGACTGATTTGAATTGAAAGATTCGTCTTTATTCGCGCGAGGCTTCTCTCGGTAACAATTCGATTATGTTCATCGAATATCTCCCATCACCAGTTGTGTTCATTGGAACCTCTGGGGAAGATTCTCTCTTGGTTTATACATACGATAACATTCTGTACCATTATATCATTAATTCGACACAACCTCAAATCACTCTTGTCCCTGTTGGACAGATTGCTTTCCATGGAATTGTTCGGGCGCCCTCTCGCGTCCGATCGATCAGCTGGGTATTGCCCGAGGAGCAGATGCGTGAGTTAACTTGTTTTTATGCAGTTGTTCGAGCACAACACTGACAGCAAAGCAGGAAACGGTGATCCATCTCAAGATGTGAAGGTCGCATCTGTGCTTCTTCTTGTGGACGGCAATTTGGTATTGTTGCAGCCCACGGTCTCAGATGCCGGTGACCTCAAATACGACATGCGCGTCATATCCCATGATGTCGAGTATTATATCTTGATGCGCGACCAAATCTCCTTCAACTTTTCCTTGCAGGTTGATGAATCCCTACCTGCTAGTCCTTCGGTTGATATAGCACTAGAGCCACCTCATAGTAGTCTGTCGCTCAGGGACTCTCTTTGGATGTTCCGTGGTCAAAACCTGCTTGCTTGGAATGATGTTCAAGATGTATTGCGGGAGGAGATGGTGCCGGCACCACTCGACATCCCCCTGGACTTTTATCCATTGTCTGTGTTGCTGAACAAAGGAATTGTGCTCGGTGTTGAATCGGAAATGATGCAACGTCGCGATGTGACCTTCACTGTCCTGAAATTTGCCATTCGGGTAAGTTGTTTTCTCTATCGATAACAATTTGTACTGACATATGCACCTCAGACACACCTCTTCTTACCATATTTCCTTCAATATGGCCTGGCGAGTGTCGGAACGCCCGCGGCTCTCGCTCTCTGTCGCCATTTTTCACATTTGTCTTACTTCGCTCATGGATTGGAAATTCTACTCCACCACGTGCTAGACGACGAAGTGGATAATGAGAGCCGAGCGAATAAAAGTGACAATCCCCAAGCACGAGCAGAACCACTACTCCCAACTGTCATTGCTTTCCTTCAAGCCTCGCTTCCCGCCAGGGATTACCTTGAGATTGTTGTACAATGCACACGAAAAACGGAGCTTCGCTCATGGCGCACACTGTTCACTTACCTGCCTCCACCCAAGGATCTTTTTGAACAGGCTTTGAAACTCGACTCCCTCAAAACTGCTGTTGGATACCTCCTTGTGCTGCAAGCCTTCGAGGATGAAGAGCATGGGCATGATGGCCGCATTGAAGAATATGTTGTTCGTTTGATTGCTCTCGCCTCCCATAAGGGAGACTGGGAGCTGTGTGCTGAGCTAGCCCGCTTCCTCATTGCGCTGGATGCTTCGGGTGAGATGCTCCGGCGCGCAATTTCCCGAGTTGGTCTACGACCCAACTCGCAGCCTTCTGCCAAAGGCACATTTCCCAACTCGGCACCCCGATTCGGTCCCGCAGGTGTTCAAGGTCTTGGCTTGAACCTCCCAATGAGGTCGCCATCATGGGCGTCCCTTTCTCCAACATCGTCTCTTTCGCCTCTTCCCAGCCGGCAAGATGGTGATGTGTTAGATGAAGATTGATATTCAGCGCATGGGCAAGATAGATAATTAAGGTGTTGATAGAACAATCAGATAATAATTGAACAACAATCTCTTGGTTGCTTGGTGACAAAAGATAAGCCATTACCGAGATGACTCGAGACCTTGCAAATTCGCGAGAGCCACCTCGGTTATGACAATATATACCAGACTCTTTGAATAGGAAATATGATATTCATTTGATAGAAAGCACTATCACGATGCAAGGTGCTTACAGATATATCCTATAATAATCTCCTGATGCCTGCCCTGGTAATTTTCCTTCCTGTCTGACTTTGACCAACAGCACACAGGTTACAACCCAGGAACTGCTCGCCTGCTTCCCGAGTGAGGGCTTTTAAATTCGTTCGCATTTGCCTGAATTGCATCTTCTTTTCTCCGTAGGCATATTGCAATCTCCATTAGAGGAACAGGAGTCACCTGGGCATTTATGTTGGCGTCGAGTTGATACATGGCCATTCGTGTTTGCCACTAGGTAATTGATATCAACAACTTCGCACTTGAGACTCTCCACTTGACCGCCGACATAGGCTTTTGGGTGTTTATCCGATTTAGATGCCTTGAACATGTAAGAATGGGAGCGATCGAAAACAACCAATTCACTTTCGCATCTTTCACCACTGACTCGAATAATTAACATCAATCATAGAGAATAAAACTGGATTTATAACCTACCCGTAAAGTGTGCATATCTTTTTCTTGCCTGATGGCGCTTCACAGGGGATATATACGGACCCGACGTTGCGATGACTAGCAGAGATTATTAGCCCAGGACAAGGACAACCAGTCATGCACGTACTACTCTTTGTCAAGTTTTTGACATGTCCCGTCAAGATTTAGGTCCATACTGTGACCCTGGAAGCCCTGGGTCGTGTAGACACGGGGCTTCGGGCAAATATCAGTCTGGCCAAAAAGCCACCAACGGATGAAACACCAGAGCAAAGGCTATGACACTGCAGACTAGCATGACCGAAGATAAAAATTAGAGCTCCAGGAGATAAATAGAGTTGTGAAAAGCATATTGGCAAGTAGAAATATACATCATGCCTCAAGGCCGGGTGTAAGTCCGGGTTGACGGGGGTCTTGCGTAAGGGCTACTCCTACTAAAATAACCCGAAGACAGCTCTGAGGTTAATTATCCTAGTTGCTGAGCTCATTATTCTCTATTACTATTATATATAGTACCAATTTTAAGAAGAAGGATGTAACCTGTACATTAGGCATCAATTATTGACCAGAAGAGACAATCAGAAAAACTTCACTTAACATAATCAACCCATTTATGTTGATGCAATAGCAAACAGAACTTCTACTGCGATCAGAAAGGATTTATCAAAATCGTAGCACTATTAGCCAAATATATCAAGCCATCGAACGGAGGCTCTATTCCTAACACCTCCATGTCAAATAATTAGCTCGAAACTACAAGAGTTACCTAATAAAGAACTATTCACAGCCACAAAAATTTATGCAGTGGTGTCAAGCAGTTAGCATACGGATAGCCTCGATATCAAATCGCAGGTGTATCTCGTACTCACGGCCGATAGTGTGAATTCTAGCAATCCGACGGGTACCTCTCTCCCAAGCTCCGAGCACAACGCATGCCGCTGCCTTACCTAGCTGTGTACCTAGAAGCTCTCGATACTCCTCGGTACCATACTCCCATGCGTGACTCTCAAGACGATCACGCGTAGGCCAATCCAAATCATGTCTCGGGTAGAGGATTTCCTGCACATAGGGCAGGGTCTCTTCATTCACGATATTAGTAAAATAAAGATATTTGAGAGTATCGATGGGGTGGTCAAAACTATATTGAGCGATAGCGACATTGGACCAATGAGGCCCCGTGTACCTGTAAATACATTCAGCAATTAGAGCGCCTTTTGCGAAGCTATGTTGATACTGGGTTTCCTTTTTGTCGCCATCCTTGTTATAGCCATAGTGGAACAGTCGTGTGAAGCGGTATTTTTTGTTTGTTATTGGGAGTCCTAGGTTTTTCAAGTCATCCCTGATGGATTTAGGTGGGTCATCAAAATGGTTCACTGGACATGTAAATCTTTCTCTCTTATTGCTGTTATTGAACAGATCGAACAATGTCTGTCTCGCTTGCCCACAATGGCAGCCGCCTAGAGTTGGGTTGGCAATCCATGCTTGGTATGCAGCTCCTTTTTCATGGAACCCACAGACTTCATCGTCCGACAGTGGGGGCTTTTCATCACCTAAAGGGCTATTGAACGCAATTGGAGTCATTCCATTACTCGATGTACTGCTATCATCGGGAATGGGATACAGGAGAGGAGATGCTGAAGGTTCTGCGATTCCTTGCGAAAGTACTGGGGACTCCGGGGATTTGGGATTCAGACGCCGCCGAGTTGGGGAGCGAGAAGAATCACTGTCATCATCGTGGCTGCGCCCCCGTTTGTGTAGATTTGGCTTATGTGGTTTAGTTGGTCTGCGTAGCCCTGCTGGTCGATATGCCATTTTACAGTCCCGCGGTTTGTTTTGTGTTGTGCAGAAAAGATAGACAATTCGGGTGCCGTTATATTTTGTAGAGATATTATCTCAGATGAATACTTGTAATGAGCAAACGAGAAACAATATGCTTATATAGTGCTGATGAGTTGGCCTTCATAATATGTTGGATGGGGCTATTGAAAGAAGAAAGAAACAAGCCCTCGACAGAAATAGAACACCCAAGAGCTCACCCAAGTCATGAATATACCAAGACGTCAGAAGATTGTATGTACAAAGAGAGTAGATACCCGCGACAAAGAGCACAAAAATAAATTCACAAAGAGTTCGAGGCAAAACAAAGCGAAACAAATTGCTTTGTTGGGACAATACTATTCTAAGCTATAGGCTATATTAACCCCCAAGCTATGGGTGAGATGCTTGTAATAATAGGTGCGGTCTATGATTGACACAAAATTATTCTGAGAGATTAATTTTAGAATAGATGCCCTATAGAGCGAGTGAGATAGATACAGGTTATGAAGTGCAGTGCCGGATGTGGTAATTGACCAACTTGAGCATCAAGAACAAGCGTCCGAAACAGCTAGTTCCAATAGAAACAATCAAATTATATCACAAGACAAGATGGATATCCTTCCAGCCTAACTCTTGAGAGATGCACTCGTATTCGCATATTCGGTTGAAATACTGCGACATATGTTGGCTTAGGTAAACCTGGAACTGCTTGGAGGTTGCTGTGTACAAAATCACTGTTGTCCCTGTAGCAATCCTGGGCAATATCCGATATCCCACTTCCACCCTCCCTCTTTGACAAGATATCTCGCCCGTATTCATATCTTACTGCTAGTAAGATGGAACATGCACTGCTCGCAGTCCTGTAAATATCTCCCGGCTACGTGTGCCTCCTTCTTGTCCTGTGCCAGTCGCCCTGATGTCGCTGAACCCGGCCCCGAGCTCACGCCCGAGCCAGCAGCCGCCCCACACCAACGCTGCATCGAGATGTTCTCCGACTCGGCTCATTCGCGCCAGGTCGTCGGTCAAGATAACAGCTCCCATTCCATTTGAATTGTTATTGCACAACTTGACTGCTTTCTCTTCTGTATCAAATGGCAAGACAGTGGCCACAGGCCCAAAGATTTCCTCCTGTACCACGGGACTATCAGTGCGCACGCTGCTCAAGACTTTAGGGCTGATCTAGAAACCATCCTCCGGGACATCATCGGGGATCCTGCCAATCTCAAACCTGGCATGTTCTTCACCAGCCTGTACCAAGTGAGATCGAATCTTGGAATAATGCTCCCCGAACACAATCGGACCGAGTTCCTTGTCCAACCCGTAGTTACTGTGAACATATCGGGTAAACTTGAGCAGAAACATCCTGTAAATCGATTTATGGACGAAAATTCGAGAGCCGCCTAGACAGAGTTGTCCGCTGTTCTCAAATGCCGCGTAGGCTGCCGCAGAGACCGCCTCATCGACATCGACATCGCCAAAGACTAGTATTGGACTACTGCCTCGGATCTCGAGAGACATGTGCTTGTGAATGTCAGCCGCCGTGTCCTTCCGAATCTGAATTCCGGTTTCGATCGCCCCACAGAACGAAACTCCTTTTACAAGCGGCGAGCCTATAAGAGTGGAACCAGTGTCGGTTCCATTTCCGAAAACAATGTTCATAACACCGGGTGGTAGCTCTGCTTGCCGAAGAACTTCGCCGAACACTATCTTCAGGGTTAGTGCGTTCATGTAAGTTCGTCAAATAAGATAATCTCTTACAAAAGGCCGTCATGCTAGTCAGTTCGCTCGGCTTAGCCACACCTGTGCAGCCAAATGCGAGACAGGGGGCGATTTTGGACGTCAAGAGGAAAAGCGGCATGTTTGATGAAGTGACAATGGCGTAGACCCCCACTGGGACTCGGTGCTCGTGCGTGAGAGTCGAATCTCCTGTGCCTTTGTTGAGATGTACCACACTTTCGTCGTGAAGAATGTATTTTGCAAAATATCTAACAGGAAGAAAAGTTAGAGTCGGTCATATACATCAGACGAGTGGACGGACCGGAAATGCTCAATTGAACGATCAACTTCAGACCGAGCCCGAAAGAGAGTTTTGCCTTGGTCAATACTCTCCCATACTGTAAACATATCTTTCTTTTCCTCCAGAATCGACGCAACTCGGAGTAGAAGATCAGACCGCTCGTGGGGTGTGGTCTGTGACCATGCTGGGAAAGCTCGAGACGCGACATTTATAGCGTAGTCGACGACGTTTGGGGGACTGAGAGGCACTTTCAGCAAGAGTTTGCCTGAGCGAGGGGAAGGTGAATCTATCCATTCCGGTGTGTGTGCACAATCAAGGAACTGGTTTTCGATGAAATTCTGAAGCTGAAGGGGCTCATTCGTGGAGTTAGTGAGGTGGTCCGAAGCTCGCACCAGGGTATCGAGCTGCCACAACGTAGAAATTGTGTTCATGATTGCTATAATTGTAGTGAGAGAGGAATTGAAGGCAGTCCTATGCTTGGGATAGTGAGGCTGAGATCAGGGTAATGTGTGTGATACTTCCTGGACTCAAAGATAATACCTTGTGCTGCGGATGTTGATGTTATTAGGATGAGACGCGTCGAGGAAGATGACCATAATGATTATAACAAGTTCGCCTGTTTATTACACCACTTCCACCCACTCAGTGAGAGATCCAAAGATTAACCAAAACATATATGAGATGATACCTCACTATATGGCTTCTTAATTGGCTGATTTGAGTATATGAAAACATCTTCTATAATATTAGAAACTCGGTAGTTCTTTCATTCTGCTATCAGAGGCAGAATGAATATCAAAGCGTTTAGCAGATCACTGAAGCTTCAAACCAACATGGTACATGGTCCCCGAGGTCTTGCTTCCTAACACACTGAAAGGGAAGGCCCGAGAATTAAGCCATATTGCATTGCTCAACCTCGCAAACTTGTGTATGGCTGCATATAGACGAAGCTGAGTACATGCCTGTGATCTATACATGAAATAACACGTGATGTGGACCCACTTTCCCCTTCGGGAGTATATAGGGCACAGGAGGTATCACCCCTTTCATCTTTTTTTTGATTTTCACCGATCAACTCCCTCCTGCTTTTGTCGTCTTGTAGAGCAGCAGAACATATTATGTACATTAATTATAACTAATACTAACCAAGTACATACTAAGTGTTGATGATCTGCAGGCATAAACGTTATATTCAGGCATCAACATGTGAGGGCCCACCTTCCATTTTCGGAAGCATCTATTCCCATATATTTCACAGCAACACCTTCCCCCTAACCGAGAGTCCCCCAGTGGCTGAGTGGGCTCGCATGCATGTACTTGGTCAATCCAGCTGCCTGCGTTCGACCTGCTCAGTCCACAATCCTAAACTTTCCAATTATGCACCCCCAACCGTCTTCTTCCCACCGCAGGTCCAGGAACCAGTTCTGCCAGCAGGCAGGAATTGAGGATCTTGGGGTCGAACAGATTGTCAGAGAGCTTTATGGGCCACCAAAATTGGTACATTGGTTGGGCAGTGGCCACCACTGGCTGGGACTCTCATTTTTTGGGTGTTTTTTTTGTTTTCCTTCCCCTTTCTATTTTCCTCTCTTGTCTTGTTAGCGTTTTCCACACAAGATAATAGGAACCCCCTTGACCCGAAGGAATGATTGCAAGGCTTCTTGGCTACTATGTAGTTGAAAGATAAATTCACTCCATGTCAGACAGGTCTGTTAACCCGTTTCCAGCCATTCGAGCATTGTTTCTCAAATATAGCCGAGGCTCTCAAGCTACTATTCATGCGGCCAAGAGCAAGGGTCATAGACATAGGACTGCCTGCTTTGTCATAGACAAAGCCAAGAGAATTCACGTATAATTACTCGGGTTGTTCGATTCTTTCACTCTTTGAGTCTTTGTCAATTTATTCAAACAAAAATGCTGCACAATGCCATTAACCAGGTTCTCTTTGTTACTTGTCCGTATTATTTATGCTCGCTTCGAGCATATAAGTTCGCTCGAGGTACCCTGTTGTCTAATTGGACCATTGGACCAATTATATCCCGCAATGGCTTTTAAGTATCCCCAGTTTGAGCCGTATGGAGACAAGCTAATCCGATGGATGGAAAATGCCAACGAACCCGGGTGCCCAGTTTCTATGACTACACTTAAGTCACAGAATCTTCCAAAGTCGCCGGACTGGAACATCGAGTACGAAAGAGAATGGTTATCACCAGATCGTATTGCCTCTATTGTGGGTCTTGGTCTGCGAGTTGGAGAGCTAATCCCAAACGACTTATATCCCACAGAGTCCCCATGTCTACGGCATTCAATCATCAAGGCCCGTCGTAATGGAATCACAGCCTTGGTGGGGACAATTGCACCAGGAGTACTTTTTGTTTATTCTATTAGGAGATACCACGAGTCGAACGATCCGTATATATCAGATCTTGCCAAGATTGCCTATGGAACACATTTTTCGCTGGATAGTTTGAAATATATCTTCATGAACGACGTGCAGGAATCTGCAACTGAACCATTTATCGAGGAACAGATCTATCCATCTCGTGCGGGAATAAAGTATCCATCTGCAGAGAGTCAAACCTGGGACTATCCTTCGCCGGAGTTTAGAGCTATTATGGGTACCCCTATCGGTAAAGTTGTCGGATACTTCATTCTAGGTGCGTTTGGTCAAGGTGTAAAACGGGTTGCACGAATTGTCACTTTTCAGACTGGTCTTGACCTTCACAAATTGGAAATTCGTTTTGATATTGAAGATGTTCGAGGAAATCTTTCTTTGGGGGAATTTGATTTAGATATAATATCATAAGAGGGAGATAGAGTGGGGACACTAATCAATTTTATATTATAGGCGTATCAGAATCTTAGATTGGGGTAGCCCTCAATCTTCTAGCAGTTTATTGTAGGCTAATAACGATATTGGCTAAAAGGATATCAAGTGATAACCAATAGTCAACACACTGCATCCATTACTCCGCATAGGTGAGGGCGCAGGGCCAAGCCACTCACGGGACTCGGCCCGGGCCGCGTTGGCCTTTTCGGTATCAAAGTGGGGATGTCTGAGAGGAGACCAAGTCGGAGATGACTGGTCTGTACGGCTGTGGGGCCAAGGAAGGAGGTTTGTGGGTGCTAGGACTGAGGTCAAACCTAGCTTGTTTGATGGTTCGTTACTAGACTTTAATTCATTGAATGGTCTTTCCACATCATGAAAACTAAATACATATGCAGTGTCATGATCAATATATGCTAAGACCAGTTCTAACGCTCGTTACTTAATTCGCAGCCCCATTCTCCCGTTCCTTTAACGCTTGACGAACTTTGGGAATCACGAACCGTCCATAATCAATAGCGTCGTTGAGATTGTCATAGCCTCGGATAGAGATGAGGTCGGCACCAAGATCAACATAGTCAAGAAGCGACTCGACAATAGTCTTGGGCGATCCAACCAGGGCAGTGGATGCACCACGTGCATTCGTTGCAGTAACAGTAGGATACCAAAGAGCGCGGTCCTGGACTTCTCCGCGAGCGGCAATATCAAGAAGCCGCTGAGAGCCGGCGTTCTGTGGGGGCGGCGCATTGGCGGGGACCTTGCCTTGTCCTTTCGCTCGGTTGGTAGTCAGTGCATCGAGGGTTTGGTGTGCTTTCGCCCAGGCGAGGTCGTCAGTCTCGGCAAGAATAGGACGGAAGGTCACCCAGATGCGAGGTCTGTCTGAGTCCGGGCGACCGGCCTTTGCTGCCTCTCCATAGATGCGATCAATCTGGTCCTTTGTTTCTTTCAAAGGTTCACCCCACAGTCCGAATATGTCAGCCAGGGAGCCTCCAATACGGTATGCTTCGTCCGATGAACCGCCGACTGAGACAGGAATTGTGCCGTTAGTCGGCCGAACGCGGTTGCTGAATTGTTTGAAGGTATAGTATTTGCTCTCCCAGTCAAATGGCTCATCGGATTTCCATGCGCGGCGGAGAATTTGAATGTATTCCTCAAGGCGTCCGTAACGTTCATCCTTAGTCAGGAAGTCTCCTTCCTTAGCCTGTTCTGCATCGCTACCACCTGCGATAAAGTGAACAACGACGCGACCGGAGCTAAGTTGGTCCAGTGTAGCTAGCGCCTTTGCCGCAACTGTGGGGTAAAGAGTATTGGGTCGCAGAGCAATGATGACCTTGATGTTTTTGGTCACCGACAGAATGGTGGCTCCAATGGTGAATGGATCATAGGATGAGGAGTCGTAGGGCACCAGCGTGTAGTTGTAAGCATAGTCATCAAGGTTGCGAGCGTAGCGAACGAGATATTCAGGATCAATCGAAGCGTTGGGAATTGGATGGATCTCGGTAGATGCGTTCGGGAACGTGACGCTGATGAATTCCGGCATGGTGACTGCTTTTTTCTGCCTTTTGACGTTCTTAATTTTCTTGTCAGGTACTATTTTACTTCTCATTCGTGGTAGACCGATCTTCTTTTAATACTTCGTAGTATCTCCGAGTTGATTTGGCATCAACGCATGACGCAAGATGGTAAGATATTGCGTCTTAGCACGCAAGTCGATAACCATATCGTTCCACACCGGATCAGATGTTTTGGATTTTCCTAATTCAAGTAAGCGTTACTTCTTCGGCTGCATTCAGTGAGGACTAGTACGAGGACTAGAAGGTATTGCGCCAGTATTGCGCAAGATCGACCATGGGAATCGCAATATGAAGTTGACTAGCACCCAGGTAAGCCTATAGAAAACTAGCCGAGATCGCAGTTCAATTTCCGCTGACTTCTCCAGATCTTCAATCTCTTGATAACGAGTTGCAGGGATGTCCATTTATGACACATTGATCACTGAGATAATATGCGTCGTGATGTGGTGCCGGTACAGACTCATGCCAGGCTAGCTTCTGCCTTTAACGCTAGTTGCCGGCGGGTTAATCTATATCCAGGGCCTCCATAAAGTGCAAAGGTCATAACAAGGTTGGTCGTTCTGCTCAGGTTCCTTCGGCAGAGCGTACAATATATATCCCGAGATCTCAGACTCTCGGGGTTCATCCCAAATGCAAGCGAGACGTGTCCTTTAAGGAGTTATCGTGGCTATCACGCGCAATTTCTACTCCAAGGCAGTATTCTGTGGTTTTTTCCTGTGAGCCTCAGCTGAGTGCAAACAATCAATGGCTGAAGTTATAGTTGGACCAGCGCTCCGGCCAAAGACCCGGCAGCTTGGTTAATTCGAGACCACTCGCCTGTTGCTCTGATTGAGCTTGCATTCGATTTCCACGCAATAGAGGTCAGGCCATCGGTATACCTCTCCAAGACCGTCATATGTGATATACCCTGTCAGACTTGGTTGGAGTGCGTTGTTGACGCCTTGGGCCGGTCCACCAGCCCAAGTGGGCACCCCATCCGCCGTCAGATCATGACTCAGCATTCAGGTCCGGTCGCACGTGCCACATTCAATGCGAGTCCCTATAGGATCTATCGAATACATAGAGGAAGATTGGTTTGAATCTTGAAATTCATCCAGCTTGACATCATTACCAGGTTCAAACCAATAAGGAAAGCGACAACCTGTTGAGAGGCGCGTGATGATAAGACGCTAGTCTAAATCGGGATACTACGTCATCGATGAGGGATGGGTTATATCCGCGACATACCTCACTCCATCGTGTTTCGTTTACACATGTTTCCCATTTGAACAAATCTACTACATTGAACCATCCACCATGCCACTCGTTGTCCCAGGAATCAACAGCTCATTTGGCGATAAGTCCGAGTGGGTCAACAAGCTGATGGGCAAGACGATCAGCGACACTACTAATGAGACAGTACGTCACCTTTGAGAAATCATCGAAATCAAATATGACATTCTAACCGTTCCATAGTCTTTTGCAAAGAAGGATCTTCCTGAATCTCACCGGGTGTTGAAGCCAGGTGACGCGAAGACCATGGATCACAATCCAAACAGGTAAAGCCTCATTGCAAAGTGCCGTGAAGCCAATGACCATGTTGCTGACGGTGTACGATTGAACATAGACTTAACATCCTTGTTGATGATGCTGGAGAGGTGCATGATGTGAACTACGGTTAGAGCTAAGATATATTTACTAAGCCTGGTGGCTCAAATCACAAGAACAAATTGAGCCAATTGAATATCTATTACTTGAAAGTCTATTGATGTCCTCAAATTAGCATCTTGTATGGGCTAACTCACTCGGCCTTCCATCTGAGTAGAGTAAGGGAGTGTCGCGGGAACACATATTGTCCACTTCCAGTCCAGGTCGACTCTTGGATCGCCACTTCTTCTTTGCCGTTCAGATTTGTCACGGACAGATCGCCCGCGGTGACCGTGAACACAGCTACTTCTCCCTGGGCTCCCTCAACATGACTTTCCAAGTCTCGGGAGTCGTGAATATTCACCACAGCAACATTAACAAACCCATCATCTCCTACAGTGGCACTTACATCTAACCACGGCGTATCCTTGGCACTTCGAATCCACTTGGGCGATGTCTCACCCTCGTATGTTCCACAGGAAACATGACTGGCCACGGTCCAACCACGCATATATCGTGAAAACAGCCAAAGCGGCCACCAGGTGGTCTGCTTGGTAATTCCCTCTGGGGTAGTCATCAAGGGCGAGATGACATTCACGGTCTGCGCGATACACGCCATGCTAACATCCTTGCTCTTTCGGACAAAGACATTCAACCAGACGGCCACGGCGAGCGCATCGGAGAGCGTGTAATTCTCTTCGGCACCTAGGCTCCCCTCTGCGCGGATTGGATCCCACACGTTCCACTCGTCGAAGCAGATCGTCGGGCGGAGTTGCTCGGGAGGAACTTTGTTTACAACCCTGGCAAGGTCAATCAAAGCGGACGTAATTTCAATTGCGCGCTCGGCGGCGAGTGGCGCTGTCACGTTGAGGAGGTGGGATGATGAAGACGTGTAGAGATGGATGCTGTGCATGTCAATCAAAGGGACTGAGCTGGTTGACAATGCGGAGTGGGCAGGTACAAGACACTGATTTAGTGTGTAGTAATCCCACGAAGCAGTGCCATCTTGGCCGCAGAGGATCAATATCAGGGTGGGATCCAGGAGTTTGAGAGCTGTAAGAAAATCATATTAGCGCGATTGTTCTGGTAGTATTGAAACGAAGCATTACCTTTAGCCCATTGGATTGCCTTGTGAGCATACGCTTCCTTGGTCATCTGCTCGACCTGCCAAGGACCCCAACACTCGTTTCCGAGGGCCCAGTACTTGACCTGTTCAGGGTGTTAGATCGTTGCAGCTGAAAATTTTGCACTTATTACATACATTGTAGGGCTCCTCACGACCGTTCTTTCTTCGTAGATTGGCATAGTAAGTATTGCCCGTTCCATTGCAGTACTCAACCCAACCCAAGGCTAATATTGTCCAACATCAGCATGTTGTATCAAAGTCTTAAATAAGAACGTACCCTCATCCAAGGTACCGGTACCAAAGTTGAAGCAAAGGTACGGCTCCGTGCCCAGAGCTTCACACCATTGCATGAACTCGTCAGTACCAAATTGGTTCGTCTCGGTCCCGAGCCAAGCAAGTTCTGGTCTTTCGACAGATCGACATCAGCAAAGTTCCACCAAAGTTAATGTGATATGAGAACATACCTTGCTGGCCGTTGGTTCTTAGGACCAATACCATCGAGCCAGTGATAGGTCGCACAAAAGTTGCCACCAGGATATCGAACGACAGGGATGTTGAGCCCCTTCAACGCCTCCAGGACGTCTTTGCGGAATCCTTTCTCATCTGACAGTGGGTTTCCAGGGTCATAGATTCCACCGTAGATACACCGGCCCATATGCCTAAGAACTAGTCAGTTTATGTCATGAGACTGGAAGAAGTTCAAGATGCCTTACTCGGTAAAGCCGGCGTAAATGTTTGGGTTGATCTTGGAGATGCGTCTCGATGGGTGCACAGAGATAAGAGGCGTCTCATGATCATCCAATTTGGTAAAGGTCGTCATTGTTTGCACAAATGATTTTGTTTCTACTGTTTGGGTTGAGGCGTCACTTCTGGCTAAATATGCGATTTAGCTTGGATCCAAGGTCGCGGTTCACTTTAGGGAAAAGGTATTTGAAAGGCACGATTCAAGGTAGACAAGTAAGAAGCAGATGTATACTGATCGCAGATAACCTATCGAAATAACCGAGGGTTCAGGCCTTGAAGCGGCAAAACTCCTGCGGGGGAACTGTCGTGAGATCCGGATGATGACCCCTGTATTAGCCCTAGTAGCCCTAGCAGCGTCTGGGGTGGCTACCGGAAACACGAGACGAAGCCCTTAGTTAGCTTTCTGGATCAATGATAGATCAACAGACCAATGAGTCGCAGTCTAGCTTTAAAATGCCCCCGGCATGAGAGGAAGGTAGGAGATATTCCATCAATCACAGACGAGATCACGCGCCACATTTATTTGCCAATTCCTCCCCGCATGCTTGCAACTCGTCATTCCGGACCATTTCTAGCAAAGGACAAAATATGAGAAGTGATTGGTGAAGCAGTTTCCGCATTCCCCATGTTTACACCACGCGATGTTAGCCCAGTTCAAGCCTCGACTTCCCCGAGTATACGATTCTCCGAAGTCATGGCTAATTGCATGGGTTTCTCTGTATATGTAGAGAAGATTCCCCGGAGAATTTGTGGCATGTGGAGGTAGATCTTCATTCCCCATATTCTTCGATATAATATCCACTCTCTAAACCATGCGTCTCTCGCCGTCGTGGTACCAGGTATGAAGGGACCACTGCATTGAGAAGACGGAGCTCATGCTTTGATATAGTTCCTGGTCGGTGTCTTTGCCTCTCTTGGATCATTCCTTTATGGATGTATGTCACCAATTCCCTACGTGACACGCGGAATCTAATAAATTCGCAGATGATCTGGGTGTAATCGCTGAGGTGCTCGTCTGCCAATCATTTAAAGCCAAATTCGAGGCAGATGATACCCAAACGTCAGTCCCATAACATATGGAATATGGGAATATCTAACGACTTTGCAGAGGATTAGTCGTGTCTTTATTCACGGCTGGCGCATGCATCGGTGCCGGACTTGCGGGCGCCAGTGGTGATCATTTAGGTAGACGACGGACCATCTCATTGGGATGTTTCATCTTCACTCTCGGAGGTGGTCTTCAGACCGGTGCGAGGACAATTGCCTATCTATACAGCGGACGATTCCTGGCCGGGTTAGGGTATGTGATTTCTCTCAAAACAGATACCCCAATAAGCACTAATCAGATTAATTCTTAGTGTCGGTTTCCTCACAATGATGATTCCTCTATACCAAGCCGAGATCTGTCACCCCAGCATCCGTGGTCGAGTTACGGCCTTGCAGCAATTTATGCTCGGTATTGGAGCGCTCTGCGCTACATGGATTGGTTATGGAACATACACCGGCTTTGCAGAGGATAACAATGCGCAATGGCAACTGCCTCTCGGTTTGCAAATTGCCCCTGCTGTATTTTTGGGTCTTTTGATCTCTTTCTTCCCTGAGGTAGGGTCTGATTTCCATCGGGTGAACTCCAATAACTGATGTTTATCCAGTCGCCTCGATGGCTTATTGACCACAACCGCACCGAAGAGGGATTGCGCACATTGGCCAAGTTGCATGCGCATGGTAACGAAAACGATGCTTGGGTCCAGGCAGAATTCGCTCAAATTCAGGAGAGCATCACGTTTGAGCATGAGAACGAGGCGAAGTCATATGTCGAGTTGTTGACCAATCGCTCCTCGTTCCGTCGGTTGTTCCTCTGCTGTGCATTGCAAGCCTCAGTAAGTGTACAATGACTTACCACTGCCAAGATATGTCAGCATAGAATCAATCAGCTAATATGATTTCGTGCATAGATACTACTCACCTCAGATTTATGGTCAAATCGGTATCTCCAACGAAGACACCCTGAAGTATCAGGCAATTAACTCTATCATCGCGTTGGTCGGCCAGTTCCTGTGCATGATGTTCATTGATCGCTTCGGCCGTCGCTGGACTCTGATCAGCGGCAATCTCGGCAACATGGTGACCTTCATCGTTGCAACCATCCTACTCGCAAAGTTCCCTCCATCGACCAACAACAACGGTGCGCATTGGGGTTTCATCATCATGACTTGGCTGTACAATTTCTCCTTCTCCGCAACCTGTGGTCCTCTGTCCTGGATTATCCCAGCCGAAGTGTTCGACACTCGCACACGTGCCAAGGGTGTCTCGATTGCTACCATGCTTTCGTTTGCTTTCAACACGATGATCGGCCAGGTCACGCCCATTGCAATGACGAACATTGGCTATCGTTACTATTTCGTATTTGTCATCTGCAACTTCACCAATGCGCTCTTCTTCTGGCTTTTGCTTCCAGAGACTAAGCGCGTTCCTCTCGAGGAAATGAACCAGATGTTCACGAATGCGCCATGGATCGTGCCCGGAAGTCGCAAAGAAGATTATATGACTCATGACCTGGAGCGGAAGGTTGAGGAGCAGGAAGTGAAGCATAATGCGTTGCATGTTGACTAGAATAGGAACAAGGGGAAGGACTGTAGGGGACATCGTTGGGGTTGCATGTGTGGAGAGCTCAGTTGTGATATTGAGATACAATAATGAAGTTGTTACCCGTGGAGAAAAATGTTCGTAAAATCGATCGGCCTTGTAATATGTAAGAGAAGGCACTAAAATAGATGACTTGAGAAGGTCAACAAATTGGATATGAGAGATGATCTATAGATACTAATGAGAGGCCAAGCCATGCCCTCTTATTATACCTGTAGAGACATTGCTTATTCAATCATTAATTTGATCTACATCATACAATGCTAAGATAGATTTTGTGCTAACTCGAGGTCATTCATGGATGTTGTTCCATCATTCAGAATCTGAGCTGTATCCTGCCAAGCCAAGCGAAACTGGGACTGGTTTTGTCGGGATTTTGGACTTTATTTGCCCCTCCTCTGTGTCTGTTACCACCTTGGGCTGTGTGGCAGTATTTGTGGTTTCGGGTGATGTGGCAGAAGCAGCAGGTGTGGCTTGATCGGACTTGGAAGTCCCTTGATCCAGCTTCTTGGTACTTGAAATACCAGATCCAGGCTGTTTCTGCGAGTCTTTCCCATTCTGTGTGTCCTTCTCAGCAGTAATCTCGGTGACTGAAGCTTTACGCTTCTTCCCTGCAATCAATGAGTTCTTGTGTTTATCGCTCCGTCTCTTGCGAGCCAGTGCGGTCCATTCTTCTCCTTGTATGGGTGCCTCCGACGAGGTTGATTCAAGCAATGCTTTCTGCGCCTTCTCGCGCTGTCGGCGGAAGGATTCAAGTTGTTCCGCTGTCTCCCTCTTCACAGCAGCCTCCTGGGCACGTGTTGACTCGAGAACAGAATCCAGGAAGTCGACTTCATCTTCATCCAGGGATCGAAACTGGTTTTTGAGACGCGATTTCTCTTCAAAGGCTTCTTGTTTGGCCACTGTATGATAACCGAGGAAAATCACCCTAACATGTTAGCCAGATTCCCGGATGAATTGTCCACTACTCTTCTTTGTTCGCGCAGACGGGGGCCAGGTATCCGAGTTGGGCTCACTTTTATTGCGCTCCAGCACCTCGAAGAGACTTTTGCCCTCATCCTGCTTCCCTATTTCGGCCTTCCGTCTCCGCTCCTCCTCTAGCTCCTGCTGCACTCTAAGCCACTCATCGTCCCGCTCGATCGGCTTCTCATTTGTTCCGGATGAAACGAAACCCGATGACATAGTGATCGGGCTGGGTAAATGGGTCGTTATGGATCACGGGATGGAGCACTGGGAATGGTCGGTCGGAATGCGAAATTATCCGGCGACGGGGGTACCGATATGGGACGTGGGGTGGACCGAAACACGGGATGAAAATAAAAGAGATTCGAGAAGTTCCTAGAAAGTTGAGGTTTCAGGTAATTGTGAGACCCGGACAGTTCGGAGAATTGCAAGAATTGGAGGGGTGGATCTTAATTGGAAGATGTGGACCAATATGAGTTGCATTTAGCCAGAATGCTGTCTCTTGCCCTGTCACGGTGGAACTGGATATAGCCAGTCGGGTAATTCGTGATCACTTCATCCAAGGACACCCAATTTGTTGCGAATACGACAGAAATCAAGAGAGATAACGTCCAATATCCTTCGATCTAAACCCCCACTCCCCCCTCTCTCATCTCCCCCACGACATCATCGCTTGCTCTTGGACCTGCCCACTTTAAATCTGCTTACCATATAAAGCCAAGGTGCCTCTTGATAGTCTTTTTTTAAAAAATTCATTCTTGCGGCTTTCAAAATACAGCAAAATGTCGAACCAACACACCGAGTGAGTGCCTTACAATGCAATGCAATACGCCTCCCCTCCCTAGCCATTGCATTAACGCTTACCTCTCTCTTCAGGAAGACCTATACCCTCAACACTGGCGCCAAGATCCCCGCCATCGGCCTGGGAACATGGCAGTCCAAGCCTAATGAGGTCCGCGAGGCCGTGAAGAACGCCCTTCTCGCCGGTTACCGCCACATTGACACTGCTCTGGCTTACGGCAACGAGGCTGAGGTCGGTGCGGGTATTAAGGACTCCGGCGTGCCCCGCGACCAGATCTGGCTCACTACCAAGCTAGACAACCCCTGGCACAAGCGCGTCACTGAGGGCATTGATTCCTCTCTCAAGGACCTTGGCACCGATTACGTTGACCTCTACTTGATTCACTGGCCCAGCTCCACCGACCCCGAAGACCTGTCTAAGCATCTGCCTGACTGGGACTTCATCAAGACCTGGTAAGTGACACCAAGCATCCACTTCCAAGGTTAGTGGGGAACCATTGCTGACTCCTCATGTCTACCACAGGCAAGAAATGCAGAAGCTGCCCGCCACTGGCAAGGTCCGCAACATCGGTGTCTCTAACTTTGGCATCAAGAACATGGAGAAGCTCCTGAATGACCCCAGCTGTAAGATCGTGCCTGCCGTCAACCAGATCGAGCTGCACCCCAACAACCCATCCCCTAAGCTGGTCGCCTACAACACCTCTAAGGGTATCCACTCCACGGGTTACTCCTGCCTGGGCTCAACCAACTCTCCCCTGTACAAGGATCCCACTCTCCTGCAGATTGCGGAGAAGAAGGGCAAGACTCCTCAGCAGGTACTTCTAGTTTGGGGTATCCAGAAGGGCTGGAGTGTCATTCCCAAGTCCGTCAGCAAGTCTCGTATTGAGGGCAACTTTGACATCAATGGTTGGGACTTGACTGCCGATGAGGTGAGCCAACTCGATAACCTGAAGGACCGCTTCAAGGTCTGTGGTGACGATTGGCTCCCCGTCAAGGTATTCTTTGGCGATGACGAGTAAATATGTCTAAAATTATGAATGTTTTATGAGTACATAGGCTTTAGATACCAAAAGAGTCTTATTGACACCCAAAAGCTCAATATTATTGGTGAAACTTGCGAGATTTCAGAATCCACTGCGATGTCGTCATAGTACCAAACATAACATACCAAGCAAACTAGGCAAACATAGTCATTTTGGTCACGCCGGTGGCGGGGCACAGCCACTGCGGAGCCTCGGGTCTGAGGCGGAGAGATAAGGGTGTATACCCGTGGACCCCGGCGTCATCAGGCATCCCTCCTGTCTTCTCAGCATCCATTCCCACCATCTCCATCAAACTATTCATCGCTGAGACATCACCATGGCACCTTCAGCAGGGCACCTGCTGCTTCCTAAATTTTGGAGGGCAGCACGGTATGTCTCCCCTTTTCTGTCGCCATAGCGAGTTACAATGGATCCATTGACTGACATCCTCCTAGGTTCGCCTACGAAAAGGCCTCCAAGGCTATACGTAACAAACTGCCAGAGCCTACACAGTATTATCCGGTGCGGTATCAACCCGCCTATGCCCGAATCAACCCTCGTCAGCCAATCAGCCGTGCCGCTGCCATTCGTCAAGCCCGTAGTCGCCACTTCTCGACCCGTGCTGGTGCCTTCACCGCTGCGATTCGATCCGGACTAGGGGGCAATAATGCCGCCCCCCGGAACACCTCTCGCATTGTGTCTAATATCAGCCGACTCAGCAGCCGTGCACCTTTCGCTTCTACCCTTCGTCCCAATCTGACCGGCGGCACCCTTGGCCGGACTGCAGGAGGATACGCTGCTGGAGCTGGCCGTTTTGGTGGAGCTAGATACTTTTCCCATGGCCCTGCTGCCCCAGCACAAGTTATTCAGAATGTGTCTCAGGGCGTCCGTGCTTTCTTTCTTTCTGGGCAGAAAGTTCGCTTCGACGGCATCGATCCACGCACCGGAGAGAAGCGGTATAAGTCAGTCAGCGCGCTACAGGATCAGGCGGAAAGAAAGATGAATGCCAACCTGCACAACGCACCTGGCTCGTACATTGACTTCCAAGTTTCCCCGACCATCACTGCACTCAGTGCCGTTGGTGCTCTCGGTAACCAGGAACGCTCCTCGTGCGACTCTCTGAACTCCGAGGGCCTGATGGATCTGCTCTCTGCCGATTTTGCCCGTGCTTTGAAGGATTTCTCCGCGGTAATGAACGACCTGAAGCGTCTCTCGTCACTTGGTGATCTCCCGATCTCCCTTCACGACCGATCGACTATACGGGTGCGCTTCCCAGGCTGTGATGCAGAAACTGTAGAGCAGCTGTGTTGCGAGGTCGGGATTCAGCGAGGCCGAGTCGTGCAGGATGAAGATTTCGATATTCGCACTGGCGCTGATTTGGCTCTCTTGTTCCCTTTTGCACCGAGCATTGCCTCTTCGTCCGACACTGACTATTACTTCGAGAAAGCCCCAAAGTTGCAATCGCAGTATCCACCGGACCTTGACTGGCAAGGGATGATGACACCAGAAAGCTGCACGCCATCGTCACCAAGTGGCAGCCGTGATTCGGGCAATGCTATCAGTTTCGAGGACAGTGAGCTATTTGGTGCTAATCCATGGATATCTTCGACCAAGAGCTACTCTAGTATTAACATCAGTGAGCTTGGAGATCAGCATTTCTTCCCGGAAATCTCCAGCTCTGGTCAACCCGACAGTAACTCTGCATATGAAGGTATTGAGGGAATTTACACGTTCCTAGCTGAGTGCGATCAAGCCAAGCGTTGACGAACACACTCATATTGGGCCATACTTTTCTACTATTAATGTTTTTTATCTCTCGGGGTTTTTTCCTTTTCCTTTTTTTTTCTTTGGTACATATCTCAGGCTGAGACCGGGACTATATACATGACGACGCAGATACCACTCCACTCTTTAACACACTTCTTTCAGTGTTACACTTGCTCAATTGAATGAATCAGATTGAAACTTGCTTGTTCGCTTTATGTCACTGGTGGCCTAGTACATCGAGGACCGGTCAGCTATAGAAGCGATTGATTTCTCTCAATCCTCTTTGGCTTTTCAAAATAGCCCTAGAAATAGCCACTCATGTCATTTCAGCCTGCACACCTTCGTCCGGCCTCTTGGACCATTACGGCCTAAATGATTGTTTCATATAAAGACAGGCCGGCTGAAGAATGCGCCACGGTGCGGGGTCCGGGGGATGTGAATAATGTGGCTTGCCGAAAGGAAATGGCGTTTTTTCTTGGCTTGGACTTTTCATTATGTCGATATGTCAGGTCTCTGGAGTAATCCGTATTCTATTGCAATGGATTCTCGAAATTCTTCCTCCTTTGCCTGGGCGAAATCAGCTTGTTTTGACACCCTTCCTGCTTCTGTTTGTGATTTTGTCTTAGGGAAGGATCCTTATGCGCTATGTTAGCAGTCGATCACAGACGAGCAGCTTAACCTTACAACTGGCGCAAGCCTAATATGGTCCTCCCGCGCCGAGTCTGGGGAGGATCGACGATGAGTGTCTCGTTTGGGGACGGGGGATCAATTCCGCGCTGATGCCGGGAGTTTGATATTACATCAACCTTCCTCTCCTTGACTATCTAGGCAATTAATATTAGTTTCAAGGCTACGGACTATTTAGTGCGATATGAGCTATGTGCCATCGAACCCGGATGACACAGGTTTAGCCAGATTTAACCACGTGTTAGGGCAGAAATTGCTTGTATGCCTTCTCTGTTATACATGTGTGTCTTGGCAATGTCTGGAAATGGATTGAACGGAGATAGTTCTGATCTCTTATAGAATAGCTTGATACAATGTAGCGTTGGCTTCGGGTTTCCGGTTTCAATCCCGGCAAGGCCAACAAGGCAATCTTGCTGGGGTATATAAATTTATCGAATTCTCCCACAACTGTTAACAAGATCACAGGAAAACGAGCAAAACTCGAATTCATTGTTTCAAGATCATCAATATGCAATTTCTTCTTCTTCCATTCGTACCTCTGCTGGCTTCTTCCGCAGCGGCAGCTGCAATATCCAGCGCAGCTAGTCCAGCTGTCACCGCTGCAGCTTCTGGAAATCCCTTCTCAGGGTACCAGCCTTATGCCAATTCGTATTATGCATCAGAAGTCTCATCCTCAGCCTTGCCATCAATGACGGGGGCTGCCAAAGCCGCCGCAAGTGCAGCCGCTCAAGTTCCGTCCTTTTTCTGGCTGTGAGTTCATTGCACTGGTATTATATATCCCTCGGGCAAATACTCAGATTGCCTTATAGGGATACTGCAGACAAGGTACCAACAATGGGCGAGTTCTTGGCCGACATCAGGGCCAAAAACAACGCCGGTGCTAGCCCACCGATTGCTGGCCAATTCGTCGTTTACGACCTGCCTGATCGTGACTGCGCAGCATTGGCTAGCAATGGAGAGTACTCTATCGCGAACGGTGGTGTTGCGAATTACAAGGCGTACATTGACTCTATCCGCAATGTGTTGGTCGAATACTCTGATATCCAGACTATCCTTGTCATTGGTGAGTATACCTTGCTGATTGATGGCTTCCCGCACGGCAATAGTGATTGCTGATATTTTTTCTAGAGCCTGATGGTCTGGCTAATTTGGTTACCAACATGGCTGTGTCGAAGTGTGCCAACGCACATGACGCATACTTGGAGTGCACCAATTATGCCGTCACACAATTGAACTTGGCCAATGTTGCCATGTATCTTGACGCTGGTAAGCATCTTTCCTCGGTCCTGGAAGGCGACAATCCCCTTGCGACAAGTAAAACAGCGAGAATTATCTTTATTTCTGTTTAGCCAACCGCTCAGTTATGTCATTTTATGTGGCGTCATGAGAATAATGCAGCCATCTCTCATCTGTATATGCTTACTATTAACATAGGACACGCGGGATGGCTTGGCTGGCCTGCTAATCTGAGCCCAGCAGCTGAGCTCTTCGCCAACGTCTACAACACTGCCAATAAACCTGCAGCTCTGCGCGGACTTGCCACCAACGTTGCCAATTACAATGCCTGGTCTCTCTCTACATGCCCATCATACACCTCTGGCGATGCCAACTGCGATGAAAAGAAATACGTCAATGCCCTTGCGCCCCTGCTTAAGAATGGAGGTTGGGAAGCCCACTTCATCACTGACACCGGTATGTAATCAAGAAACTTTAAAACAGCATCAGATCAATCACCTTCTTCTATGGGTCAAAGATCTCACGCTGAATGTTTTGGTACAGGCCGCAATGGAGTCCAGCCCACCCAGCAAAATGCATGGGGTGATTGGTGCAATGTCAAGGGAACCGGATTCGGTGTTCGACCAACCACGGAGACAGGTGATGCCTTGACCGATGCCTTTGTTTGGGTGAAGCCCGGTGGTGAGAGCGATGGTACTTCGGATTCCAGCTCGGCTCGCTATGATGCCTACTGTGGGTATAGCGATGCTCTTCAGCCTGCTCCTGAAGCTGGCACGTGGTTCCAGGTAAGAGTGCCCCGATTGAAAGTGATTATTTCTACAACACTGACGACTTCGCAGGCATACTTCGCCCAGCTTGTAGAGAATGCTAACCCGTCTCTTTAAGTCTTTGGAATCGGCAAATATAGGTTCCAGGGCTAGCAGCTACCCAGGCAGCGAATGCTGTGCTTTGTGCTGATTCTCTGTGTTCCCATTTGATAGTACCTCTGCCGGGAGGCTTAGACCAATAAGCAGATGACCAAATGCTCATAAGATTCTGGATGATCTCGAGGCTATTCCCAAGATCTATTGTTTGCCAGCATGTGGAGTAGATGACTATATATTCGACTATCCATTCATTGATGAAGATGCCATTTATAGACAACGTCGATACCGCCTTCACAGTTAGGTGTGCACGTGCACGGGTAGATCAATTGCCAAAAGGCGGTCTGAATATCAAGCAGTATCCTGACCGCCCGGTAGGCGAAGAGCATCGATAACGAATTGCGGGATATCTTGTCCACTACCACTTCCACAACTTCAACTTGCGCCAATCCTTTGACAGAGCCTCTTGTTGTTCTTGATATCATCAGTGAATATAAGCCCATCTGCATTCCTCAGCTGTGCAGCTTTGGGTGCTTCAGTGCCCCGGGCGTAATCACCCCACACCAACACTCTGAGAGACAAAGAGCGAGAGTGCACACCCTGTCATGGAGGACTTCAATAGTGAAACTGATAGTGATTACACCAGCTATTGGCGAGACTGGGTAAGTGAATTTCTTTTCATCGCAATCTGATTTCCCTTGAGAAGTGAGGCGTTACGGCTGGCGACAGGGCCACCGTGGGTTGGAATCGAATGGAGCACAGCGAGGGGCTGCCGTGACCCGGACAAATATCGAGCTTCGTAGCGTGTTGCTGCGACGATTGTGACTTGACGATATCGTGTCTGTCGTCCTGGCGATATGAATACAGCCTGCCGCGACACAAATACCATGTTCTCCTCTCCAATCTCTTCTCCTTCTCACATTTGCATCCTGTTCGGCTCTTATTTTTGCTTTACTGGATTTCCACTTCATCATGGTGTCTTGGCTGTCTCCACAAGTTGTCCTTTTCTTCGTGGTCTTCTTGGGCGGCGCAGCATCTGCGCTGTTCCAACGCGCGTCTTGGTACGCGGACCATGGCGATATGGATTCTTGTTTCTTGTGTGTATCGTTCGCGATCACTTCGGTCTACTTTTACGTCCATTTGCTCTGCATTTACGTCCAGATATCATTGGAAGTTGATCTAGCCAGGTTTGATCCAAATGACCCCAATGGTCCCCGCGGCTCTCCTGGCTCGGATTTTAACCCCGGTGGACAAAATAAACCACCCAGTGGCCAGTCACCCCAACCTTCACGGCGTGGCCCTGCGCGTGGAGGGTCTTCCACGTCCTCGCGTTTCTCCGATTCCCCTCTGTCTAGTTACAGAAGCCGTGCAGTCTTATTCATGATTATGCTAATCGCAATCATGTATTTGCAGTTTGTCTCATCCCGTGGTAACGAATACTTCTGCGAGATTGACGAGGACTACCTAACCGATCGGTTCAACCTCACCGGTTTGAACACCGAAGTTCCGTACTATCAGTACGCCCTTGATCTTGTGACCGACGTTTTCGATCTTGATGCCGACGACGATCTGCGTGAGCAAATTGAAAAGTCTGCCCGTCACCTCTATGGCTTGGTTCATGCCCGGTACATTGTTACCACTCGTGGTCTTGCCAAAATGGTATGTTGAAATTCGGAACTTGTGTGCATGTTGTTTCCCAGACGAAAGTACTAACCTCCGTGCAGCTTGAAAAGTACAAGAAGAGCGACTTCGGAAAGTGCCCACGCGTGATGTGTGATGGGCATGCTTTGCTTCCTCTTGGCGAGTCCGATCTTCCGAATGCCAGCACCGTCAAGCTGTACTGCCCCAAGTGCGAAGACATCTACAACCCGAAGTCGTCACGTCACTCGTCCATCGATGGTGCGTACTTCGGTACCTCGTTCCACTCCATTCTTTTCCAGGTCTATCCGGCCCTCAATCCCGAGAAGAGCAGCCGTCGTTATGAACCCCGGATCTACGGCTTCAAGGTGCACGCCGCAGCTGCACTTGCTCGATACCAAGACAACCAGCGTGAGGATCTCAAGTGGCGTCTCGCCGAGGTCGATATCAACCACAGGTTCATCGAGGATAGCGAGAGTGATGACGATGCATTCGAGTACGACGAAGATTATGTTGAAGGCCACGTGGAGCAAGTCAAGAACGACAAGCTCTTCGGTGATGCAGCTTCGCTCGCATGAATGTCGCCAAGTACTCTTGAGTGACATGGATTCCATTCCCATATTTCACGGGCAACATTTCGGCGCAACGAGGGATACGTGGTATGCTTGTGCTTTTCTTCGGGTGTTTTCACGAATGACGGCGTTCGGTAGATCGCAAGGATAATTTGCGATGGTTTTTTTTTTCTCCGACTTCGTTTGTACCTATCACCTATCTAGTCCATTCGGGACTCAATTGAAACCACATGACTCAATTGAAACCACATAACTTTTATCAGATCTCTTGCAATGGAGATGGTTGCTAGGTTTATATGGCCGGGATACTAAGAGATAATAAGTACACGTATATTATTCCGGGTACTATTTGCAGCCGCCGCTTAGAATGTTGAACGATTGGGTACTTCCTCAGAACTACAGAGCCAGTCCCATTTCATGCAATTGTTCGAATGCAAACGTCACCGCGCGAGCCAGTTGCTCGCCGTTCTCCCATGCCTCATCATGAGCACCGGTGATCGATAAGATGCGAACCCGTCTATCACAATTTGAAGCTTCCTGCACGGGTATCTGTGCCTCTGCCTTCTCCCAGTTCCTCAAGGTCTTCTCCATGACCTCTATCTGAGGCGCGTCCACCAACCCATCGTCCTTAGAATACGCCAGGACAACCAACCTTCCAGAATTCCACCCGCCTTCCACTCCCCGAGAGCCAGTCACCTTCGCCGGCGATACTTCATCCCAGAGCATCTCATCCGCCCCAAAGGCCCCCTCAATAAACTCCTGGTATGCCGAGATGTCAGCATGCGTATCCCGCAGCAGTCGCAGGTCGTAGATACCCGCCACACTGACGATGGCAGTGGGTTGCACTGGTGCTGTAGTTGGCAGGGAACCGGAAGGGCCAGGTATAGCGACGGTCTGTTCCCGATGACCAGAAACCGTGCCCATCACAGCTTGGAAGGCCAGCGTTGCGCCGCAACTGTGGCCAACCAGGATGTATCGCGTACCGAACCCGTATGTATTCTGGAGGAATGAGAGCGCTGCCTCTACATCGGTGATGTGGTCAGGGTGTTTCGCATTCTGGAAATCCTTCGGGGCGGTATTTGAGTCTTGTGGGTGATTTGGGTGAGCGCTGAGTCGGTACGAGATCGAGGCGAATCCGGCAATGGGTAGATCTCTTTCGCGAAGTATAGATTCCGCTGCACTGAAAGAGGTTGATGTAACCGCTGGATCCCGCCAGGCACCACCGTGGATGAAGCTATAGAAGTACACCAAACGTTAGTATTGCTTTCGGATAGGACTGTGATGGGGACCCGTGTACATCACCCAGTAGCCATCTTTGCGTGGAGCTAATGTTGTGACGGCAATACTTTGTAGATTATGGTCTTGGCCATAGACAATAGTCTGTGTTTTTGAGTGATCCGACATGTTGCCTTGCGGAGTTCTACAACATCTCTTGATTTATGGGGAAGTGGGACATGTCGATAGATTACGGGCAGGCTAGGAGCTGTTGCCATTTGACTGACATGTTGGAGGTAAAAATTAGCTTCGTCTTCCAATATCCGTCACAATGTCCTTTAAGTCACTTTGTTCGTTCTTCTTCCCGTCTCATGTATTGTTTAAGACCTCTGGTCGAATGAGAATTCCCCGATGAGTCCATGGTGGTGTAATATTACTGTATTGCCCCTCCATCTACTTAGTGGAAATCTGTAACATATTTCGTTGTGTATTGGTATCACGCTAAGCCCAATCAGGAATTAATGGTCCCTTTCACACAAACCCTCCAAGTCCACCGTCTCGACCTTAACAACCGCCCAACTGTTGCAATCTTTCACAATGGCCGAGTGAGTGATGGTCTTTTTTGATCAGCAAGAACATGATGCTGACCGACTTGCAGAATTCCAGTCCCCCTCGCGGCCGTTCAGGTCGAGGCCTTGGTATGGTCTCCCCGACGAAAATCTCCCCCAGTCCTCGCCAGCCAGAAATACTGACGTCGGGTATTCCAGGTGGTGATGAAAATCATCAAGCACTGCTCCCAGACCTTCCCCTCCACTGCAACCGGCGCAATCGTCGGTATGGATGTCGATGGCACCCTCGAGATCACCAACACTTTCCCATTCCCCGTCGTCGAAGTTCCCGCCGAGTCGCACTTTGACAACGCCGCTCCCAACCCCGCCGCTGCCGCTCCTCGTGCTAAGGCAAACGCCGCGTACTCCGCAGAGATGATTCGCATGCTGCGCGAGGTCAACACTGATGCCAACAGCGTCGGATGGTACACCAGCGCCAACATGGGCAACTTCGTCAACATGAACGTGATCGAGAACCAATTTTACTACCAGAGCCAGCTGAATGAGCGCACAGTCGCACTGGTTCACGATGTCAGCCGCAGCGCCCAGGGCAGCCTCAGCCTCCGTGCCTTCCGCCTGTCGTCCAAGTTCATGACTGCGTTCAAGGAGAACAAGTTCACCTCCGAGGAGTACGTGCAATGACCTAGTCGATTTATAAGATTATATGAGCGACATGAATATTGACAGAATTGCAGCCTCCAAAAGTCCAACTTGCGCCACCCCGACATCTTCGAGGAACTGCCCGTCAAGCTCCACAACTCCCACCTGATCACTGCTTTCATTCACCAGTTGCAGTGCCCGATTTCCACAGCTTCCACTGAGCTCCCTTCCTCCCTGGCTGCCCTTGAGTCCAGCCCCTTCAGCAAAAACTCCACCCTTACCCCCAACCTCGACAACCTGTCCCTCAGCATCGATCCCTTCCTGGAGAAGAACTGCGATCTCCTCCTGGACAGCATCGAGACCCACAACACCGAGGTCAACAACTACCAATACTACCAGCGTGTGCTCGGCCGCGAGCAGCAAAAGATCAACGCCTGGAAGGCGAAGCGCGCACAAGAGAATGCCAGCCGTGCCACTCTCAACCAGCCCCTCCTCCCCGAGGACGAGTGGCAACGTCTGTTCAAGCTCCCCGCCGAACCCAGCCGTCTGGAGAGCATGCTCAACACCCGCCAGGTGGAACAGTACGCGCGCCAGGTCGACAGCTTCGTCTCGTCCAGCACGGGCAAGATGTTTGCCATCAAGGGCAACCTGCTGCCCAACGAAACCTCGAACTAAACGTTGATGATTGCGAAGGGGAGACACGACGCTTCTGGTATTGCATGACCTTTTTACGGCGTAGGGAGGGAAAATGTTCTCTATTTTGGATGTTAATATGACTTCCTGTTTCTTTTTTCTTCTATGAGCGGAGCTGAGTCTCTGGGAATTATACTCCTGCTTTGTATCGACTTGTATTCGATCATAGAAGGAAATCTTATTTTGTTTAGAATATAACAAACACATTGAACAGGTCAATTTCTCATGTACCTTTTTTTTATTTCAAAAATAGCATAATCTGTGGATGGAACAAAGTGATCTAAGACAAATATAAGGTTAGATTAATCTATGAAATCGTATATCTATGAATACTCACATGCATGCATGCATCATAACTACCATGTGTCTGGATGACTCCAGGGATTTTGAATTTCCAAGGGAACTGCAGCCTCAAGCTCGTCGGCGACTCTGAGTACACAGACGGGACTAATATTTCCCAACAGGGTGGCAATCGCAGTGTAGAAAATAGGCTGAAGAGCACAGCAAGTCCGATGGAAGAGAGTGTCACCAACAATATCCGAAGCCTCGATGCAGCCAGGCGTCATCAGAGAAAGCTCTCTAAGCTTCTCAGCCACCTGAAAGCGAAGACCGGGCTTAGATCGAAGCTGCATGATCTGGGCATGTAAAAGGTCGAGGAAGTAGCTCCGGTCCTTACAGTAGATACTGTCGGGAGCAGGGATATCCATGGTGAAGGGTCGATGGGAGTGATAGAGGGGGAGTATGGATATGTGGGATCCGTGAAGATTGTGTTGGAGACACTGTTGCTTGGTGACAGAATTTCGAGGTGGGATGGAAGCTATTTATACAGTTCGAATAGTTGACTTCAAATACTCGATGAAGCACAGCTCGAAAGATGAGAACAATATGAATGTAAAAGATCCTTTGTTTACATCTTCTCTTAGTTCTCGGATCAACTTGCACACGAAGGCCATTGTACTCAAGAAGGGACTAGACAAAGCAAAAAGACATTGGCTTTTACAAATATGAAGAATACTAGGCATTGAGTAATTTATTCTCATCAGGAATCATAATATACAGAGGCTTGTCATATAGTTGAGCAAGGCTATTGACACTTCGAAGGATGACATGATGTTACTTGATTTGATGTTACTTAATATACTATGTACACATGTGAAAATACAACGGCCTGGTACCTTTCCATCCCTGACTAGCGATGTGTCGATTAATATTTATTCTGTTCCTTTCGCCGATCGTATGTCTCGACTACCATGCTTCCCCAGTGAGCTTCAATGGAAGGTGAAGCAACCGATAACCGAAATTCGTTGGCGAAGGAAGTCGTCCCGCTCGAATGTTAATCTGCAAAGATTGGTGAAGCAGCCTGGGTGCTGCCAGTCCTGCATCACGTTCCTTTCGCAAAGTCACAAACTCTTCTTCGCTGATACCATCTTTCAGATGTTTATTCAGCTTCTTGTGATCCTGTACACTCACCCAAGGAACGGGGTCACTGCGTCCCTCTGGTGGATAATCATGACCTGTCCAGATCTTGAAGTGGTCAGGGAGGCTTAGAAGCTTGCGGCCCGAACGAAAGAGGTCGTTGGCATCGCCGCCGGGGAAGTCACAGCGTGCAGTGCCGATGTCCACATGGAAAAGAGAATCACCGCAGAATAGATTATCTGGTAAATCTTGTTAGTAATTGTTTAACGAGGTCATTATTGTTGGTTGATAATCACCTCCAACCATGTAACCAAGATGATCCGGTGTGTGGCCAGGTAAATGAATAGCCTTTCCTCTCAGGTTCCCAATAGTGAAGGTCTCATCGTCGTCGAAAAGTACGTCAAAAATGCCTTCATATTCCACTGGTGGAACGCCATATCTTTCGGCAAACAATCTTTGTACTTTTTCAATACGCTTACCAATGCAAATGGGCGGCTTAAGATTTTGATCCTGGGCAAGACGTTTTTGAAGGTAAGATGATGCAGTCAAATGATCCGCATGAGCGTGCGTTTCGAGAATCTTATCGATCGTATAGCCCTTTCCCTTGATAAGAGAAAGCAGGGAATCGGCTGCGTGAGTAGTCACGGCCTGAGTAGCAGGGTCATAGTTCAGGACTGGGTCGATGATGACGGCTGTTGATGTTGAGGGATCGGCGATGAGATACTGCCATGTTCCAGATGTGGGTTCAAAGACATCATGAATCACAGGCTCGGTATATATAGTGGATGCAGTGCTGTATGTGACTTGGCGTGGGATTAGATGTTTGGTCGGGGTAGAGAAGGAACGAGGCGAGAATGGGCGGTTCCAGCTATGAACCGTCTGCCCTTTTTGTGATTGACGCACTGTCCCCTTGATTGAAGCGACGTTTCTCGAAGATTTTGCGGTATGAGATACACTTGTCCGTGTCGCTTTTTGGATATGACGCAATTGTCTCAAGTTGGCCAGCATTGAAGTTCCAATTGGCCTGCTAGACAATCTGAAAAGGTCTGACGACCATTGCCAGCCGATGCTTGATGATTGCTGCTTGAAGCTTATCATGATATTCCGGATTTGAAGAACAAAATGTGGTGAGGAATGTCAGAGCTGTCGCGGTGGTCATACTTGAAAGGCGTGGGTCGGCGACTCGGCGAGCATATGGGTCGCCGATTGAAAGAGTCATCACAACTCCATGTTCAAGGTTTCTTGCACGGACTATCGAATTCGAGGAACATATGATGTTGTTAGCGAAGTAGATTGATTTAAATACTGTTGCTAACGCTTCAATCCCATATGTTAAGGCGAATCAAAGTCTATAAGAATCGAATCCGTATGCACGACCGCAGTCATAAAGTGAGAGATAGAGAGATACTGAGACACTTCAGAGTCCAAGAAGGACATTGAAACATATCTGAAGTAAACAAACATCATTGTAACTACTCCGTAACTACGGAGTACTTTCTTTCACCTATGGGAACCCCGAAAGTATTCGGCGAAGAAAGGCCGAAACTCCCCGATATCGGAACGAGTTAATCCGAAAATCACGACATCATAAGATCAGCTGTTTTAACTACTTCAGGGCTTTTTTTTTGTCACATTTTGAGCCTTACATTCCAAGATGTTTCAGCGTCGCACAGTGCTTGCTGCCAAGCGCTCTGTCGCTCAATGGAGGAGTCTCGCAACCGCGTCTCCCGTGAGCTCTGCGCGAAACCACAAAATTGTAGTGGTCGGCGGTGGTTCTGCTGGTCTCACCATCAGTCACCAGCTGCTGCACTCTGGCAAATTTGCACAAGATGATATTGCTGTGATTGATCCAGCCACATGGCACAACTACCAACCCGGCTGGACACTGGTTGGCGGTGGCCTCAAGGACAAAGAGGAGCTACGTAAGCCATTGAAAAGCTTGATTGATCCTAAGTTCAAGTTTTATAACAATGGTGTTGGCTCCTTTGCCCCCGCTGAAAACTCGCTCACTCTCGAGAATGGTGACAAGATCAACTACGAGCAACTGGTTGTGGTGCCCGGTATTAGCATCAACTATGGTGCTATCAAGGGTCTCCCTGAGGCTCTTGCAGACCGGAACTCAACCGTTTCCACAATCTACAGCTACGACACATGCGACAAGGTTTTCCGCACCATCGAAAACTTCCGCGAAGGCAATGCTATCTTCACTCAGCCAGCCGGTGTGATCAAGTGTGCGGGCGCTCCGCAGAAGATCATGTGGCTTGCTTTGGACCACTGGAAACGAGCTGGCCTCTACAACCCTACCAGCCCCTCTGAATCACCCATCAAGATCAGCTTTGCCACCGGCCTACCCGTGATGTTCGGTGTGCCCAAGTACAGCGCCGTCCTCGAGCAGATGCGGAAGGACCGTGGTGTTGAGGGATTGTTCCAGCACGATCTCGTTGCCATTGATGGCAAGTCTGCCGTTTTTGCTTCTCCTGAGGGAGAGGTCACCAGACCATTCGACCTGTTGCACGTTTCCCCCAAAATGGGTGCTTACGCCTTCGTCAAGAACAGCCCTCTGGCCAACGAGGCCGGATATGTCGACGTGGACGATAACACCACCCGCCACAAGAAATTCCCCAATGTCTGGTCTGCTGGTGATGCTTCCAGTTTGCCTACATCCAAGACCGCGGCAGCAGTCACTTCTGAAGCCCCTGTTCTCGTTCGCAACCTTTTGCAAAGCATGGAGGGCAAGGAACTCGATGCTTCTTACGATGGATACACCTCGTGCCCGCTCTTGACTGAGTATGGCAAGGTCCTTCTCGCTGAGTTCAAGTACGGTGGAGTACCCAAGGAGACATTCGGAAACTGGTTTGGTATCGACCAGGCTGAGCCCCGTCGTTCGTTCTGGTATCTGAAGAAGGACTTCTTCCCTTGGGTGTACTTCAACTACATGGTCAAGGGTAACTGGGGTGGACCGAAGGGCTGGCTATAGGCCGTGTACATTATCCCTATGTTGCAATACGATGGCAGTACCTCGGGGTTTTTTAATCATTAGGGGTTGTACAAAAGAAAAATGAAATCATTGAGCAAAATATCTCGACAGTCCTAAGTGCGTTCAGTCTAATACAAAGTTAACTTGGGTGGATATGCACGTGACCATATCACCAATGACATCATAGCTCATCATAGGTCGTTATCGATAACTCGTTATCGATCAGCGAGTGAATCTTTAGTGGAATTCTTGTCTTGAATTACATTCTTCTCTTTCGAAATTTAAGTCTTCGACATGTCTCTAGGATAGAAATCTGACCTCTGTTGCTCTGCATCTCTCCATGTACAACACTCATTCCGATATTTGGGTCGTGAGTCTCACCCGATCAAAGCATCTCCAGTATACTTTCCTATTCTCACCACTAACTGGTCATATTCCTCAATAGGCAGGCGCATTTGCCGCACTCATAGTCGATTTTATCGCCTACCCCTTCGACACACTCAAGACCCGTGTCCAATCCCCAGACTATGAGAAGGTCTTCAAGAATGCGCGCACAGGAGCAGTGCGGCGCAATGTACTCTTCCGAGGATTATACCAAGGTGTTTGGAGTGTGGTCTTCACAACAATTCCAGCTTGTATGTGTTGGCTCTTGTTGATGAACAGGGAACTAGGAATATCACCACTAACGATCCTATCAACGACAATCTAGCTGGCGCATTCTTTACCACATACGAAGCTGTGAAGAGCATTATGTACAATTCCTCAAAAGAAGCATCCACGAGCATGAACGGTGGCAAGAGAAGCTCACCCGATGGCTCTTTGAACAGTCTTCGCTTGCCCTTCACACATTCCCTCCCTACTCCAATTATGAATGCAATTGCCTCTTCGGCCGGCGAGATGGTATCATGCCTCATTATCACGCCCGCGGAGGTACTGAAACAAAACGCACAGATGGTTCAAGGCTCCCATGCGGACAAATCCGCCATGCGACAAGTAATCTGGCGATTCCAACATCATCCTTGGCGCCTATGGAGTGGGTATACGGCACTGCTTGCTCGGAACCTCCCAAACACAGCTTTACAATTTCCACTCTTTGAGTATGTACGATCACACCTGATTAACCGACGAAGACGATTGAAAGCGACTCGGATGAACACTGGTCAACCACCATCGGAAATCAAGGATCAACTAGTCGAACGGGCCGGCTTGACGGGTATAGCTGCGGCAATTTCAGGCACGATCGCGGCGACAGTTACTACTCCAATTGACGTTATCAAGACTCGACTGATGCTTTCGGCAAGTGATGCTGCTAGTTCCCAACATAAAAGTACTCAGGCTGGTACTCGGGGCAATGAGGCGATATCTTCGGATGTGCGGAAAAAAACTAAACCTGGCAAGACTCTCATTTCTGTCGGTCGTGATATCATACGATATGAGGGTGTCCGTGGTTTGTTCAAGGGCGGACTGATACGGGCTGGTTGGACGGCGATTGCACTAGGCCTTTATCTCAGCCTGTATGAAGGAGCCCGGTTTTATCTAGAGAATCGACGGAAGGAGCGCGAGCATGTCAGTTAGAGACTTGGAAAGCAAGCTGGTGGCGGGGATGAAGGGATCTAGTGAGAAGAGCGGTGTTAAAGCCTTTCGTTTCGCTGCCGTCTCAGTGAGAATATTCATGGCTACTCGACTCGCAAATTTCCATCAACGACCCTAGAAGCCCGGGCTTGGAAAAGGATATTTCTTTGTTTTCTAAGGTTCTGATGTGTCCCTTTGATTCCATTTTGAAGACAAAGAACAAAGACGGGACCTCAACTTTGTGAAGCACATTGTATTTAGTCTCCCGAGACTGTTCTGGATAAAGAACAAAGGTAACAAGAGCAGAAGGGGTGTCTTTGAGTTCAGGTAGAATAGTGTGACCAAGGCTTCAATTATATAAATCATATTCCCACCTTGCACGTAATCGTAGGTCCATCCCCTACTAGTGTGTTTCGATTCATCTATTCAATCCATTTAAGCGATTACAAGATCGATCATGCCAATTCCATCTGGACATCAAGGTCTGGACATCCCTATGATTACCGACGAAGACTGGGATGCAGATGACGAGGACTCTGGTTCAGATACTACTTCCGATAGCTTTGACTTGGTGCCGATGTCGACGGCACTGAAACCAGAAGATAAAGTCCGAGGCTTATGTACCAACCCATTGTTTCATTTCACGGTCCACCGTGAAGAACATACGTTTCCAGGCCAGTGCGGTAAATCTGATGGCTGGATTAACACATCTCATTTTCTCTGGACCATGTGCGCTACACTCGCGGATTCAGGAACCGATCCGGAATGGGCAGCGACATTCGAAGAATGGCGACCCCAGTGGAACAAAATCCAGGCGCAGGTGAAGAGATTCGGATACACTCACTTTTCTTCTGAGATCGCTCCTGCACCGGTTGATCTTGTGTTGGTCCAATTCTTTGGATGGGGGTATAGTGGAGAACCCAGAGAGTTTGAGATTGAACAGGAGGACCCAGATAGTGTCTATGACTGCCAGGATATGTGGACCTTTTGGCGATACATTATTGAGACGCCGGCAAGTCAGATTCGACAGATTGTTGTTTGCCTCAAAGATACTGCGAGGCTTGTTGGCTCTGAGTAGAATGTCCGTAAGATACTTTGAGAATCTGCACATGTGAGGGATAATCCTTGCCGTTGAGTCAAATTTGTTTTTAATACTTGCTCATAACCCACCCCTCTTCCTTAAATTTCAGTACCGCCTTCCTGATCTTAGTACCACTCAGAATTCTGCCATGCCATGTATTCTGCCTACTTCTGGTTTATATAGTAAAAAGACATGCATTTCGATTAGAAAAATCGTATATTCTACTTGATACCTATAGAGTTAAACCCCTTGCTGGATAAGCAGTTAATAAAGCAGTTTATGATAAAGCAGTTGACGATGAAGCAGTTGATATAGGATATGACAGAAGTGACTTATTTTTTTTAGTTGCTTACATACAAACCATAGGTACCTGCTGTCTTGCTACTATCATATGCCGTTTGGAATAAAAGCGGTAACTATACAAATTAGGGCGCGGTACTCCGTAAGAAGCAAGTGTCGAGGCAGGTGCTCAACCAAATTAGGAAGGCGGTACTGAAAATTCAGGCAAGGGGGCGTGTGAGCATCTAAGGGGGTATGAGCAACAATTCCCTATTAGTATCTCACCAAATTACGATATTCTCACGTAAGAAGTATACGAGTGATCTCGACGGCCGCAGGTCGGCGAGATAGTCGTTGCGTACGTAAGACTCTCTGGTTTATACTTGCTACGCCTCGCTCCGCAATTATCTGATGCCTAGTCACATACATGTTCCATGTGCTTATTTATGACTATGTGTACCGGATTCTCCCTGGTGGTGGGGGTTTCCTATTCGGGCTGCCGCCGCTTTATGAGAGCGCTCAGACTCAGGCTCTCAGAGTAGATATCATCATATGCTATATGTTTGCTTGCTTGCTTGCTAGTTGGTTAACGTAATTCCCGGCCAAGCTGCGCAGCCCAAGACACATAGTAAAAGCGATAAATAACAACATGATATTTCAACAACGGTTGTCTACATGAGCTTTTCCTTCTAGTCTAATGCTTTTTATATGACATCTTGCTACTTATTGGGTTTAGGAGGATTTGATAAATTAATGACTGAGATATATATATTTCAAGGGTTCAGCGACATAGTTTTCGATACCATAATGATATAAGTTCTCGATTTATTCATAACTGGGATATGATACTAAAAATGCTTATCAATTGCTATCGGCATATAATGGAAATGAATAAGAGCGTTGGTTGTTGAGATATCATGTTGTAATTTGTCGCTTTTACTATGTCTCACTCGGCCGGGAATTACATTTAACTCACATGGCCGCTTAATCATTCTGTTCATACCGCCTTCCTATTCAATACTTAAGGGCTTTAGGAAGCCTCACGTGTACATACGCCTTCCTTCGCCGAAAGAAATGCCCAACCTAGAGAACCTACTGGAAATTATGTTTACGATCGCAAATGAATTGAAGAAGACCCGAGACATTAACTCATTGGTTCGAGCAAGCCGTTATGTGTTACAATCTGACTGCACTCCTGTATCGCACTGAAACGTTCGGTCATTCTGAAGTAAAGCAGGCCTTGCTTGAAAGCGCTCAGATTGGTTTGGGTTCTCTGAAGCCGGTCCCGGAAGGGTGGCAATACATCCAGAGGATTTATCGGACCATCCCACCCAACCTTCCCAAAGTCTCCACTTCACACCTGAGCTCTAGTAAGATGTGGAGATCATAAGTTCAATTAAGAAACCCATGAATGTATGAATGTATGAATGTCTTGAAAGTCTCAACACTATGTAGAAAAGTCAAAGGTTCTTGAAGAGATCGACTACCAGATGTTCTGCCATGATGCAGTGTAAACAAATGCAACTGATACAACCAACAACCACGACCATCATGCACGCACTCCATAGCATATTAGTTGAGCCAGTTATCCCTGCTGCTAAGAGTTTTTGTGACACAGAGGTGTCAAAACCGAATTTATTATCTCTCATACACCCTTCCAGGGACCAGGGTCGATTGCGTATCTTCTACGTTAAATGTTCGTTCCTTTCGTTCGCTTCACCTATGTTTCCGTGCGTGCTGCACTGACTTCCTGTATCCAGCATATTCTGGTACATGGGCTTGAACATGCCAGATTCTTTGTTGCCAGTAATCCTTCTATCCCATGAAAGCCCTACTTCTGAAGAGAAAATCCCGGTCAATGGAAATGTGTCTAGATACGATATCCTCCTTGTAGCATTCCACAAGCCTTATAACGATAGAAAGACACTCGCTACGGCTAGCACCGTAAATTGAGACCGGGAATGATATGCAAAATCCCCTCCCCTGGTGTATGGGCTCAGAGTCGACTGTGAACTCGCCGATTTGGAGACGTTCAACTGTAAGATTCATCAACTCGTCATCGGAACAGTGGCGGTCCCTGTTAGAAAATCTCACCGTAAACCACAAGGTGCCTCGGAACAAGCCATACTCATCGATAGTAGGAAAGCCTTCACGGAGAAAGACGGTTCGAGTGGAATGCATGTTATGGTCCTTTGACAGTAACCCCAGACTTGGAAATGGCTAACCACAGGAGTAAATATTCTGCCAGTTTTGCTAGATAGGTGTTTGAGCAGCCGGAGGAAAAGGTAGGATTTCTTTTTGTTCTGCTAAGTCTTTCATCGTCTAGCCTTTTATTTTGGGATGTGAAGGCTTTGTTATTGTATCCTTCCATCAAAAGCTCAAGGCGAGAAAATAGGTTCAGAGACCTGAAAGTCAGGCACTACAACAAAGGAAGGATATAGACTTTGTTCTCATTCCATTCAAGCACACCATAAGCCAGACTATATAAGGTCCCAATTTACCTTCTTTTTAGGAATATTCCATTTTTCCAGTCCACCGGAGACTTTCAAACTACCAATTTTCACTGCGGATATTATCCACCACCAACATGGTTGAACCAAAAAAAACCATCCGATCTGGAAAATCCTCTGTTGAACGACCTAATAATGGGTTTACCACTGAGCGCTCAGTTGGCGGCGAGCGTCGTTCCATCCGCCACTACCACGATGGTCGACTATCGCAACGTGAGAGTCCTGTCCCTGGCCCTGTCCAAACACTAATCAAGACCAATATTATGTCGAAGACAAAAAGCACTAGACCTTTTTCCAAGCTCAGGGAACAGGAACCGGAACCGGAACCAAAACTAGAGCCAGAAACGGAATATGAATCTCCTACTCTCGCCGAAATTGAGAGACTCTCCGGTGCTGTTGCTACACTCTTCCACCCAGACCGTTCTAACCCCTCTGAGAAGCCTCCCCCGAGGACAATGAGCCCACAGTCATGGAGCTCCGAGAGCTCATATGGCATGGTTACTCCACCCTTCCCTGTAGCCTCCCCTACTCCTGGAGATTCACCCGAACTCATGAGCACAGATGTGCTTCTCCCTCCAGCGACTGCTAGGTCTGATGGCTCAGACGATGATGCCGACAGTATTTCAAAGAAGTGGAAGAAACTGGGTGGAAAGAAACGCATTGGAAGTTCAGATATTCACGACTAACTGGATGTTTACCAAGAAAGATTTTCTTCTGGCGACGTATTATACATGTAGGAAAGTACAACGTAGACATGTAGATAGGTACATGGCGGGACCCAGAGGACTAGACTACCATCGTACGCCATTAGTACCACAGTGGAGAGCCAAACTTGCTCCAGAATGAAGTTGAAACATTGAAAATTGATTGCCATATCCAAATTAAAGAATGCCAAGGATAATAATTGGCAAAGTGAGCAACTCGATCACTATCTGGACAAAACACTTCTTCAGATGAAGTTCAATCAGCCATAAAAACTGAGGAACGCCAAAAGACTTCAATGAATTGCTAAATGCAGCAAGTCCTGAAGGGATTCTGCGTCCTCCAAGTATCTCTGCAATAGTTGATCCACGTTTCTTTGTCGGAGAAGGAATGATTGTCTCCAAGTTCATCGGTAGAAGGCTAGCTTCGGTCATTATGAGAGTGATAGATGCTGGCAGTAGTCCTAGCAAACGGAATGCAAGCATGATGATCACTGCAAAAACCTCGACACTAGCGCGCCTGCTCGTGGAGATTGGCATTTCCTCGCCGGAAGAAATCATTGACCTCTGGATTAGACTCTGGGCTTCGTACATCAAGGCTTGGCAAATCCCATATGTGAAACTAGGGACTGCCAAGTGTATCCATTTCCTTTGGACTTCATCTTCTGTCAAAGAGAAGAGTCGAAGTCGATGTGCTGAGATAGTAGCACAAGTCCAGATCAAATGAAGTTTGCACAGCAGAACAGAGGAACAGGCGTATGCAAATGGTATCAGTAATTCGTGTCTTAGAATTGCGAATTCCAAGAAAGATCTGATCGCATAATGAGTGACCTGATAGACAAGGCCTAGCACAAGCGCATAGGAGAATGTGTGAAGGCTCTGTGTAGTATATATGAGATGTATGGCCTTGTAAATGGATCGGAAGGTCGGAGGTCGCTTGTTCCCCCTTTCTTGATCTGACAAAGCCCCATCCGCTCGAGCAATCTCAACGATCAAAGATGTCGCTACTACATGGCCAAGAAGATAACGAACCTTGTTAAAGATCGATTAGAATAAATTATAGGGAAGATGGCCAGACGAGGAACTTACCAAGCCGGAAAGCAAAAGCCGGCTAGAAATGAGAGCAAAAGAAGAAAATGTGAGCTCTTTGTGTATGGTCGTAGAAAGGGAAATTTGGTCAAGCAGATTTCCATCTCCTCCTGGACTGATCAGAATGTTCAAGACCCGCGAAGGTAAACTTGCAAATACGGCCTGACTCAAAGTGAGAAACATTCCAAATCGTAATTGATGGGAAATTGTTGCAGCGAGGAGATTCACCGAAGGCAGGGTCGCACTACACTCTGACGATAATAAATTTAGAAAGAAAGAATGGGGAAAAGATAGAATTGGGCTAAGCCAACGTTCATCGGTTATACTCGCACGGTTTAAAGTCCTGGTCGATGTGTTACTGTTTGCATTGTTTACACCATTTGCACTGTTTGTACTCCATCAACACTCCCATCCTAATGCCTTTCCTTTTTTCTCTTCCTCGACACTTAAATTCTTTATGAAATGCGCTCTTTCCTCTGAGGATCTGGCAGATAACAGCTGAGGGTAATCTTTCACTCAATCTGACTAATCGTTCAAGTCAGTTTCTTCCTCAAGCTTACATAGGGGTCAGGTTCCGAACCCTGACCGGATAAACCTCGGGATTATTTATGTTGTCCAATAACAATCGCCGTCCCTCACCAAAAGAAGCCCTGCCAAGAAACCCATGTAAGCAGCTAAGCATTATTTAGGTACAGAGCGGTGCTGCCTGATGTGACCTCGGAATGTCTAGCAAATCCCGACAACCCGGTCTGTCGAGAGTGACTCCACAGGACTGTCAATTGAAGATCAATCACCAATTTAGGCCGAAATACAGAGAGAGCATTGCCCAAGCCTGGAGTACCTGCTTACATGTAAGATTCTTCGAATCCTTCCAACCTCGAGTTTGTAGAAGTTCGTCAGCTTACTGGGGGCCTCTATTTCGAGAATAGCTCTCCCAAAACTCTGACTACCCAGAGATCCATGGACACGATCATTCGATCACGCGGCATGCCAAACTTGAACGTTACTAAACAAACACTGCCGAAAATCTATAACGCACTTTAATCATGCATACATGCCCTGAGGATTGGGCAAAACAGTGGTAATATAGCATAGGATGAATTCTATGCATTCAGGGGGCGGCGATACTAGTCGCACTAAATCACCCTAGTCAGGAATAAAATGAATTCTGACATTAAGAGCACTAGGGCTGACAGCTCCGCATGACGAAGTAACATTCCTATGGGGACCGAATGTCCACAAGTGCTAATCAGCATAAGCTCAACGGAAAAGGCTCATACGATCTCCGTTTCTGCTCGTATCGAGGCCGGAGAGGCCACATATAAAAGGCTCATTGTACGCCCACATAGAGCTTCACAAAGAAGAAGACGAGAACATCCTGTCCTTGATCAATCAATCAATTCTCTGCGCCGTTCTTCCCATCCAAATTCCTTCTCCTACAACACGATTCGGTATCCTCGTCCCAAAACAATGTTCAAGAGGCTTTCCATCTCTGCCTGGGCCATTGCGGTTCTAGCCACTACCGCGCAATGCCAGCAACTCAGCTATGAAGATAGCATTGCCGCTCTAGCGTACGGAAACGTGGCCACCGATACCTCTTCCGCGGGCGAAGTCTGGCTCAACGTGACTGGGTTTGCTGTGGAGGAGCTTCCACACATTCAGAGCGATGTGGGAATTCACACATTGGACAACCTCGAGACACTCACTGCTATTGCTGGCCTTGCACAAGACGCGGCGAAGAGAGGTCAGTGGGGAGACATTGTCTACTTGCATAGTGCTTTCAGCATGAATGGCCACGTCGATCATCTCAATGTTTCGAGTGTCGAGATGCAGGAGTCACTCCTGGAGGCTGTTACAAACCGGACCAGCGGAAAAATCGACTCCCCTTTAGTCGAGCTTTATGCCAATACCTCGAGCTCGACATTCTTGGCTGAAGCTTTTAAGAATCTCAAATCAGACGCAAATCCCCAAAGAAAACGCTGGACTAAAGAAGCTTGTTCAACTGCCCACCGCGCTGTCACAAGCGCCTGTCGAAGCCTCCTTGGAAATATCAACGACAATGCCACATGGAAGTCAGGCGGTCCTCGGAATATCTGCCAATATGGTTGCTGCATCAGTTGGAGTGCGAACGCCACTTTCCAGCTCCAGAATCTCTCAAGTGCTGGAAACTATTGCGTGAACGCGTGTGCTTCGAGCACAGTCAGTTGTGAGATATATGGTGTCACATTGCAAGGAACTGTCGTGGATCAATGTTTGAGTAACAGAGCAAACGGTTGCACGTAATGAGGGAACCACCATGACCTCATTCGAAGCAGATCTGCCCGAAGACGGGATTTTCCTATGGTCTATTCTCAAGGGTTGAATTCAATGACTGAGTTTCTTGTTGGTTTCTTTTCTTTTGCGGCATTTACTTGTGATGCATTCTGACGTGCTCACTGTCGCCCCATGCAGTTTGTAGACCTCTCTGTGTGGCATTCCTTTCCCTTTCTCTTTCTATTCTCTGGCAGACAGCTCACCGGCAAACGCGCAGCTTGCCGCGTCCGCGCTTTCCTTTATATGTCTGCAGAGATACTTCTTCTGTGTTCTTGTGGATGGAATCTGGCTGGCTTTGTGGTACGAAACTATGTAAATAGACTTCAATACAGTAGCTAGTTTCTGATCCTCCATGAATATCATCTTTTTGCCTCTGGCTGATTATTACTTCCCTTGTAGTCAGGACCTTTCATCATTATCTTCTGCGGTATTCACTTGTGTATGTAGTATCTCATCCATTGAAATTAATATCGCTCCGGCAACTTCATGAAGCCGCTCGGGTCTTTCTCATCACATACACCCCTCCACAGAGTAACTTATATTTATTTTCAAGGCTCCCTAAAGGGCCTCACCTAAAAAGTATTTATCTAAGCAAACTAAAATCCTTTCTGCCTGAAAAACAGTGCAGTTACATGACTAAGCGAGCTAAGTGTCCCCCGCAGGTAGATTTTCATTATGTTCGTGATTTAATGGGATCTTATCTGGACGATCTTCACTATTTCCCCTTCCCTGTATTGTCTTTATTATCTCTATTCGAACAGTACTGTGGAGGCGTCAATGGCGGCCCCGGCGATCATGCTATGATCGAGGAGGCAGTGCGACTCAAGCATACCAACTCTTTTAAAAACTGTTACACTATGTTTCAAGGCGACATGTATGCCACATCTTACTAACTCATGGCTAAAGAGGCTCTGGCTATTTTTGAACCCGCAATCCAAGCTCGTATCTGTGTTCCACAGTCAGTCGGAGAATTTATTATCCAAAGGCAGATCTACACCTTGCAAACCCTCAATATTCTCATTGACGATATTCTGAGCGGCTCGCAAACACGAATTCAAAAGGCCCCACCAAAGAAGAAGAAGGCTACTGATGACGGAGCGACAGTGGCTATGTCGAGGCTCAGTATCAAGGGCCCCCAAACGCGGCTTAGGCTTTCCGACCTGGTCGCCAGGGCTCGTGATCACCAAGACACACTTGAAGAGTACTGGGTTTGCTACCCACTGAGCCTGTTGTGCTTGCTCATGCTGTCAATATTTGGTTCTTTAGCCGCCCAGAACTCGTTCCCGACGAAAAGGGACGGCGATTGCCGGTTCACACTGATAAATACATCAGTGCTGCTGTTCTTGAGGCTATCAACAGTTCGATCCAAGGAGCCGCCATCTGGAAATACATTGCTAGTATTCTTGGGGTGCTTGACAAGTGTGTTGGGGATGATGCCTCTCGAGTTGTTCTCCTCCAGGAGATCTCCAACATATGTCAAGTAGAGTTAAATCGTGCGCAAACTCTGTTCAAGCGACATGTTCAGAGTGCAAGCGGCTCTAAGTGGTTCAAGCGAACTGCCAATGTGTATGACAGCACCGGTAGCCGGCGCGTTTCTATAAAAGGCAATCTGGAAGACCTTACCGTATCTGACCCCCAGCTCCATTACATGTTGCGTCTCTGCCAGCCAAAGCTCAATGTTTCCACCGCCACTACCTGGATCAAAAAACTGGGCGAGTATCAAGAAGCCCATCCTAGGGAGAGGGAAAATCTGGAAGATAGAGAGGCTGACTCATTGGGTGACCTGGCTATCATCATTGGATTTATCCATGACTTGTCCTCTGTGCTTCCAATTCCTTCCTTTTCCAACAAAAAGGGCCAGATGTTTGCCGCTAAGTCACAGGTGGTGGAATCTGAATTAAACCAGACCAAGGATCAACTCGACTTGCTCGATTACGTCGTTCCCATCGATAACCTCCTAGAACCGGGAGTGCCCAGTGAAGCTTTGAAAAAGCTAGACCAATTCATCATCGAAAAATCCGGGACAAAATTAGGATTCTTGTACCAAGACATGGTTGCCGACTGCCTGTCTGGCGTTCAGGCTCAATGCCTTGAAGCCAAAGAAAAAGTGGCGCAGGGCTAGAAGGCTGAATTTCCTTCTGCTCCGGCAACGACCGCAGAGTCGACGGCATTCCGAGTCGAACAGCGGAAACAGAAAGAAAAAACGCGTCCCGCACATTCATCCATCTACGACATTGTTACGCCTGTGAAGCCGTCTTGTCCACAGGAGCCAGCTTCGCTGCTGCAAACCTTCAAGATAGACGATTCGACAGCAGAGGTCTTCTCGAGACTGTTCAGCAAATCTCAAGCACGTGGCCCAGCCGCCTGGGCGGCCTTCGCCGAGGCGATGGCTAAATTGGGATTCTCAATCTCTCCCAAATACGGCTCTGTTTACACTTTCTATCCACCCGACAGCATGACGGCGAAGAAGTCATTCACAGTGCACAGAACCCACCAGTCGAAAATCGAAGGATATCGGGTTCTCACGGTGGCTCGGCGGTTGAGGACTTTCTATGGGTGGGGTGAAGAGACATTCCGAGTCAAATGAGTTAATGACTTCAGCTCTTCTCAGAGGGATTTATTACGATACTACTACGATGTTTCAATCTCTCTTTGAAGACGTCTTTTGAAACGTCTTTTGAAAGTCTTTTAGGAAACTTGAATACTACGAAAGGCACAATTGCCATAAATCCGCTTTTTGATCCAATTAATGCATCCATGTTAGGTCCCTAATGGTTGCTATGTATGCAAGTTGAACTATGGCCATAACTAGGCTACAGGCATAAGTAGGACGATAAAACGCTGTCCCTTGCTATTTCACAACCATTCAATCTCCCATGTTGGCAAGCTAGAAGCCAGGCTCAGCCAGAATATTCATAATGATGAAATGAACACACATGTCGCACTTAGGGTTGATACCAAGTCTCAAGGCCAGCTGTGGCATCCTTATCCGGAGCAAATTGCAGATTTTGGGAACATCAAACTTGTAAAAATAGTCAATTGCAGTGATGCGATTATGGCCATTTTCGTCACAAGCCGTGGCAAGGGAAGCTTGTGTGAGTCGACCGACGTACTCAATGCCTTGTTCACGCAGGCTCACTTTGACATCTGCAATGGTATCTGACTTCGGCTGCAGTCTGATAAGGCGAGCTTGGTCTTCGAGCCATGACAGGAAGTTGGTTCGCTCCGTCTGATAGTCGGAGATGGGACTAGACGCGGACATTCTGAGTCTGGATGAACCCGAGACTTGTCGAGGCGTGTGCAGCTTAGCAGGCTTCGTGGCTGATTTTGAGGAATGGAAGGTTCATGAGGTGCGTGGGTGATAGAACAGGCTTGGAGCTTGAGTTGGTTAGCCATGGTGTATGGGATGCAATAGAAGGTCCATGATACTTTGATAAGGTAGAGATATTTAGAGTTATCCAGCTGGGAGGAGGATGGTGAGAACAACGCATGGTTTTATACCTTGCGATCATTGGAGAATGAATGGCATTGAGGTTGTCCACTTCAAATCCTATTGAGAAAGAGAAGAATAGCAACGAGGCCATTGATGCCGCCTTTAGGATCAGGCCACACTCTTCACTTCTCAGAATCGGATTTATTCGATGAGGTTTACTTCTTTCATCTGTGTAGCCTATGTTATACCTAAGCTTGTTTAAATGCATTTCATCCCTCATGATATATAGAAAAGGACTCTTACAGTCTAGACTTTTATATATAACCTTCGCATACCGTACATACCAATTTCTATTCGGTGCTATTGTTCATTTCTTTCAGTTATACCAGGAGAGGTCATTCAAGTTGCACATCCATTCGCTACGGACTACCTGGTTGGCGAACATAGAGCGTCATATTATCATAAAGATTTTATTGTAGCCAATGAAACCATTCATAACAGAGAATTAACGCGTATATTGCTGGGTCATAATATCATACGAACTCATACATGTCATCACATCTGTTCTGTCGGAATCTCGTCGCAGACCTTGTAAATAACCAAAAAGACAAACATAACGCTGCAACCATTATACAAAACGAAAACAAAACTTTCAATACACAATGATATATAATGACCAAATCTTGGTTTACAGGTTCGTCAATTTGCGGAACCAACTGGTGGGCTTCTTAGCATCCGCACTGGGCGGAGCGGGCTTTATCTCACGGTCACGTTCGTGATCACCACTTCCAGAGCTGCTCTTCACACCTTCACGACGCGAATTATGATGCCGAGGACGAGCATCATCAATCTCTTCTTCCTCGTACTTAGCACGGCGGTGGGCCTTGCGGCGAAGAACACGACGAGCTTCCTCATCTGATGAAAGAGAATGAGAATGAGCATTGCCACCTTCATCGCCTGCAAGAGGAGGTAGATCAATAAGAGTAGGGACTATCTGCGGTGGCTCCGGAGGCTCATCACCTTGCGAGTAAACCCACGAGGAAATCTTGTCTTTCGCACTCCCGCCACGATTCAACGCACCAGTCATGAGCGGCTCGCGAGTTAACTCAGGGGCCACCTTAGACCTGCGACGACGAGCGTTCGGGTCTTCATACGGGCGAGAGGTACGGGTTCCTCGACGGTCGACCTCACGCTCATCAGGAAAGACCTCAACAGGGATCCTTTGCTCACGTTCACGACGCCGGCTCGTTCTCGCGGCGATCATTTCCTCTTCGCGCATTCGCCGGCGCTCGCGGCGTTCTGCAGCCTTAGCTTCGGCTGCAGCTTGGGCTTGGGCTTCACGAGCAGCCTGCTCTTCTCGAGCACGACGTTCCTCGCGCGCAGCTCGTCGGGCCCGCTTTTCTTCTCGTAGGCGATCTTCTTCTTTCAGACGTTCTTCTTCTTCCTCTTCACGAGCACGTTGCTCGCGCGCTCGTTCTTTTCGCCTCGCGCGCCGCTCTTCTGCTTCCCGAGCTTCGGTTTCACGAGAGTCAGGAGGTACCTTGCGGGATCCACGCCGCGCATGTCGTGCTGCGCGCCGGGCTTCCGCTTCATCGGCTTCTGTCTCGACACCCGCTGCTGCACCGGCGGCGTCGCCCATGAACCCTTCGGTATCTGGTCGGACAGATCCGCGGCGTCGATCTTCGCGACGCGATCTTCGAGCGCCGTCGCGCTCCATTTCTGGCGGATGTCTTCCGTCGTCATCACGATACGATCGCGACCTGCGTCTGTCGGGCATCTCTGGTCGTTCTGGCCGATCTGGGCGTGTGCCTTTTCTCAGAGAATCGAAGAGCCCCATGAATCCACCGCTCTCTTGTTTCTTCACCGGAGCGGTGTTCGAGCGCTTTAGGCGACGTTCCCTTGGAGGAGCATCGAAAAATGCCATATCGTCGGGGCCTGACATAATATCTGCGGTGGGATGTGCTTGATATGGATCAACCAGGACAACATCGTCCTCGTCAGGTCTGTGCCGCGGCTATGAAAGGCGGTCAGTTGGTACAACGGCACAACAAATACTGTGCTTATCCCGACATACCTGTCTCCTTGACCTGCGCCTTGAGCCCTTAGAGCCTTCCTTGGGTGAATTCCTCTCGGCATCCTCCATGTCAACCACAACGAGGTCATCGTCCTCGATCGCATACGGATCTCGAACTGTTTCGTAGGCAGAAAGTCAGCAAGAATAAATGAGTTATGACGTAAATGAACATACCTGATCTCCGCCTGTCCATGCGCGGGCGCTCACGTCGAGACTTGGGAGGATCCATGCCCATCAGCCTGGCTGCTTTGTCAAAGACCTCACGCTTCTCATCTGGACGTGCTAGATCGGCAGTTCTGTCATCTAGATTAATTGATGGACGTCTGGATACGGGTTTCGACGAAGAACCAGATTTGCGAGTGGATTTGCTTTTGGACTGGGGTGTACCCAGTACCATATTGGCCAAGGTCACGCCACGTTGGTTCTTCGAGGACCGCCCCTCACGGTCTCGCCGCTTCTCCCTGTCAGACGCAGACCTTTCCACTTCTGGTTCGGGGTCTTTGGGTCGAGGTTTTCCAGTAGACTCTTTTCTCTTTGGAGGTTCTTCCTCTTGAATCTTTGCTTCCTTCTGACTTAACTTCTTTGGAGGTTCTGCTTCCTCTTGAATCTTGTTTTCCTTCCTCAACTTCTTCGGGGGTTCTGCTTCCTCCTCCTGTGTCGTGTTTTCCTTCTTACTCGACTTCTTTGGGGGCGGCGCAGCCCCCCAAAAGCCCCATGATATGGTGTTCGTGTTCTTTTCACCGCGTGCTCGGTCCTTCTTAGATGATTTTGGAGGCTCTTCAGCAGGCTCCGGTGGAGGCGCGGCAGAAACATCTTCATCCTTCTCTTCTGGCTCGTCGGCTACGGGCTCGGGCTCAGGCTCAGGCTCAGGCTCAGGCTCAGGCTCAGGCTCAGGCTCAGGCTCAGGCTCAGGCTCAGGCTCTGGTTCTAGCGCAGGTATTTTTTCAGGAGGTGGGGTTGGTTCCCTAGCAGCGGCCGCTGCGGCTGCGGCGGCAGCTTTTTCTGCTTCTGCCTTTTTATACTTCTTCAGTTCCTTTTTCGACATTTTTGAAAGACCCGGGGCCGGTGGCTCAGGTTCCGGCTCGGGCTCAACCACTGTCTCTGGCTCTGGCTCGGGTTCGGGTTCAGGCCTGGGCTCAGGATCATCTCCAAAGTCTGGGAAGCTTCCAGGGATAGAGTCCTTAGAGACTTTCCTTTCTTGAGACTCAAGAGCTTCTGCTGTCTTAGACTTTGTTCTTGAGCTTTTCTTCGTTGAAGCACGCTCCTCTATAGGAGGTTCTGGCTCCGGTTCCGGTTCGACCTTCTTTTCTTTGGATTTGCTCTTCGAGCTAGCCTTTTCTGCCTTTGCCTTCTCCTTCTTGGCGAGCTCCAGGGCTTTGATACGTTCAGCAACACTGAGCTTGGAAGCCTTAGGCTTCGATATCTTTTCGGGTTCTGGTTCGGGTTCAGGCTCAGGTTCAGGCTCAGGTTCAGGCTCAGGCTCAGGTTCAGGCTCAGGTTCAGGTTCAGGCTCTGGGGGATTTTCTCCAACGTCAATAAGAAGGTCTTCCTCTTCCTCTTTCACCTTAATCGTTTCATCTGCCTTCTTCGTTGTTTTGCTTTTGCTGCTAGAACCCCCAGTCAGGGTCGACCAGAAGCCTTGAGAGGCTTTTTCCTCTTTCGGAGCTTCGATGGCTTTTGTGGTTTTCTTTGTGCCCTTGGAGGTTTTAGGGGCTACTTCCGCCCAAATGTCATCGGCATTGTCATGGAAAGCTTCGGGATCTGGGGTTAAGCCCTGAGCAGGAGGTGTCGGCGCACGTGGGGGAGGTTCTTCAATATTACTGCCCTTCTTCTTCTTTTTCTTGTCCTTTGCTGGCCCCCAAATCCCCCAGGAGCTCTCATCGGCAGGTTTCTCTGGTTCTGGTTCAGGTTCTGGTTCAGGTTCAGGTTCAGGTTCAGGTTCAGGTTCAGGTTCAGGTTCAGGCTCTGGTTCGGGTTCAGGCTCACGTTCGGGTTCGGGTTCAGGCTCAGGCACCGGTTCAGGTTCAACAACTGGTTCGGGGACTTCTTCGGGGGGCTTGTTCGATGGAAGCTCGAAGTCCTTGCCGGGAATGGGCAGTCCCTTACGTATCAATGTTTTTTCTCGCTTCTTGCGTTCTTTAGACGATATCTCATGCCAATTTTCGTATAGAGGGTTATCAGGCACCTTTGGCGCCTCGGGTTCGGGTTCAGGCTCTGGTTCAGGTTCGGGCTCGGGCTCGGGCTCAGGTTCAGGTTCCGGAATGGGTTCTGGCTCAGGTACTGGTTCGGCTTTGCCTTTGCTTTTCTGCTTGTCCTTCGATGTAACTCCCCAAGCGGCAAAGGGATCAACTGGCTCTTCTGCTTTCGCCGGTGGTTCATCGATGACAGGCACCGGATCAGCTAGGAGGTCAATCTTCTTCTTCTTCTTCTTATCTTTGGTTATCATTGAAAGACCCCAACCCCAGCCAGTATCTGCCTCGGCTGGTTCCTCGATTTCCTCGGCCACCGGTTCAGGTTCAGGTTCGGGTTCAGGTACAGCCGCAGCTGCTGCTGCCGCTGCCGCTGCCGCTGCCTCAGCTTCCGCAGCCCTTGCTGCTTCCTGCTCTGCTGTCTCCTTTGCTGCAGCTTCATCCTCCTCTTTCCATTTCTTCTCCATCTCCTTCTTCGTTTTACGTTGCTCTCTCTTTGGCAGATTTAGAAACCATGCTTCCTTCGTGAAATCGACTCTGGGTGCAGGAGCCGGAGGCGCAGGCGCTTCGGGTTCGGGCTCAGTCTCCTTCATTTTGTCTTTGCTCGCATCCCAACCTCCTCCCCAATCATCTTTTTGCTTGGTTTCAGGCGGTGCAGATCCTAAGTCAAAATCAAACTCGCCAGTCTCTGACGTCTTCTTCTTTGGGGTTGCTCCCCAGGGGTTGCTGTCCTTGGATTCGTCATTGGGAGGAGGGTCAACCTTGCTAGTAGTCCAGGCTTTGCCCCATCCTCCGAAACTAAACCCAGTCCCCCCGGTCTTAGGGGCTGGACTGTCGAAATTCAAGTCCAATTGCGGTGCCCCGTCATTCAGACTTATGTCTTGGAACCCCCCAGGAGGTGCAATCTCGTCCTGTAATTTTACTTAGACACCCGTCTTGTACATTGGAGCAGAATGGTCTTACCTTCCCCTTCTTCTTCTTTTTTCCTACATTCGTGAAGGCAGCCCACGAGTCATCGCCCCCATCTTCGGCCCAGCTAAGATCTTTGGCAACAGAGGCTTCAGAGGCCTTTCGTTCTTCCTCTTCCTTGGCTTTTCTTTCTTCCTCTTCCTCCTCTAATTTCTTCTTCTTATCCTTCTTTCCGCTCACATTCCAATCACCCCAATCATCACCCCCATCACCTCCATCACCTCCATCGCCGCCTCCAGCGCCGCCTGAATCTCCACCAGCCCCACCGGCACCACCATCACCGTTGGATTTGTCGTCGTCTCCACCAGCCCCGCCTGCCGGTGGTGGCGGTGGAGGAGAGGAAGTCGGTGGTGGTGCTGCTTTCTTTCCTGTTGGCTTTTTCTTCTTATGTTCCCGAATACCCGTAGTATTCCCAAAATCAATTCGTACATCCAGCATTCGATCTTTCGGCAGCGACGATGACGGATCACGCGATTTTTCACGAGGCTTTGGCAGGAGGGAAACAGGCGTCGATCTGCGCTGCGCGAGCGGAGGCAGTGCAGAGTATTCGGGAGGGAGATCATGGATTACATCGTCGTAGGAAGGTGGAAGCTGGTCGTAGGACGGTGGTTCTGGTGAGCGAGCCGCAAAGCGAGAACTCAATCCGGTGACTAAATCTTCTTTTCCGGGCACCCAGTTATCTGGCCGGCAAAATCTTGTTTTCTTAGTCGAGAAAGTAGTCCAGACCTCGCGGAGGAGTTTCTCCCCCATTTGCACATCCCGTGCGTAGTATGCGACATCCTCCGCGGCGCTAGTCTTCCCCGCACATACACGATAAGACCCCTCAATTACTTCCATATCGAAAATCGCATGCGCCGAGCTCACGGTCGGTCCGATCACTTATATGGCAACTCAGCGACGTCCAATAGCGAACGCATCGATCGATGATTTGGATTCAAGTCCTGGTGGCGGGTATTGTCCCAATCGATCACGGTTTTTTGGGGCGCGGAGTTGCGAGAGTGCGGTATTGGTGTCGTAAGGTTGCGCGAGGGTTCTGTGAGACTGTGAGGCAATATATCAAGTTAAATTTCAGTCAAATGGCTTCCCTGGACGCTCGGCGCGTGTTTAGGTGCTGTTCGATGCTGATAAGATGATGTATAGACGGGTTAACAGACGGCGAGAGTCTCTAAAACTGTGCCTGCTATAAATTGGGCACAAGGAATTTCAAGGAGTCAAGGGAGTCAAGGGAGAAAAGTATGAAAAAGTGAGACTGGGGAGGGGATCTGGAGAGGCAGGGATAATAAGTTCAGGCGGTGGAGGTGAAGATCATCCCGTTCAGCCCGCTAAGTTCAATGTAGGCACGTACTCCGGCCGTACAATGTACTCGTCCAACGTTGCTGATGCATTTACGTATTCGAGGGTGTTTTGATATTAGCGTGAAAGGTACTCGAGTCACTCAATTTATACATGTTCACGGAGTACATAGTATATGAACACCCCTTGCGGGTGAAACAAAAACATAGATGGCTGGGAACACAGAAGGCACAGAGCAAGTACGAAGTACACTGTCCTTGAAACTAACGATATGTACTTCGTACTTTATACATAATGAACTCAAACACTCACGAATAGACTTTTCTCTACAATCTGCATGTCAACAAACAAACATTGAACGTTACACAGACCCGCGATGATAGTTCCCCGATTCCATGGTTCCCAATTCGAGTCCACGGATTATGAGAGTATATCTTGTGTAGTACCGTGGTACTGTACCCAAAATAAAGTCTAATTCCATAGACACATATAAAGCACGGATCCATAGATGTACAACATATCCACAGTCCATACAATATATACCGATCTCATACAATGCAGGCACACATCGTATACTGCAATGTTTGCATTTCTACCCTTGGGTTATGACCATAGTCAGCATACGTTTTACAAAAGTTGCATGGGATACAGGGTACTCTCCAGATAGTGCAAAATTCCCCTCGAGCCCAATTCACTCGATGCATCCCAATCCAAAAGAGTCACCTGCAAGCGCAACACATCTTTTGCACACCGCCACTTGAACTTCGGAATGAAGAAAAAAAGGGCCTAGTGCGGGGCAGGTGGAGAGTCAAAAGGGTCCTCTTTTTCTCTCTGACTCATTGATTTAATGGTGACACTGAATCTGTTATAGCTACAGGGAATTGAATGAATTGGAAATGATAAGTCCCCCATGGATTCATTATGATATCCTATTCCAGCGCTTCCCAGCTAAACCAAACAAAAACAATCAGTGTAGAGAAATAGATTGACAGGACGAAGTAGAATACAATGGGGATCGCGAGGAAAATTGAAAACCGCATGTGACAAACAAGCTTGAGAGTCCAAACCGAGCTAAACACTTCCGAGAACAACCTCAACTAGGCCGGCACCATCCCAATGGATCCCAACCAGGTTCGGATTTTAGGCTCAGGTTGAAAGCGAGACTTCGGGTGATTGATGTCGGCTCTTGGGTGCTGGGAATCCGTACGCCTCCTCGTGCTCTCTCTCATACCGTTGGCGATCTTCGATTTGCAATTTGTAGTAGCGCTAGATTACTAGTCAGCACGTGCAATTCGGTATGTATCAATTCTGCTCGGTGTCCTTACTTCTTTCTCTGATTCGGGTAGTTCATTCCAATCGTGGGCAATAAGTGTGAATGCCTCTGTTCCGGGCTTCCCCTGGTAATCAATGGTTTCGAGGCGGTCTCCCAAGTATAAGAGGTAGGCAGATTTCGGGAGTTTGGGTAGACGGTCATCTTTGATGGAAGGGTAGTTCTTGTCGACAAGACGTGAAAGGGATAGGCGGGCAGTGTTGGCATCCTTGATCTGAAGGGGAGTGTGCGACTTGACCCACGACTCGTAGGCAACAGCGTTAGCAGCTATGTTCACCTTAGCCTGGGCTTGGAGTCTCTAGATTTGGGAGATCAGTATATCGCTCCTGACGTATACGGAGAATCTCAAGGGCACATACCTCCTCATCTTGAGGATTGAGGGATGTGGAATGCTCTACGCCAATCATAAAAGCTTCCTTGACCGGGTATTGACCTTTGATCGCGCGCAGCTTCTCAGACAAAGCAAGACTGTAAGCAGAGGTAGGCAGCTTCTTAGGCGGGCGGATCAGGGCAGTCGCCTTGAGTTCTCTGATCTGAGCCCGGAGTTGCTTGATCTTCCGATTTTCCTGTTGTGCCTCGGTGAGATGCGGCTTCTTCGCTTTGATGCCGGCTTTTTTGGTGCTCTTCGCCTTAGGCGTCTTAGTCGCCTTGGGAGGGGTAGAAGCAGTAGCGAATGAATTAGACTGGAATAGGGAACGGATGGAGGAAACGGGTTGGGCTTGCGGACGCATCGACCCAGAGTTAACGGTTAGACAGATGCGACTAAGCTGATTCTGCAAGTCGTTCACGCCAGTACGGGGAGGGAGAGCACCGCGGTGCAGGGTGCGGAGGAAGCCCCCCCGAGCTGCAGACTGCCAAGTCATGAGGAGATGATCGATTTAGCTGGAGCGAGCTGCAATAATAGAGATCGAAATGCGACAAATTAGCAATTGAATCTCGAAAAGTTAAGAATCGATCAGAGGAGCTGTTGACGCAAACCGAGTAGGAGTCCCGCCTGCTTTGGTGTACCTATCCGCATCGGGCCTAGCTCTTTCACATGGCCTTATGTAAGCTGTCATTCCAAACGGTTTGCGCAAGTGACAATATGGTAGACAAACACCTCAACGTTCTTTCTCTCGGTGGCCTGAGGTTTGAATCGTGCCCTCAAACGCTTTTCTTACGAGGCGCTTTTTCTTCTCCCTTCTCTTTCTCTCCCCCTCCTCTTTCTCTCCTCCTCCTCCATCAATCCGTGTCTCGGGGGCTTTTGCGTTCTAGTAAAACTCACTGATCAGCCTGCAACAATGGCTCGCCACGGAGATACTCGCTCACCATCACCTGTAGGCAGCACACTTTCTTCATCCCGACGACCTCGCAGAGAGGATGATCGCTATGACAGAACCAGGCGGGATGATGGGCGCAGTTACCGCAGATCCCGCAGCCCAGAGGTAAGTGCGGCGCATCGCATATTCGTATCTTATCTTGCAATTTCTGACCATCCTTGTGATATTTAGAGACGATACCGCGGGCGCGACCACCCCCGCGATAGAGATGCATTTCGACGACCAGATCTTCCCGTAGACCGGCGCAACGAAGATACTTATCGGCCACCTCGAAGAGACCGATCTCGAGAACGGCGACGAGGCGACGACCATGATCTCCACCGCAGAACTCGTGATAGGGATTACCGTTCTAGGCGAGAGGACTCCCGGGATCGGGACCGCAGGCGGATAGATGATCCTGCTGACTTGAAGCCCAAGTCTAGACGGGATGACAGTCGTGATCGTGCTTTGAGCCGACGGTCTAGATCCCGAACTCGAGAGGTAAGCTGCCAGCGTCTTCGATTATGCCGGGCCCTTTATATTAACTGTGTCCCGCAGCAATCTAAGCCGTCCACACCGGTTCCCACTGCCCAGACCGACGAGGAGAAGAAAGCAGAGAGACTTGCCAAACTCGAAGCATGGAAACAGAAACAGGCCGCCGAACGCGAAAAGAAACAACGCGAACAGGCATCAGTTGATCCCAAGAAGATCCTCGAGGCGATTGATCGGAAATCGGTTGTATCTCCAAGTCCTGCCGCATTTCCTGGAAAGTTGAAGTTCGATCCAAAGGCCATTGCTAAATCATCAAACACGACAACCGCTCCCCCCGCTGTGCTTGGTATCGATGTTGCCGTCCCGGCATCTGCCAAAGCTTCGTCTGTGACAAAGTCCAATATACCTAGTACTGTGCCCGACACGCTCTCTGAGCCCTTGAAAGCCAAGGGTAATGTCAGCGGGTTTGGCCTGGGTGCAAGACAAGTTCTCGAAGCAGAGAAACCCTCCGCTTCTAACACTCTGGGCTTTGGGGATGGAGACGAGGGATCCACACGCAAGAAACTCGAAAAATTGCCGACCACGACTCTCGATGTGACGGCTGGGCAAGATGATGTAGACATGCAATCTGAAGGAACCGACGCAGCAGCTGAAACAAGTGCCGCAAGTGAACACCGCGATACACGACTCCACAAGCAAACCGAGGATGTCCATATGGAGGACTCGACGAATACGCAGGCTGATTCCACTCCTATGGAGGTTGACGATGCTCCAGAAATCGACCCTCTGGATGCATTCATGGCTGATCTCCAAGGCTCGGTGCCGCCTGAACGGACAACTGGGGCCACGTTTTCCAAGAACGCGCACCATCAACCCGAGGCTATGTTTAACGATGACGAGGACGTGGATGTGACCGCAGTTGGTGATGAGAAGGCTGAAGATGTCCTCGAGATGGCACAAGCGAAGAAAAAGAAGCGGGAGAGGCCTGAGATCGACCACACCAAGATCGACTATGAGCCGTTCCGCAAGGAATTTTACACTGAACCCTCCAACCTTGCCGATATGACCGAGGAGGATGTAGCAAACTTGCGGCTTGAACTGGACGGCATTAAGGTCCGTGGTTCCGGCGTCCCTAAACCTGTTCAAAAATGGTCGCAATGCGGTTTGGGTGTTCAGACGTTAGATGTTGTTCACAAGCTTGGGTGGGAAACCCTCACATCCATCCAAGCGCAAGCAATCCCCACGATCATGTCCGGTCGCGATGTCATCGGCGTGGCAAAAACTGGCTCAGGAAAGACCGGCGCTTTCCTGGTTCCGATGTTCAGACATATCAAAGACCAACGACCCTTGTCTAGTACAGATGGCCCCATCAGTATGATCCTGGCGCCTACCCGCGAATTGGCCACCCAAATCCATAAAGACTGTAAGCCTTTCTTGAAGGCCCTGGGTCTTCGTGCTGTCTGCGCGTATGGTGGAGCCCCGATCAAAGATCAAATTGCCGAGCTGAAACGGGGCGCGGAAATCATTGTATGCACTGCTGGTCGTCTCATCGATCTTCTGGCCGCAAATCAAGGACGGGTTCTCAATCTACGCCGTGTCACATATGTCGTCTTGGATGAGGGGGACCGCATGTTCGATATGGGCTTTGGACCACAAGTTGTGAAGATCATGTCGAACATCCGACCAGACAGGCAGACTGTCCTTTTTTCGGCGACGTTCCCTAAGAGTATGGAAGCATTAGCCCGCAAGACTTTGAACGAGCCAGTCGAGATCACAGTGGGTGGCAGGAGTGTTGTTGCTCCAGAAATCACGCAAATTGTCGAGGTCCGTAATAAAGACCAGAAGTTCGTCCGCCTGCTCGAGCTCCTGGGAAATCTGTACGAACACGACGCGAATGAAGACTTCCGCACGTTGATTTTCGTCGACCGTCAAGAGGCTGCAGATGACTTGCTCAAGCAATTGATGTACAAGGGTTATCCATGCATGTCGATTCACGGCGGAAAGGACCAGATTGATCGTGACAGCACGATTCAAGAATTCAAGGCTGGCGTTTTCCCTATCCTAGTCGCCACATCAGTTGCTGCTCGTGGGTTAGATGTCAAGCAGCTCAAGCTAGTCGTCAACTATGACGCACCTAATCACCTGGAGGATTATGTCCACCGTGCCGGCCGCACTGGACGGGCTGGCAACACCGGAACCGCTGTCACGTTCGTCACCGAAGACCAGGATCGGTATGCGTTGGATATCTCAAAGGCTCTCAAACAAAGTGGACAGCCAGTCCCCGAGCCTCTCCAAAAGCTGGTTGATGGGTTCAATGAGAAGGTGAAGTCTGGCAAGGAGAAGAATTTCTCACGCCATGGGTTCGGTGGTAAAGGTCTGGACCGTCTCAATATGGAACGCGAAACTGCGCGACAGCGTGAGCGGAAAGCATACAAAACCGGTGACGATGACGATGAAGATGACAAACTTGAGACCCAGCAGGAGTCAGATGATCGATTGAACAAGGCTATTTCAGCTGTCCGATCCAGTGCTGACCCGGCTGTTGCACCGGCTGCAGCTTCTATATCGAGTGTGCCGAAAGGCATTGATCTTGATGGGAAGATTGTTGTGCATCGTACGGAGAGAGCACCGGCGACTGGTTCAAAGAACCCGCTGGATAAGGTGGGGTCTGCTGTTGCAGATATTCATGCGCGTTTGAGCCGCGCGGGTGTGATGAGATCAGGCGTGCCTATTGATAACCGTGGACCTGATGCCGGAGCCTTCCATGCGACGCTGGAAATCAATGATTTCCCCCGTAAGTTATCCCGTATTCCTTACATCTTTCAGACAATTACTTACCACTTTATTTTATCTTGCAGAAAAAGCACGTTGGGCCGTCACGAACCGCACAAACGTGGCAAAGATCTTGGAGACATCCGGAACCTCTATCACTACCAAGGGCAATTTCTATCCTGCCGGGAAGGAACCTGCCCCCGGGGAGCTTCCCAAGCTGTATATCCTGGTCGAGGGTGAGACGGAGATTTCAGTGACCACCGCCATACACGAGCTTCGACGCCTGCTCAAGGAGGCGACACTGGCAGCTTCGGAGGGTGAGGCGCGGGCTCCGGTGGGTGGCCGCTACACTGTTCTTTAGGTCATACCTTAGTTCATAGTAGTCTCCTAGATACGTTTTCGAAACAAATCAATGATTGTACGATATGCTTTGCGTGTCTCAATTCTTGTAAAACCTAAAGATAATGACTATATTCGTGATTACTTTCATCCGGCAGTGGAACTGGGGAACATTGGCTAATCGGAATGACTGCCGAGGCATTGTCAGATCATCTAACCTAACTATCAAAGAGAAGCTTGCTTCCACAATTCATCCACAAACAACGAGCCAAAGAACTGCAGCAAAAGAAACCAGATAGTTCGCTACAAAGAAGAACAATAAGCTCACAAATACAACGCCAAAAAAACAAAGCCCGGGATATAATGGCAGTCGTGATCAAATCAAAACCTCGCATAGGTATGCCTATTCCCATCTCCTTGCAGCTTCAGCCCCATCTACATCTCGCGCAGCCCTCTCTGTGCGACTGACTTGATCCAATGTCTGCGCTTGAGTTTGTGCCTTCTGAGCAGCTAGCTTTGAGCCCAATTTCCCTTTATTGGCTAAGGCGCCTTCGGCACGTTTCTGTAACACAACACAAGTCAGCAATCGTAGCTCTACATAGCATATATAGAGGGAAACAAGATATCATACCTGTGCGGCGATTGCAGCGTTTGCACGTGCCTCGTCCGTTCCAGCAGTACTACTACCTGTAGTGCTTTCACCCAGAGTACGGCCGGGTGTAGCCTTCCAGTTTGTCTTGGCCGGAAGTGGGGCGCGGGGTGCGGCAGTTCCCCCTGGGTTGGTGCCGACTACACGGCCAGGCTGATTGAAAGGGTCTGCCTCATTGGAAGAGCGGGAGCAGATGTTGCCCATTGTGATTGTGTAGTGAGTCGTAGGGATCGGAGGGTATGTTGCGGTTAGGCTGGGGTTGGCGCAAGATGGAGAAGGTCGTTGTCGTTAGAGCTCCGGCTACGGTGCGGAGTTGATATTCGAGTACACCAATTGAATGCAGGATGTTTCGCTAGGGTAGAATCTGTAGGCGCTATGCTGGCTGTAAATCAAGTTGTACGATGTTGTGTTGTTGTTCGCAAGTCATCGCAAGTGGATGTTGGAGCATTGCGATAAGGCTGATCCGATAGTCGATCCGGGGTCAAAGGCGGTGAACAGGGTCCGAAACTGATTTTAGTAAGTCGGGCTGTGCATTGATGCCTAGTAGGATGCGGTGAAGCTAAATACATGGCCAGCTCATAGATTCCATGGCTGATTCAAATTGAACTTTTTCATATGTACCGCATGCAAACCGCAGACAAAGTTCCCCATTAGGGCTGTTGAATGGCAGGTCGGACTATATGGGCAGAATAAAGCTTAGTCACGATCTCCCTTGGGGAAATCATCTCCGCATGGGAAAGGAATTTTTCATCGGAATGCTGGGGAACATTTTTCGAGTCTGAACTGATCTCATGTCTCTGTTTCCTGCAGTTTTGCCTCTGTCTTATATCCATCATAAGATTTCCTGAAATTGATCGCCAAAGCGTGTTCTGCGATTCGCTCGAAAATCATGACGCCTAACCCCCAAGGTCCTCATCCTCTCCTACGTCCCGAAGGTCCTCACGGCTACACTGAGGGGTCTCAGTCGGCACAACGTTATGCCCCCTAACCCTCTCGAAATCATTTGAATTTGATCCTGCACATCTGCGACTCCAAGGTCCTCCTTTTTGCTTTTCCTGCACGTCGATCTCGGTCAATTCTCCGATTGCGCCTGTTCGCAATTAGTCCAGTACAAGCGCGTGACACGATTGCGAAACTATCTGCACTGTGGGAGGATATCATTCGGTGCTACAACCTAAACTGTCTCCTGGGAGCGGCGCACATACTGGGTGGCGCTTTGACTCGTGGGTTCGTGATTTTGTAGTGGGATATCGTACCTGACGGACATTCACTGTCCCACTTACGGTCGCACACTGCTCGGTTCCTCAACTGTATTTTCCCCATATCGTTCGTCTTACACACTGTTGTGACGACAGCTTTCCTGGCCAACCCGGTTCAATTTCGCTCCAACACCTTCCCTCTGTCATCTGAAGTGAACCGTGCACCATGGCTTCCGAAACCCAACAAGGCGATTTCTGCCTTGAATGCAACTGGGAAGCGTTCCATATTGATGGCAGACCTGCGGCAGATCCCTCGGGTAATGCGTTTCAACATCATTGGAACTGTTCAAGTCATGAAACCCAGATACCGCTACCCCCTTGTGAGGTCGATGAGGCCTGCTGTGATGTAGACGACTGCGCGCTAGACTGCGGGTCCGTATGTGGCCACTTTACGGGCTGTGACACTTCCACTGTCTGCTCAGTCACTCATTGCGCGGATGACAACTGTGATGATGATAACTGCGACGATAACCATTGCGGCGATACTCATTGTGATACCAACCACTGCGAAGAGGATACCTGCCAGGACAACCATTGTGAAAATATTGACCCCCTGTGCTTCGAAGACCACTGCTGTGAAGTTACCGCGAGTCAAGACTGCGGCTTTGATGCTATGTTTGGACTCAACAACCAACTGTCGCTAGACACGGGCGCTTTCCCTTCGATGGCAATGGGAAATCATTCCGTTGGGCATACGACAAAAGCCATGCAACATCCTTTCCCTGGTCTCGTCGATCCATTTCAACAGGAAAACTTCCTATCCTCATACCAAACGCATGCCACCCACTGCGAGCAGGATGTATCCAACCACTTCGAGTGCCATGATTTCCAGAAAGACTGGCAGGGGATGTTCGTGTCGCCTCCTGCTCCCACACAGGCCGAAGTTAACCCAGCCGAGGTTTTCCACATGCTCGGTATGTGCTCTGACTTCTCGATATGCCAAGATCAACACGTACCTGGGCCTCAGACCAGTGTCGATACCTTTGAGAAACCCAAAATCGACACGTCAAATGCATTCAATTGCTTCCATCCCGGACATCATCATGTCCACAGCCATTTCAAAAATCCCAATGATTTCAACCTGCAGGTTATCCGCAAAGGACCTCACCGCAACCATCATCGCTGCCGAGCTCACACCCATGCTCATGCTCATGCTCACGCCCATTCTCACCCGTATTCCCCTTATTCTCGACAGTCTCGCTCAAGCATCAGCTCTCACCTCATTTCCAGTCCGGGAGAAACCCCACCACCTCTCGAAGGCGACTCCTCATCCGTACTCACCACACCGGACTTTTCTCCAGCCGACAGTAAGCTGCATATCTGCAAGTGGACAACGGAGATTCGCGGAATCAAGGCTGCTTGTGGTGCCACTTTTGCCGACTGTGGCTCTCTACAAGAGCATCTCGTTGCCTGTCATATGAATACCGTGAATGGTGCCAAGGGCAATGGGTACTACTGCTGCTGGGAAGGATGTCATCGCCCGGATGAGCCATTTTCGCAGAAGTCCAAGCTTCAAGGTCATTTCCTTACACACAGTAACTGTACGCCATATCTTTCATCTCACGATCTACCGAGGGTAGGACAAATGTGCTAACACGAATGGTATCCTTCTAGACAAGAATTTCTCATGCTCGGTGTGCGGCAAGGCATTTGCTAGACAAGCGACATTAGACCGACACGAGCGCAGTCATCGTGGCGACAAACCATACAAATGCAAAGACTGTGGTAAATCATTTACAGACAGCAGCGAATTGAGTATGTCGTTGTCAAATTCCTTTTAGGATCCACCGCTGACCACCCCAGAAACACATTCCCGAACCCATACCGGCGAGAAGCCTTTCAAATGCACCTGGCCAGGATGCAATTTCACCACGGGCGATGTAAGTTGTCCATCTCTATGCGATATACTGGCTCATGTTCTAACATCGAACCAGTCTTCCAATATGTCTAGTCACAGGCTTAGTATGATACCCCTGCCATCTCAAATGTTTAATTTACTGACTCTGTCTAGCCCACGGAGAGCGAAAACATAAATGCCTTTTCCCAGGGTGCACTAAGAGCTTTACACGTCCTGGTAAGTTCTGACCTGAGCTCTGTTCTTATCGCCTACATGCTAACGTTAATTTCTCCGTAGACCAATTGAAACGGCACCAGAGGACAACACATAAACAAGAAGCCTGCTCGACACTCCCATCACCGAGCCCCGATCCCTTCACTATGACCCCCTTCACTCTCGTCTAATTATCAACTCCTTTGAATGCATATTTGAATGCGATTGTCATGTCTTATGACCCAACGGATTTAGGCGCTATTTGCCGCCGGGCGTACTATGGAAGACTGAGAAACACTGTGTTTCTGGCGTTTTGTGGATTTTCGAGAACCACCAAAAAGATACCACCTGGCCTTGATGTTGCCAGGACTTTTCACCAAGGATTTTATCGATATATTGTTTTACCCCTGAACCGATCAAATCTTTGATTGGCTCAAATGATCTATTTCCTATGTGTTCTTATTATGTTATGATTTGCTTTAATGAACTCGCATATCAGGTATGATATTCGCGCATACGGAAAATGAAGCTTGCAGACTAAGATGCATGATGCCTTTATTCCTTTTGCTGGTGTGGACCACAACATACAAAGTACCAGTTAAACATTAAATATACAATTGCCAGATATGAAACCCATACTATCGATGTACCTGAGTAGTGATAGGCCAGACTTTGAGCAGCCATACAGCCAAACCCGCTCAATCTTCGGTAGCCCTCTCCTCGAGCGCCTCAACAGCATTCTTCAACTCCCGAATCCGATGTCCGACCCGCCGACGTACTTCATCCCTAACCTCCTGTGGGACCTCTGCCGGATTAGATTGGGTCTCGACAGTAGGACTCTCCTCCGACGTCTCTGTCTCATTCTCGACTTCCCCAGGACGAGTAATGTAAAGGCCGTACACCTCGGACAGCTGGTTGAGAGCATCGCGGGCAGATTCGCGGTCTGAAGCAGCATAGATGGTAGACGAGTCAGTGCTCTCGGTAGCAATTTCAAACTCGTCTTTTGCGACTTCGTATAGCTCTTGTAGTTCCTCGACCAGGATATCGGCTTCGGCTTTGCCTGTGGATCCTTTTCGGTCGGCGTAGGTCCTCACTGTGGGTTTGACAAGCGATGATTGAAGAGAACATGATGATTGGAATGAGCTTAGGCTCAGTCGTATTTTCCTAGAACTGGACAGGCTGTGCAAAGACCGAGGAACGAGATGCAGTCGCTGTACGAAGGGTCGGTTGATGTGGTGCGATTGTAGACCTCCAAGGCGCAGGATTGAGGAGCCACGCGCAGATCGAATGCATAGTTGGGCAGACATCTCGAAAATAGGGGCGAATGAATTAAAAAAAAGGTAAGGTGTACTCGGTAAATGATTTTAAGAAAGGAGCTGATCGTAAGATCGGTGATGACGTCGCCAGCTGTTTATCGCATCACGTGCCGATACAGATCTCAGGGGTGGTAATAAACATAGGGGATTGTGACCGTATGCATGCATCAGACCGACGAAGGCATCATTTTATTAATTTTATGAGTTCATTGCGACAATTGCCTTTTTTTTCTTGGTCTTATTCCTTTCTTACTACTATGCCTATACGCCTACACGGAGTATGACCAACATAGAAATCTAAAAAGCGGAAGCATCGTGAACCTCCCTAAGCTTCTGTAGAGAATCCCGATCCCGAAATTGAGAAAGAAGCCGAAAAGGTTCAGCCTAGTCCAGTTGGCAATGAATCTTAAACAATCATCACAATCTTCGCCAATGCCCCATTTTCCTCCATCAACCGATGGGCCTCCACAATTTTCTCCATCGGAAAGGTCTTGATTGGCAAGTGAATCTTGCCTGTCACCAGATCCCGAGCGATCTCCTCAATGGGCGTTTTCAGTACTGCCTCCGTGGTACTCGTATAGGTGGTCAGCTTAACAGAGGTCGGTATCGACCCCATGGGCGTGAACTGGTCAAAGGTCCATTTGTTCCCAGCTATACCCGTCATACAAACAGTACCACCAGGCGCCGCACATTGCAGAGAGTCGTTTAGCGTGGTTACCCCAACCAGTTCAAGGATTTTCCCAAACGGAGCACGTTTCTGGACCTCAGCCAATATCGATCCCCCGTCGATAATGACGTCGTCAATACCAAGACCACGTAAGAACTCTACGCGTGCTGGATTCCGTGTTGTTACAGTGACAGAGATTCCATGCAATCGAGCGAGGGCCGCAGCTGCCAACCCCACGCTGGTAGTTCCGCCGCGGACCAACAAGCGGTCACTGGGAGATAGCGCGAGACTGGTGAACAGGGAACCCCAAGCCGTCTGCATAAGTTCAGGAAGAGCGCCCAAGATATCCCAAGGCACGGGCCGATCGGGGCCAAAGGCAGCGGTGGCATCGACGCGTCGTACTTGGTCTACCGGCACAGCCGTGTATTCGGCATATCCGCCATCGAAGGATCGGCCCATGCCGCCCATTGCAGTGACGACGACCTCGCCAGCTTTGAAGCCTGAATCCAGGGCCTCATCGACGATTCCTGTAGCTTCGATGCCCAGAATACGCGGGAATGTCACACCGGGTGAATCACCTTGACGCGTGAATACTTCCGATCGATTGAGCCCAAAGGACTTGATGCGTATGCGCACCTCTCCCTCTGTGGGTGTTGGCTTTGGAACCGTTTGAAGTTTCAACACCTCAGGGCCACCTATATTGTGCATCACAATAGCTCGCATGTCGAAGGACGTGTTTGCGTCAGCGGTAGGATTGATGATATCCGTGGTGTTATGGTGTGTCACTGGTGAGAGTCAAAGGTACGAAACGAGGATAACAGTTGCAATCGCAGCAAGAAGAAGCCAGGAAATTCACGTCTACGAGCAAATATCGGGACATAAACTTACCAATACAACATAGATAGTGATATCACATGGCGTCATTTACTCCTTCCACGGAAAGCTTCTTTCTTTATGTAAGCAAGATCCCCTCAGGTGCCGAGTGAGCGCGATACACGTCGACATTCGGAGTAGTCGACGTTTGGCCCGGTGGAATTCCGATCACGCACCAATCACCAATCACAGCGTCTGGGTTGCAGATTCCAGGGTGATAATGCAGTTTACTTTTCAGTGAAATGTTCATTTACTAGTCGGTTCTGATTGAATATATGGCCTACTGAGCAATATGAATGGCGGTCAGTGGTATTTATGCTTCAGATGTAGCTGGGTCAACGATCCGGCCATATCAAGAACTCCCGTGCTGGAGGTAGAGTCGGAGTAGACCAATAACGGAAGAGCGGGCCGACCGGCCCGTGCCGCCCCAATTGCGGAATGCAAGTCTCGGAGGCCATGTTATTCCATACCGGCCCTTCATCACTTATGAATCTCATTCAAACTCTCATTCAATAGAGATCGTATGAGCCACACTGCTGTTGGCTAGGACAGGAGATACGGTCACGCAACCGTTTTCAATTTCTTCTAGCAGCCTTCGACCCCAACGCAGAGAGCAACTTCCATTGCGAGAAACGGATTGCGATTGGTTTAGCTAGGTTCACGGCTATTCTTACTGAGGTTGGTGAATTTTCTGGGAAAGGGCCAATGCTTGCTGGCTAACGAGCTTCAATGCTATGCAGTACGGCTTTTTTTGTCATTCCTTCAATTCCAAGTTGTTCTTAGTGGCGGTGCCTACTAGATCCAACAGCCCTATACTTATTGATTCTAGACGTGGTTTTGCACTTTGAAACTGGAGTCTGACACAGTATGGCTGAATCTGAAGGCTCTGTATAGATGTGACGCTAATGCTTGAAGTCTATCCCACGATCCACCTATGCCATGCCGCCATTCACGCGCAGAACCTGTCCTGAGACCCAGCCACTAGCTGGGGAGCTGAAAAACGCCATGACCTCCCCAATCTCCTCGGGTTTAGCTAAGCGTCCTAGCGGGCTAAGATTTTTCATGGCATTTAGCACCGGTTCTGGCTTGCCTCGCGTGAATAAGACGGTGTCGGTCGGACCCGGGGCGACGGCGTTGATGGTGATTTCCCTGGGGCCCAGCTCCTTAGCCAGAACTCGGACCATCTGTTCGATGGCACCTTTCGTGGTCAAGTAAAGGAGATAGGGAGGCGTGACTGTGGAGGCGTGACAAAGAGTCGTGGAAACCAGGATGATTCGACCACCGGGACGGAGATGAGGCACTGCTTTCTACAATCAACCATCAGCAGCAAAGAACTTTTTTTTGTATCTTCTGCAGGTGGGTTGTCTGCAATCTGCATGTCGTACCTGAACCAAAAAGTAGGGTCCCTTCACATTCAGATCAATACTGTCGTTGAAGTCTTGCTCCGAGGTGTTTGCCAGGTCATGGAGGGGCAAGGAACCGGCGTTGGCAATGACAATGTCAATTTGACCAAACTTCTCCACTGTACGACGGATCAGCTCCTCGCTGTTGAGCACACAACTGGCATTTCCCTTGATAGCCAGGGCGTTCTGCTCTCCAATTTGGCTCACCACCTCCTGGGCGCTTTGCTCATTGGAGCGATACTGGATAACCACCTTGGCACCATCGCGCGCAAGACGAAGAGCTGTCGCCTTGCCAATACCATTAGAGCCACCGGTGATTATGGCAACCTTTCCAGTGAGAGCAGCCATAACTTCGGTTGATGATAGATAGGGGATAACGAATTAGGACGACAGGAAAGGTGAACAGAAACGACATTTCAAGTGCTTGTTTTGCGCGAGAGGAGAAATAATGCTTCATCTTGACGGTGTTACATCATGCTGACGGTGTTGGTATACGGCGTACATGAGTTTATCGACGGTCCATCCGCCTCTGTGAAGACGTAGAGTGATGCAATGAGCAGCGCAGAGATAACACGCAGGAGCTAGTAGAGATCCATCGATCTCTCCACTCGAATGGAAGGAACATCCAACTGGGATTCGAGTGTGTTCAACGCGTCACCGACCGGCTCTTACCTCCTGGCAAAGCTTCACCAACAGATGAAGTATCCATGCCGGCGAGAGCGCGATTGAGATGCTCTTTGCGTATAATCGATTTATAATAGTCAGAATCAGTGCAGACAAATATACCCAATCTTACGGGATTACTAAAAAGAGAAAGAATCGCGCGCCAAGCATCCAAAATTATCTGTATTGAGTCATTCTTCGAAAATGGTCTGGCTAGGTAATCTATTAATTTAATCTAGTATGTAGAGCTAAACATCTCGGCCAAGTTTGTTCTTTCTCCAACGCGACTTACCCTTGAAGGCCTCATCAATCTCCCCAAAGGTCCGACCTTTCGTTTCATGCATGAAGAGGACGCCAACAATGACGGTAATAACACAGCATCCACCGAACAGAAAGTACACACCGAAGCTGCTCTTCGCAAGGAGAACAGGTGTCGTCAAAGCCACCAAGAAGTTGCACACCCAGTTGCTCGAATGAGCTAATGTGGTAGCTGATGCTCGTGTTCGCTGGGGCTGAATCTCGGCACTATAGACTTTGACGGAGATACCCCAGGTGACGGAGTAAAGAGCGGAAAAGAGGTAGATGCAGACAATCACCACCCAGCGACCGACGCCAGTAGATTTGTGGACGGCATTTCCAGCATAAAGACCGCCCATCAAGAACATCAAGATCCCCATTACAACCCCACCGTAGATAATGCTGCTTCGGCGGCCCCATTTATCGGCATAGATTAGTCCCGGGATGGTGACAGCGAATATCACAAGCGCTGACACACCAGAGGCCAAAAAGCTTGCTTCCGAAGAGGCAAGACCGGCCTTTTGAAACAATTGGGGGGCATACTAGAGTTCAAGTCAACCACTGTCAGTTGTATCGAGGTATGGAAAGGGTTTGAGCCTACATAAAGGACACCATCAATACCACTCAGCTGCTGCATCCCCATCAAAAAGACTGCAAGGATGGTCCGGCCTAAAACGTCTTTGGAGAAGATGGCAAGAAGCTTATCCACCGTTCCCTCTTTGGGCTTCTCGATTTCAGTTTCAACCTCCTGTGTCCGTACTTGCAGAACGACCTTTTCGCGCTCTGCGCGACTGACACCCAACTTGTCCCACGCCTCTTCAGCCATCGCATAGCGACCATGAAGTCCTAGCCACTGAGGCGACTCTGGTAAGTAAAGGAGTGAAAGTCCACACATGACCATGGAGAAAGCTGCAAGAAGGATAAACGGCGTGCGCCATGCCAGTGACGAGTGGAGGCTTGAGGTTCCATAACTGATGAAGTACCCCATGACCAATCCGAGAGTAATGGCCAGTTGAGGGCCTGTTGTCAGTGCGCCTCTGGTGCTAGTTGGTGAGATTTCACAAATCAGGACGACAAGATTTCCAAGGAAAAGTCCTTCTCCCAGGCCCTCCACGACACGGCCAACGATGAACATGGATAGGGCAACGGCTCCGGCTTCTATTGCGGCTCCCACGCCGAATATGAAAACGCCGATGCAGATCCCTTTCGGCCGACCAAGCCGATCGGCGACATAGCCAGCGAAGAAAGACGAGAGTGCTGCTGGAATCAAGATACATGAGACGATGAGGCCGTGAATCGTGGAGTTTTGACTACCAAATGACTTTTTGAAGTCCTTCATGTCGGTCACCGGGCCGATGATACCGGTATCCATCCCGAAGAGGATTCCGTTCGCTGAGCATAGAATGCATGCCAGCATATATTTCGGTGGATTTCTGAACTGGGAAGGAATTAATCCCATTACTTCGGCTTCGGCTTTTGGTGTTTGACAGGCTGAAGATATTTTTCGGCTCGGGTTGTGGGAAGTGGAAAGAAGAAACGAAAACTCTTACCCCTCTAGACCCCCACGTAGGGCAGTCATCATTATCCATTGGGTACATCGTATAAAATGCCGTTACATGCATATATCATATCCATCATTGCTCACTAGGTATCTGTCAGAATTGACCAACTGTAGGGACTTGCCAGTATTATATATTCTGCAAAAAAATGTGTCCCCAGGGCTAGACGGAGAAGCTTTATCCGGGATTGTATTTGAGCTCTTCGCTGAATCGGCGTGTGAGAGGCCGAAGCTTTTGTGGGCCATCGCTTCTATCTCGGGGTATCTCCTGGGGTTTTCCCCTCGTTTCTGACGTTTTATGGGGCTTCCGGGGTACATTTCACATTACCATCCGCTTTTCGATATACATATGTTCCCTCATCAATGTGATGGAGAGTGGTTTGTTCCATTCTGGACACTCGAAGAATCGAGCCAATCATCACTCTCTAGCCTTTCAACAAAATTATTCGTCGAGGAATCCGGCAGATCCCGATTCACCTCTCGCTCTCTGCTGTGGCAGATAATCGCTATCTTCGCACTGCTCCCGCCAGAGGGTCCTTTCCTCAGACAGATTGACGGAGTTCGTGTTTCCCTTCAGCGTTCCATTGACATGCTTGCGCCAGATAGCCTTGAAGGACGGCACATTTGCTGCCGTGACAGCGACGTTCAGCTCAACTGCTGAGATAATGATCATTTTGCCGAGGACATAGATGAAATCCGGGTTTACTGCGAACTCATGAAGGATGATGATACGGGCCTTATGGGGAAGGCAAGGATTTTAAAGTCCATGAGGATGCACTAATGATGGATAGATTAGCTACATGCTCTATTTCCTGCAGTTTGAATTTCCTTGGAGACTCGCCAGTGCAACAGGAACGTAGTAGGTTACCGATGTTGACAGGCACGTAACATCTGGGTATGCTGCTGAATTCCAAAAAGCTGCTAGGGGAATGTATTGGAAACAATAAAGCAGCCGTATGGAGATGGAGACCAAGACATTCAGTACAATGGTCCCGTAGACACCTTAGATGAAGGTAGTGTTGTTGATGAGTCGGAGATAGAAGACCAAGAACCCCGTCTTGATGCATCCAAATATATACGATCTCCGCTGCAAAGAGAAGCTGTGAGGTTAGAACGAAACCGACAAAGGGAAAGGGTTTCCAGGCATACCTGTGTCAAAATCAATATATCTTTGGATCAGGTATCCACCCCCATAGCGAAGAAAAGTATAAAACAGCCCTTGTTGTGCTGTGTTGTAAACCTACACACGCTATTCGTTGTCATTCTTCATGATACAATGGAAACTACCATCACGACCATCCACCAATGATCCTTTCCAAAAGATGATAATCTAGCCCCGCGAATAAATGCGCAAGCAAGCTGAGAAGGTATTGATCGCCCACGTATGCCCACAAAAGGAAGGAAATGGCGTATGCGGCTGGCTGAAACGACTCAAACATTTTCACAACATATACCGCCAGCGCGGCATAGCCGGAGCCCTAAACCCGTTGTAGCGTGAAAGATCGCCGGTTCTGCAGCGTCCCCACAGCATCTAGCCTAACAGACCAATACTTTTCCTTTGTTTTGGAATTGACATGTTTATTCAGCCCGATGGTGGATGGTGGATGGTGATGGTGGGGAACACGTATTCGGTACTCAGGGCTCAGCCAGCCTCCGAACAGCTGGACGTCTTATCATAACCATATGATACGGGCAACTGATTTCGAAAAAAGAGGCGTACCTGACAGTCGCCAGGTCTTTCTCCGACCCCTTAAGAGCTACATTGTTCTGTCTACCCCTGGTTAAAGAAAGCCCGACCCCAGAAATACTGAAAAACGGAAAGGAACTCCTTCAGGACGGACAGCCAGCGAATTTGGAAAAGATGGCCGTGGCAACGAGCCTGGCGGTACTTCTGAGTCCAGCGCCTTTACGGATTGCACCTACCTTTCTGGTGTTGGGAGCCGCATTTCACCAGTTCATTCGTCCATACGAAATTGACAACAATATCTTTTCCCCTGCGGCCTTATATCTGGGAAATATATTAGCCCTATGCGCTGCCTGGACTTATGCCTACTCTCTAAGCGTACCACGTGCGATCGGATGCACACTACTGGCCGCATGCTACTTCAACGTCGGACTGACAGTCAGTATCCTGGTCTATCGAGCCTTCTTCCACCGCCTCAGAAAATTTCCGGGTCCATGGACAGCCAAGTTGAGTCGGCTGTCGGCAGTTAATCGGGCGATCAAACGGACACAGCACCACCGGGACCTTCAAGAAATGCACGAAAAGTATGGCGACTTCGTTCGCACGGGGCCCCGTGAGATCTCGATCAACCGGCCATCGGCCGTGGTCGCGGTCAATGGTTCACATTCGCCCTGCACAAAAGCTCCCTGGTATAGCCATGTGTCCGACGATAGTTCAAAGATCTCTTTGAACTCGACTCGTGATCCCAATATACACCGTCGTAGGCGGAAGGCATGGGACCGTGGATTTAGCATGAAAGGTATGAGTTTCAACCGATAAGTCCTCTATCTTCTATCTTGTACTGTCTCAAACGTGGTAGCTGATATACATAATAGCCATATCATTGTACGAGCCGATTGTTCAAAACAAGGTTAATGTTCTTGCTACTCAGATCCGGTCCCGACTTAATCAACCGCTCGACGCCGCACAGTGGACGATGTTCCTTGCGTTTGATGTGATGGGTTTGGTTGGATTTTCTCAAGACTTTCACCAGCTGGAAAACGGCACCGAGCAGCCTGCTGTCAAGGAGCTCCACCAGCAATTGTTGTATATTGGCATTTTGAAACCCGCGCCGTGGATTCTGACCATTCTTGGAGGCATCCAAGGGTTAGTGGGTGACTACGGTCGGTTCATGACTTACTGCGCCGACAGGATTGCGGACACGAAGAAGGTAAGTTTTACCCGCCACTTATATAGCTGTTCCGCCATGGTTGCTTTTTCCTTGTCGGGAGTGACCTTCTGACGTACGACTACAGAGATGGAACTCGAGAAGCGATAAAGACAGTGAAAAACTCCCCAAGGACGTCATCTCCTGGCTCCTCAAGGCCATTGAGGAGAAAGACCCTAGCGCCCCGCCAGGCGATCAAGCGCTTAACGAAGATGGCCGTCTCATGATCATCGCTGGAAGGTCCGGCAACCATTCTCCACAACCCACTGTAAAAGAAACTAACTTATCTTCAGTGACACCACCGGCACAACCCTAGCCCACGCCCTCTACTTTCTGGCTAAGACCCCTACTGCATACAAGAAACTGCAAAAGGAACTGTCTGACGTCTTTGGAAAAGCCGCGGAGCCTTCGCAGTTTACTAACAGCAAGCTTCAGAACCTCCCTTATCTCGAAGCTGTCATCAACGAGACCCTCCGCCTCAAGCCCGCTGTGCCAAGTGGTCAGCCTAGGTTAACCCCACCCGAAGGTCTACAGATTGACGAGGTCTGGATCCCAGGTAACACGATCGTCGTGCTTCCGCAGTATGTCCTCCATCGCGACGAGCGCTATTTCCCCTCCAGCTTGGAATTCATTCCTGAGCGGTGGTTGGATGAGAAGAACAACTTGGTCAAGCACGAGGAAGCTTTCTTCCCATTCCAATTAGGTCGATACGGCTGCGTCGGGAAACAATTTGCGCTCATGGAACTTCGAGCCGTTATCGCACGGGTGGCATACAATTTCGATCTCGCGTTCGCACCTGGGGAGACTGGAGTGTCGTTTGACGATGATTCTAAGGATACGTTCACTTTTAGTATTGGGTCTTTGCCTTTAGTTTTCACCGAGCGATCAGAATAGAGGAGTGGTATTCGACAGGCCTTCTTGAAATTGAGATTTTTTTCATTATGTTAAAGGACAAAGGTAGCGTCACTTAGTTATCATAAGCCTTTGTTGTTCGAATGGTGCGACAATGAGATCCACGACAATTTCTTTCATATACTGTGAACAATGGCGTTTGTCCCAGTATTTATTCTTTGAATCAAATCGAATAAGTGCCGACTCCCATATAGCATAAATACTGTTAATATCCACAAGTATCTACCAAGCAAACATTTGGATTACCTTCCATTTCCCCCAGATGCTTCAATCTTCCCTGTACCGGATCGTGCGAATTTTCTTAGTTACTCTTGACTTCTGGTTCAACACCGATCTCCCCGAAAGCCAAGTTCAAAGGAGCGATAAGCCCTCCCAATCAATTCCATCTGACCTGAATTCTTCATCTAGTGCCCAACAAGCCGAAAGGTCATCTTCTAATTTCGAAATGAAAACCTGGGAGGAAATATACCAAGAGGAGTGCCTTAGTTTCAAAGCCAGTCTGGAGACCCAAGCTCGGATTTTAAGAAACGATCCGGAAAGTCAAGGAGTGGATCGTATCAATGATGTTCGCAAAGAGCTAATATCACTTTCGCACCAGGCAGAGCGAATCAAAGAGGCTGCCTTTGAAATGGTCGACGAGACCCCGGACAGTGTATATGTCCGCAATGCCACCCCCGAGTGGCTCTCCTCCCGATTTGGAGATCCGCAGCTAGAACAGGTATGTATTAGCATGGAATACAGCTTGGACCGACTGGCATTTGAGCTTAGATCTGATCCGTCAATGGACCTTATGGTCGCCGGACACCTTGAGCAAATGACCGACGATATTGAGATGGATTTTCTTTAGATAAAAATGCATTTATTCATTTGTGGCCTCTATGGATCTACAAAATTGTAATAAACGAGAATACTCACTAATAGTCGGGCCCAGTATGCGGCTGTAGGAATTAAGCTGAGAAGAGATGATAACTTGCAATTAGGTATAACATATGTGCAAGTCTTGTATCTATAAATAAGGAAAGCGAAAGTTGTAAAAAGCAATTGCCATTCTGCTATGATGTTCTTCTTAATTTTCCAGTGACTTTCCAAGTCCTGACCCAATCCATCATTAATGAGCGTATACAGTTCGTGTCGTCATGTCTTTTCTCCAAGAAAGCCGATTTTTCAGTCCACTGTCATTTCCACCAAGTCCAGCATCAAATCAATCCCACTCTGAATGCACCGAATATGAAATTTACTCCTGCTGACCAGTGATGGCCTTGATATCCTTGTTCTGGGCCTTGTTTTGGTCGTTGGTGGGGTAGTTCTGGTAAGAGCCGTAGTTCTTGTAGTTTCCGTAGCTCTGGTACTTGCTGTTCTGGGAGCTGGGAGTAACCTGAGCGTTGTTGGCGGAGTTCAGGTTGTTGTTATCATTGGGTTCGTTGCGTGAGGCCACGGAGGGGATAGAATGGCGCTTTTGGTTTGCGTGCCACTGGCCATTGGCATCGGTCCAACCATTCTGGTCATTCTGACCATTTTGGTTGTTGGCGTGCCATTGACCATTTCCGTCAGTCCAGCCATTCTGGTCGTTCTGGTTGTTGGCGTGCCATTTGCCGTTGGCATCAGTCCAGCCATTTTGGTTGTTTTGTTGGCCGTTCTGGCTGTATTGACCGTTTTGGTTGTTGTCGCGCCACTGGCCGTCATGCTCAACTTGGCCAGTCTGATTGGTTTGATTGTGGCGGTTATCGCCGTTGTTGGCGACGAACACGCCATGCTGCCACTGGCCTTTTCGGTACTGTCCACTCGGGTCCCATTGACCGGCCACGTCGTTGGGGTCCACGGGAAGTGCGAGGACAGATAGAGGGGAGACAGCCAAAAGAAGAAGGCTTTTGATGATTGAGGAGCGCATCTTGAAGGAAGGTGAACTAGAAGAGATTCAAACGAAATATGAACGGTTTTTGCTTCAGGGGTGCTGTTGCGATCCTAAGGTTCTCGAGATTGTTTGTGTTAAATGGCGATTGAAACCCGGTTAGTCGGGCTGTATTTATATCTGAGAAATTTCACCTCCATGAATTATGTAGCTCAAAAGTGCTACTCAATAGCTTTGGAAGCCTTTGACAAGAATGTCTGAGGTTGGCTCACGCCATTCCTCGGTGTGGTTTGATGCGAATTGGCGCTGTAAGGGACACGGGGAAACGTGTAGTTGATAACCATGCTGCCTTGCGGGGGATAAGCGAACGGATGCGCGATGATCTCAGTCAGCTGTAAAAGATGGAGTAGCACGCGGAAAGCAGAGCACAACAATAAAGATTAAACCTTTGAGTGGATACATGAAGAGTTGCATGATACCTCGCGTGAGTCTGCCAAAAAAGAATTCGTGGATCTTGTCCGCAAGGGGGTAGTAATCACATTCCTCGACGATCACCCGCGGTCAAATAGTCCTCATCCTGTCTGGCTAGACGAACAAAGTACACTTACGCCATTTCAATGCATATGATGTTGTCTTGTATGTGGTTGATGATCCCTTGAGGGGATTGTCATCTTAAACATATACCACGCATTGGGACTCATGGGATGGCGAAACTTGTGAGACATGCAGAGAACACGTTGCTTTGATCAGCAATGGCTACGACCTCGAAGGCTTCGAGTTGATGTCAGTATTGAAGCTGAGCAAAGTCCGCTGCGTGAAGTTGCGGTCTGGGGTTGGCGTCTGCTAGTTACAGAAGCCAAGGCTGTTCTATTGCCCCTTGAATGGAATGATCGAAAATCAGTTTTGCGCAGTTTTGCTCTGCAACATTTAGCAAACTACTCACATCATTACAATGGACTCTATCTTCGACAAGAATTGTCATGGGGACTATTCTAGGCGAGAGTCCGGTGAGGGACTTCTCGCAGAGGAAGAAGGCACTCTCTGGAATAGAAAGGAAACACCAACGCCAACGTGTAACAGCTTCGCGGTGTGTCTGTTTCAGCTGAGTGCACTTGTGCTGGTATTCTTAGTCGGGACTCTGTTCGGCTTTCACTGGCGTGGTGATTTGGATGGCCTTTGCAGTCGACATGTTTCTCAATATTGTAAGAGTTCCAAGCTTCTATGGTGCAACTCATTAATCTTATTGAGATACAGCAACTGTCATGAAGGAAGTTGGAATTCAATATAGTCTGCAAGAATTCAATGGCTCTCTACTGAAAGAGAATGTTTTTCGACAAGATGCTGGCCCAGATGTTGACGCAGCATGGGAGTCGTTGGGCGTCAACTGTATGTCCCAAAGTGATTAACTGCTTTCTGGCATGGGCTAATTAGAATCATGATCTAAGACCGCAGCATTCGAGTACCACCAGAGGATGCTGAAAAATCTGGACTTGCTAACGACCAAGTCAAGATCAATGCGAAGTATGGGGGAGGATTTCCTGCGAATGTCGAGGGCTTGCATCACCTTCACTGTCTGGTAAGTGGTCTAGACCTCGACCTATGTCTGTGAAGATGCTATACTAATACCGACAAGAATCTCCTCCGTCAGTCGCTCTACTATAACTATGACTACTACCACGCCAAGGGGGAAGGGCCCTTCACGAACAATGACTATATCCTCCGCCGCCACGTGTGTATGTTGTGCCCATTATTCCTTTCTCGATAAGATTTTGAACTAATTATTCTCTCATCGCAGCACATTGCCTCGATATTGTTCGGCAAGAGCTCATGTGCACAGTTGACAGCGGAGTGCTGGGTCAAGTCTGGATTTACCCCGAGAACCCGGAGCCCTATGTTGACTTCAACACTCAGCATCGATGTAAAAACTTCGATGCCGTTCGTCGCTGGGCCGAGGACAACCAGCTTCCTCAGGACCCCCCTTCAGACTTTTTGCAGCCGCCATCAGAGGGAGACCGAATCTATATCCAAATGCCATGAGACGTGACAAGCAATATTTGAGCTAGACTCAGCCAGTATACAATAGAATGGAAAGAATGAACCTCAGCATACGTGATAACACCAATAGAACAAAAATTCGCTCAATTCAATCAAGATTATAAACACTCAAGTCATCACTCATCCCCGGCAAAACATACACAGCATTATCCTCGCCCCCAAAAACTTTCAAAGGCCTCACTCCCCTAAACTCCATCCCAATCTTCTCCAAAGCGCCGCGACTCCGCTGATTCGTAGGCGAGCAAAATCCAAACACAGCATCCACCCCAAGAGACTTCTTTGCATACTCCAAAAGACCCTTTGCGGCCTCGGTCGCATACCCCTTTCGACCTTCTTCGGGCAACATGGCAAACCCGATATCTGGGGCAAGATAATGTGGGCCTGGTGGAATGCCCCTCGTGAGCGATACGCTGCCGATCGGCTTCACCCCATCATCGGTCTGTCGCGAGACTAGGAACATGCCATAGCCATGGTAGGCGTAGTGTTCCGAGACTCTGCCTTGGAGGAATGAATATGCCTTTTCCGGGGTGGTGATTCCAGTTTTGCCGCAGGAGCTGATGAAATCGTCTGTATTCCAGAGTTGAACTAAGAAGGCGCAGTGGGTCGGGTCGGTGGGGTTGAAGGGGCTGATTTGGAGACGCGGGGTGGAAATCGTGAAGCCCGGTGGGAAGGAGAATTCGGGCATTGTGGTTTGGTAGTTGGATTATACCAGATTTGATTCTAGAATGAAGTAAAGTGTGTATTTTCTTCTCCTTAGCACGATAGAATTACCAGTGAGTCACAGTTGAGGCTGGATTCAAAGGAAGCTTAGCGCCGACAGGGGTTGACGGCCCATTTAGGTATGTGGCGTTCTGGCTATGAGCTAGAAAGATAGAGAGAAGAGATAGGGACAAAAATCTGATAGACGAGGTTTAACGACAAGAACCTTTTCGCACATTATCCTATTGTCCCATCTTCATGCCACCGTTGGCACATACCACACTGCCAGTACACCAGAGAGCATCAGGCGTACACAACATGCCAACAACACCCGCAACCTCATCAGTGAAAGCCGGTCGACGACCACCCATCTTCTCCTGAATTAACTGCTTCTGCTCATCAGTCAAGCGACTCACAGTGTCCCCGTGATCCGTCAGCTTGCTCATAGGCGTGTTATCCTGGTATCCTTGGATATCCTTCCAGAACTGCTCTCCGGCCTTGAAGTACATATCACCGACGACCGGGCCGGGGTTAACCGCATTGACGGTCGCACGTTCGGACAGTTCACGTGCCCAGGTGCGAGTCATCGCCTCAACGGCTGCTTTGGTACCGCCATAGATCGACTGGCCTATGAAACCCAGCGACGAGGATACACTGGAGATGCTCACGATGCGGCCGCTTCGGTCGGTTGGGAGGAATGGGGCGCATGCCTGTGTGAGGAGGAGCGGGGCGAGGACATTGATCGCGTAATGCCAGTTGAAGTGCTCGGCCTCGATGGGGCCCCTATTGGCGTCGTTCAGGGTCCGGTCTTGCGATACGCCAGCATTATTGATCAGGATGTCGATCTGGAGTTTTCCATCGGTGCTGAAATGCTGCTGCGCGGTAGCGATGATTGCTTTCACGGCTTCGGTAGGCTGGCTTAGGTCGGCTTGCAAGCTCTCGCATTTGATGTTATAGGTTTTGGCTAAAAAGGAGCACAGTTCTTCGGTGTGGGCGCGCGAGGACTCCGAAGTAAAGATCAGAAGTAATGAGCAGCCCTTTGCAGCCAGGTTACGGGCAATTGCTTCGCCAATTCCTGCGAAGGTGGCGTGTTAGCTTGGTCTCTTGGTATGCGGGGGAGCTAGGCTTTACCCCGCGATCCTCCAGTGACGATGCCGAATTTCCCTTCAAGTACTCGAGCCATTTTGGATATCAATGAGAGATATCAATGAGAGAGATGAAGAAATAAGTAAAACGAATTTGATTGAGGGAGGACATGGCCAACTCTTTAACCTCTCTTTTCTTATTTAGCCGAGTTACCCCATCCCTCCCCTTCCCACGGAATAAAATTGCCCGTTGCAGAATGACGGAGGAAATGCGTGTAATTCGGGTAAATTCAATGTCGGCCCGAATGGTCGACTGTGGAGTTTGTTGTTTGTTATGTTGGCATGGTTTGCATCATTTGCACTGTTTGGAATATAATATCGACTCCATCTTTCCCTTACCACTCACTCATTGCTAGATTTCTGAATTGAATATACTCTTTTGCTTTACAAGAGCCGGCTAGTAACAACACTGCCTTTGTTGTAAGAGTATACAGTCTATCTCAGTCTATCTCTAGTGGTCAATCCTCCCATTGACACTATAAAGTTACGATAGGTACATTGAGGGGTTAAAGCGCTAGCCCGATTAGGCCGGTTATCGCGATAGTCCCCTGAAATGGTGTTTGACCCGGCGCTCGGTACTGTAGAGCACCTCGAGTTTGTGTTTCTACATCTTTCGGGGGCTATCCATAGTGCCCTGGCAGTCCTCGAAGTCATCTAATCATGTCACCCTTCACCGTGCCACCCGGCGACCAGAGCGTCCAGGTTCGAATCATCGATTCGACTACTAGGATTGGCAAATTACCACTGGCGTTTCTCATGGAACCTCCGATGGAGGGGATGCATTATATGCATCCACTTCCGGCCTGGTCGTTCCTGATCGAGCATCCTTCCGGTCAAAAGATTCTCTATGATCTTGGAGTTCCGAAAGATTTGAACTCGTTTGCGCCGGTAATTTGTAAACATCTCGAGACGCAGGGATGGGAAGTTGATGTCAAGGAAGAAGTGATCGATACTCTCGATAAAAATGGTATCGCGGCGAATGAGATTTCCGCTATCATCTGGAGGTAAGTACCTTATTCGTTGATTGATAAGTATACAAACATCGTAACGTGCTGACGGTTTCGCGGGAAGTCACTGGCACTGGGATCATATCGGTGACCCATCGCGGTTTCCTTCCTCTACCGATCTCATCGTCGGCCCTGGTTTCAAGGCTGCTTTCCTTCCCGGTTATCCAGCGAATCCAGGTGCTCCTGTACGTGAAAGTGACTTTGCGTAAGTCTTCGATTGGCGTTGTCATTTATTAGTTGGTATATAATTGAACTTGCCCCATCCGCTAACCTTCATCCCACGAAAGTGGACGAAATCTACGGGAATTAGACTTCTCTGACTCTGTCCAAGTTGGCCAGTTCCGAGCTGTGGATTTCTTCGGTGATGGTTCATTTTATATCATAGACAGTCCGGGTCACGCAGTCGGTCACCTTGGTGCATTGGCACGTACCACGACTAATCCCGATACATTCATCTTCATGGGAGGTGACCTCTGCCACCACAGTGGGGAAATCAGGCCATCCAAGTATCTCCCCATTCCTCGTGATATTCACCCAAGCTTCCCTACTCCCAGCTCACTTCCATGTCCCGGGCACCTGGTATACGAGGAGTTGCTAGTCCGACGGACTGGATCGGTGGACAAGCCATTCTTTCGACCAGCCATGGGACCAGATATTGAACAGACAATAGACACAATCGATAAAGCACAGGTGGCCGATGCAGATAGCAATATCTGGTTTATTTATGCTCATGATCGCAGCCTGTTGAAATGTGTGGATCTGTTTCCCTTGCCGGCTAATAATTGGAAGGAAAAGAATTGGCGGGAGAAAACACTGTGGACTTTCCTTGAAGAGTTTGGAACGGCGATCAAGCAGATTTGAATGACATGAAATTGAGCATGTTGATACTCGCATGTAACTACATCCTATTAGATCGGTGTCTCATGCCAGGAGACTAGAATCAACGTCCCCTTTAATCTTAATTTACGCTTTGCTGACCTGTCGTCACGGACAATCTTGTTCAAAACTGTTTCTAATAATACAAGCCTCTAGTTATAACCACGTGCATATCTCCACAACAGATGGCGTAGTATATATTTCTGCGGAGCGCCCAAGCCGCAAACTATTTCGGGCCACGGAGTAGACTCGTGGTGATTATGCAGGAGCAAGAGCCACCGGCGCTAGATCCATAAGCTTCATTAGCAAGCAACAAACCTGACGCAAGCCAACGTCACCAGTAAGGCGCCTCGACTAAGCCTGTCGAATCTTTTACTCCGTAGGGCTCGGACGACCTGCATAACCACCCCTCCCCTCAACCCCACAAGCTCGTGCTAGCTTACGGATACTAGCCGCCCCGCTGAGTTGGAGCCTTCAGCATGCAGGGGCTCTCGTAAAAAGCCTCGTGATGACTGCCCTTATGACTAGTTGCATCATTTCCGACCGGGGTCGACCCCTGGGCGCTTCCATTAAGGGGCTCATGACCCAGCTTTTCATGCAAAATTAGCAATGTCATCTGCATATTTTTGGTTTGCAGCGTTATCAGCTCGGCCCCAAATTGGAGGTCAAGGTCCATGCCGCTGGTTTTTATTTACTGTATATTTTCAACTGTTTCCCTGTCTGCACGATTATAGCGTTCCCATATCAAAAACTCGATGAGATAGGGCAGGTGCACAGATTTCCGTGGAAATTATATTCTAGTTACCCAGGAGGGAGCGCAAACTTGGACAAAATGTGTTTCTTCAAACTCAATAGAACAATGTGATTCCTATGAAATGTAACGCACTCAAATGATATCTCGCTATAGGCCAAAAACTTCCCGCCGGTTCTGATCAATTGGACTTATTCCGCTTCTGTATGCGCCTGCTTCTACGTCTCCCAGTATCTTGAGTCCCTTGATCAGGAAGAACCGATTTGTTGGTTAAATTATCCACTGCGGGCCTGGACCTTGATATCTCCGGCTTGAGAGTTGCGGAAACCTTTCGTCTTGCTTTCTTCGGGCCAACACGAGCGGCCGCCCGTTTCCTCTTAGTAGTTCTTTGGCCACTGTTTGAAGCGGGACCATCTACTTCAGCGGGGCCATCTGCTTGGGCGGGACCATCTGCTTGGGCGGGACCATCTGCTTGAGCGGGGCCATCTGCTTGATCGGGACCATCTGCTTGGGTGGGACCATCTGCTTGGGTAGAGAAAAGCCCATCAAAAAGCGGAGGTCTAGGTTGTTGATTGAAGGTAACATGCTCGCTAGGCACTGTCGGGCTCGGACTCAAATCGCGGTCGTTATCGGGTATCTGCAAAGGGATTTCATGCTTCCAAACCATCCCAGGCAATATGCCCCATTTGTCGTTCCAAATGCCTCTTTTGATCCAGATACTTTTCACATGCTCGTAAGCTTCGGTGTTGATGTTTGTCAAGGCAGAGACAGAAGGGCTATCTGGGGAGTCGGAGGCATTTTGAACTCGTTCGCGCTCCTTCGATATTTGATAGATGAATTGATGAAATGGGCGTGATGGCTCGTCCCCGGGCTTCTGTTTGGCTTTCCGCTCACCGCTGTGGGGTATCCTTTTGTCCCAGAATCCGGCCTTCGTCGGTTCCTCTCCCCTCGACCGAGAGAGTCGATCGAGATCGATTTTGGGCGCAGGAGTAACCTCGGGCAATTCTTCATGCCTCCACATCCACCATGGCTGAGGTACGTGCTCCCATTCTTCGTTCCAGATTCCTTGTTTCATCCAGTTCTTCTTGACTGTCTCATGGGCGAGATTGTTCATATTTGTCCCGTCGGGGACATCCAATGTTCGGTTCTCGATTCCCTCGATTATGCGAGCTTCCAGTTCGTAGACCTGGGCGTCAAATTGCCTATTGGCTCGTGAAGCATCTTGGGCCTTCATCACTTGCCATTTCTCGCGATCACGGCGTTCTAGCCTCTCGCGTTTATACATCGTTGAGGGGCTATCGGGGCTTAGGGATGCTGTTGAATTGTGCGAATGGTGGGAAATGTATGAAACGTCTCTGTCGAAACGTGATCGCTCAATATCAAGTCGCCTCGGGTTTTTAACAAGGTTTTCGAGCGCGGTGTGGATAGTAGTTAGACCGGATCTAATGCTAGTATCGGCCATACTGAGGGGATTGGTAGAATAAAATAGAAAAGGGAGTGAGAGGGAAATAGGAGATGGGGGGGATGTGACAGAATCTAGTGTGACGTGAGCGCTAAGCTGCAGTAACTAGCGCGGGAATCGACCTCGCTCTATATTCACTGAACAATCATATCCAATCATTTACCGCCCAACATTCGACGCCTTTTTACTATTTTCGTACAGTATCAGTCTACTTTTATTCGCTGAAACGATCACTGAAACGAACAGCCCCCAATATTACCAGGGTATAGCGGTTGGGCACACTTTTGTACTCGATGCCAAATAATACATAATGTCTTCCATCCTCCTTCCGAGTGTCTCTTCTCCGTTTGATAGTTGTCCCCTGTTTGACCTTGCTTCCTTGCTTCAATATGTCGTCATTCCCACACCCTCATCGCCTTGCTCTCTTCTCCCTCCGGCCTCTGAACGAACGAGCCAAGAATGTCGCCAGCCATCCTGGGAACAAACACCTAACGTCGAAGTTGAACGATGGTACAATTGTCCTTGATATTGGCTTCCATATTCGGTCACGGTCCCGTCACACAATTGCAACACTAGGACGTGGTGGAGATGCGGACCTCTTTATCGAGGGCTTCAACATTTCCAAGATCCAGTGCTCTTTTGAAATCGAGCCGAACACCAATGTCATCATGCTCTACGACAGGTCTCATGGCCAGACAACTCAAGTTTTTGGTCACAATGCTACGCCATTTGAGCATGGGCGCGTTCGTCAGGTAGTCGTTCAGAAGAATCTGAACGATGTTCTGGGGATGGGCGGCAAAATGCAAGATGTCTTTAGATTCCAGTTGCTTTGGCATGAAAATACTTGTCTAACGACGGAGAGAATAAAAGAACTAGAGTCCATCCTAGATGACCATGTGGAAAACCCGCGCCTGGCTCGGACAGTTGATGATTTGGAAACGGTTTTACCGTCTCAGATGCAGACCAGAATCCACACCGCCGGCCCTCTACAGCTGAAGATGCGATACACGAAGATTGACCGACTAGGATCTGGACAGTTCGGAGTTGTATATAAGGCTATCGATGTCGACACGGGTAAGCTTCTTGCTGTTAAGATACTTCAACAGCCCGAGCAAGCTTTGGATGAGGAGTGGAGAAAGTCATTGTATTATGCATTGAAGCGCGAGGTCGAGGCATTGTCCCAAATTAGCCACGTTAGTAAGCCTTCCATTCTCAGACACTGAAACTGAACTGACGCTGCCCTAGCCACATGTCGTCGATTTTATCACCTCGCAAGGCTGGGACGGACCGGCGGCGGAGATATTCATGGGTCTCAAGGACGGTGCACTTAGCTCCTTGGTTCTCAAGGGTGACTTTATGTCCGTACACGACCTCGCCAAATGCGTCTGCCACCAGATGCTTCAGGCGCTAGATTGTCTAGCCGTCAATGGAGTTGTTCACCGAGATGTGAAACCCGAAAACATTCTTTACACTGCACTACCGAATGCGCAATATCGATTCTATCTTGGTGATTTCGGTCTATGCAACCGCACTGTTAGTGCTCATAGCTCTGTTGGGACCCCATTATACACGGCTCCCGAGGTCTGTCAAAGTGGAGCCCAGACACACAAAATGGATGTCTGGTCCCTTTTTGTAACAATCGCATGGATACTAGACTTCGATGGATTTCGCCAGAACTTACAGCATATATCCCTTTGGCAGGCCCAACAAGCTCTCCTAGCCATAACATCAAAGATTGGAGATATTCAAGAGATGGCGAGAGTCGATCCGGGCGAGCGTGCCTCCGCGGCACAGATGCTGGTCAAGCGCTTTGGTGGAGAAGGCCTTTCAACTCAACTCAATCAAATTCCACCACTCAGTCCAACAAAACCGGTACCCAAACCTGAGGCTGAGTTAAATGTCAAAAAATATGGACCAGCCCACAGTTCACGAAAGGTTCCAAAACAACCCACAAATCTGACCCGCGCCCGTCAGCCTAGTAATCCGCAGGCTCGAGTATTGAGGCCAAGAACCATAGATCGCCTTTTGACGAAGAAGCATGAGCTTCTCTCCCATGTTGTTGAATCCCCTGGGTTTCGTGTGCGGCGGCCATATAAACATTAGAGTATGCGGCGAAGCCGGGGGAGCCTAGGGTTGTCGGTCCACTTAACTATCAGAATGCTTCTTCTTTATTTCTTCGATACTTTCTTGCGGATACTCAGTTCGCGTTTTGCCGCTTCATCTGCTCATTATAATTACTTATGCAATGCACTTTGTTTCTTCTTAAATTTACCACTTTCCTTCTATCGTAGTCCTCCATACAAAGTAAAATATATGCTACCCGACTTTCCCCGATTTGACCTCAGGCACAGATATTAGGTATGCACTTCGCCGCAGAACTCAGCGCGTTAGCAACAACCGTCAGCGAAAAACACCCAACCGTAACTGCTACGCGAACTGGCAGTAGCAGATGAACTAGCCAAATTGATCCGCGGGATAGATTCTACATGGCCAGAAATATACTCGAAATCTGGCCGTCTACAGGAGCAACTACAAAAGAAATAAATGTTGACGCATAGCTTCGATTGTTGAAGTACTACACCGTCGCAATCGGCCCATGGAGGCCCACACACCAGAATAAGGTATCAAGAATAAAATCCATCACGCAGTGTTGAATGCAAGACCATCCCAGGTCATCCCACGCCAAAACAAAAACATTAGAAACACACCAACCCCGGTGTAGGCCACTTTTTATGCCGTTGAAGGACAACCACTTTTGAGTTCTAAGTTGATGGAGAACTCATATGCCAATCATAACATCGTCGAATCATGTTGAAAGTCTATTTCCCAAGAGTATCATCGAACGCAGTTGAAAATGTAAAGAAATTAGTAACGGTAGATCTCGGGCTTGTAGGGGCCGTTGACGTCCAAGCTGAGGTAGTCGGCCTGGACGGGGGTCAGCTCAGTGAGCTTGGCGTTAACGTGCTCCAAGTGGCAGCGAGCGACCTGCTCGTCGAGCTGCTTGGGCAGAACGTAGACACCGACGGGCTTGCGGCCACTGGCACCGAACTCGATGTACTTCTTGCCGAAGGCGGTATCCTCGGCCTTGAAGAGGGCAATCTGGGCCAAGACCTGGTTGGAGAAAGAGCAGGACATGACGAAGGAAGAGTGGCCGGTAGCACAGCCAAGGTTGACAAGACGACCCTCGGCGAGGAGAATGATGTTCTTGCCGTTAAGGTTGTAACGGTCAACCTGGGGCTTAATGTTCTGGACGGACTGAGCGTTGGCCTTCAACCAGGCGACGTCAATCTCGATATCGAAGTGACCAATGTCTAGATGATAGTTAGTAACGCTCATACCAACATTTTGGCTCAGAACAACTTACTGCAGACAATGGCGTCGTTGCGCATGGCCTCGAAGTGACGGCCAACAAGGATATCACGGCAACCAGTGGTGGTGACAAAGATCTGACCAACAGGGGCAGCAGCCTCCATGGTGTTAACCTCGTAACCCTGGACGGCAGCCTGGAGGGCGTTGATGGGGTCGACCTCAGTGACAATGACACGGGCACCCATGGAGTGGAGAGCCTGGGCACAACCCTTGCCGACATCACCGTAACCGGCAACGACAGCGATCTTACCAGCGATCATGACATCGGTAGCACGCTTGATACCATCAATGAGGGACTCACGGCAGCCGTAAAGGTTGTCGAACTTGGACTTGGTGACACAGTCGTTCACGTTGATGGCGGGAACCTTGAGTGTGTTGTCCTTGAGCATCTTGTACAGGTGGTGGACACCGGTGGTGGTCTCCTCGGAGACACCGAAGCAGTCCTCGAGCATCTCGGGGTACTTAGTGTGGACGAGGGAGGTGAGATCACCACCGTCATCGAGGATGAGGTTGAGCTTCTTGCCATCCTTGAAGGCCTGGAGCTGCTGGTCCAAGCACCACTGGTACTCCTCCTCGGTCTCACCCTTCCAGGCGAAGCTGTAAAAAAATAATCAGACAATAGTCCACAAAAGGCGCAGGAGGATTTGTGAAAGAATGTAAACTTACACAGGGACACCACCGGCAGCAATGGCGGCAGCGGCGTGATCCTGGGTGGAGAAGATGTTGCAAGAAGTCCAGGTGACCTCAGCACCGAGGTGAGTGAGGGTCTCAATGAGGACGGCGGTCTGAATGGCTAAAGGAGCGGTCAGCGCAGGCCTTGCTTTTTATGATAGATCAGATCAACATACTCATGTGAAGACAACCGGCGATACGGGCACCCTTGAGGGGCTGGTCGGCACCGTACTTCTCACGGATGGCCATGAGACCGGGCATCTCAATCTCGGAGAGCTCGATCTCGCGGCGACCGAACGCGGCGAGGGACTAGGAAATGGTCAATGATTGAAGGAGGAAAAAGTTAATTGAGAGACATACGAGGTCAGCGACCTTGAACTTCTGTGCGGGAGCAGCCATTATGTGATATATGTATTCAAAAACTGCTGATTGTTAGTGAGAAGATCGGAATTGCAGGCGTAGGAATTGACTGACCAAAGGGTGTATGAATGAGAAAGGAAGAGGAAAGAGGGAAAAGGAGAATAGAGGGGAAGGAAAACTCTCTAAGAGATCCACCAAGGTCCCGGAACGTGGCAAGTACTCACTACTTACTTACGGTATGCTTTAACGTGTATAGCTAGGTACCAGATACTTCTCAACTTTCTTTCTATCTCCGTAGTGGGCTGACTGATGGCGGGGTGCTGCTTAGTCAGAATCGCAGGCTGGACGTGGCATCTATTAAGGTCACGTGGCGAGATCTTGTAAACAAGCTCTTCTTCTACGGTGGTTAGCTAGTGCATCATGGTGAGGACCACACCTTCTTATATCGCAAACTGCATTCCTGTTTGAATACACCAATTTGAGTCTCAAAACTTCATGCAAAATACATGAACAAATATATCGGCGTATCCTAATTAGGACTAGTGCGATTGAGTTACTTGGGAAACAACTTCCCAAGGTTGGAAAAGGTACCTAAACTGAACACCCCCAAGGTTGCTTCTCATTGTCACATCTATGCTCCCAGTCATTTTTAACATGTCTTAAGGTCCTTCCCGGGTGTAAGCTACGAAGAAATGGTTGGAGGCTCAAATTTAAGTGAGGGCCCTATCGAAGCAATCGGATTCTCGTTTCGTATGTGTCAATTGTTCAACAGTCTTCGCATTTACTCTTATGGCTGCCGATGTCCTCGCAAGGTTTCATACAACATACCTGTTCTATTTCGGGTGGTGGAATCTTCCGTTCTACCTTGTGGGCCATCGTCATCTGTTCCATCTCGGCGCATAGATCCAACAGATGCAATCATGGCATTGCGAATGTATTGCACGGCTCCAATGCCTAATTCCGCTCCACGATCCCCATAGACGTCCTACGAATCGTCAAAGGTCTTATCATCTACTAGACTTGATGGTAGCTGGAGCCCGGAAGACTTCGGGCCAAAGTACGTAGGGTGAGAGTCCCTCTCGCTTAGGAGCGAGCTCGGCGCACTCAATCCAAATGAATCTGATCTTTCTGCCAACGAGGTCAAAGGATCGATTCTTTCATTTCTTGTGGTTCTCGGGGTGTCTTAGGGGCTCTTAGGGCTGAGAGGTGGAGGACACTGGTTGGTAGTGACTGCGAACTATAGCTAGTGGTCTAGTAACTACTAATAACTACTAATCGAATTAGGTAGACAGCAGCAAATATTGCACAGGTTCATTCACTACTAGAAATTTGCATTACTGACAGACATATCCTTTTATCATGTACAGGATATGCTAAGTGATATGCTAAGTGTTGAAAGGACTGTGGAGTTGGCGTAACATAACCCTCACCATATCCATCGTGTTTCTCGTGTCCATAGAACGCTGCAAAAACAAGCAAATTGCAAGAATCATAAGAATTCGTCAACGGAACCGAAAAGCAAAAAGCGAAAGCGAAAGCGAAAGCGAAATCGAAATCGAAATCGAATAAACATGGTCTCGTAAGTCATGAAAAGCGCGAAAATCAGATGGCTCGCACGTAAAACAATCTAGTAAGATATCTGCGGTGCCTCATGAACGCGGTAAGGATTTCCATCACGGTAAAGAGGGGTATGGTCGTTCCGGGAATCGGCCGTCGAAGGGGCATATTCGATCTCATCAGGCCAGCGATGATGGCGAGAGGGTGGGCCCTGGCTGTGAGCGCGGCGACGCTCCCGCTTAATCGCACGTTCGGCGCATTCCTCCTGGAAATGGGTGTTTTCTTTGCGCTTTTCCATGAGTTCCTTCCATTCACCATAGGCACCCTTGATACCCAGTGCAGCGAGACCAATACTCAGGGCGTCCTTGGCGTTAGCGGTCATGCGGCGTTTGCGGGCCTCCTCGGGCGTGATCTCTCCCTCCTGTAACTGCTTCAGTCGCTCCTTCCTTTTCTCAATGCTAGTGTAGACACTGTGCGCAGCGTGGATGGTGGCCACACTGGCCAGGCCTCCCGTCACCAACATATCCCGCTTCAGCTTCTTCCGTTGCTTCTTCTCATCAGAACTGTCACCTAGGTCAGAATCACTCTCGGAGCTGGAGCTATTGCCGCGGTCCTTAGAACCGGCACCGCGCGAAGCACTGGTGCGTGCACATGGGGGTGGATTTCTTCCGTCCGATGAACGGTACCGACCTACATCTCTCGAGCCTTTGCCCCGTCTCGAGTCCCTGTTGTAATAATCGCTTTCCGCATCTGAATCCGAATAATCGTCGTCCCGATGTCCCCGGCGATGACGCCGCTCTCGGTCGTCCCGATGCTCCCGACGATGCTCCCGATGCTCTTTACGATCGTCTCCGCTATCGCGGCGACGTTCTTCTTGCTCTCCGCCGAGTCCCAGGGCCGCCATGCCCTGACCGATGTAGTCCGAAACACTCTTGCTGCGCTTGTGGGAACCACGGTCGTCCTCATCACTGCCACGAGAATCACTACGGCCGCGATGCCGAGAACGTGATTTCGAGTGTGATTTTGAGTATCGATCATAGATTTCCTTTCCGGCAGCAGCAAGGGCTCCAGTGGCAGCGAGGTTCTTGAGACCACCACCTGAAGAGTGATCCCGACCACGAGATCGTGAGCGCGACCGTGAACCGCCACCGACAAAGTGACTGGCAGCCAGACCTGCAAGCGTGGACTCGAGAACATGACGTGTTCCATGCTTGCTGGGGTCTCTGTCGACAAGGCCGTCGGTTCCAGCAGCAGCCACAGCGGCAGTGAGGACGCGCTTTCCTTTCGCACCGGCCCATTCGCCAGGCTCTTTGCGTTGTTTGAAAGCCTCAACTGCACCAGCTGTCAAAGCGGCGCGAGCAGCCTGAGCGATGCGCTGCGTGCTTTTATCGCGTTTGCTGCTGCCGCCACGATGGCGACTGCGTGAATCTGACGGTGACCTTGAGTACGATCGATGGTGATGGCGGGACTGGGAACGGCTGCGACCACGGTCGCCGCGGCTGGAAGAAGCAGCGGCACCCCCGAGGCCTATGGCACCCAGGGCTTGATCGCTGAACGACTTGCGACGTCTGTTGCGGGGTGGAGAGCGACTTGGCGAAGAAGAATCAGAATCATATCTGGAGCGACGGGAGCCTGAGATATATTAGAATTGATCTCAACGAAATCTGCTCTATATTACTCACGTTCATCCTCGTAGTGTCTTGGGCGACGAGGACCAGAGCTTCGGTAGGGAGCATCGTAAGCGCCGACTGAGGAGGCACGGCGCACATTTTCGTAGACAGGTCGTCTCGACCGCCGAGAGTCATAAGACCGCTCGTAGGTATAGTCCGAGCCTGGCGGATAGTCGCGCTGTATCTCCTCGACCGAGTCGTTGCTGGCACGAGGCACATATGAGTCTCGCTCGTGTCTTCTATAATGGCCGCGAGGTTCATCATATGGATCGGCGTAACTGGTGGGGCGTGCGTAGCGGTCGCGATAACGGTCCTCGTAGTACGCCATGGTTGAGGCGAAAGTGAGGACACAAATTGAAAGATAAAGTCGATATTTGTGAACTACTACCGTCCACGGGGAAAATAGGTGGGATGGAAAAAGAAGTTCGTGAGGGGAGATGTATAGCGGGGCTGGGGTGGCGTGACGATGTGGGTTCAGATGGGCGAGCGAAGTATCGTATCTGGGGCTAAGAGACTTGGCAGTGGCTGAGAGAGATAGCCCTGGAGTATTCTAGAGGTGATACTTGGATGAAAAGTACAAAGTTCAAGGGACAATTCTTTTTAAAACGGTATATATAGCAAAATCAGGATTGCGCCAATGACGTACAAAGGAACAGCGAAGCATTCTTCAAAGCGGATATAACGCCATCCAATATCGAATGAGCATCTGGACTGGCGTTGTGTATCAGAGATCAGATAGGACTCCGACGTCATCCTGCGTCCCAGGACGGTCTAGCCCTATATAATATACACAAAGGCAGACAATTGGATAATGCTTAACTGCTTAATCTACTTTCAAAGAGATGTACACCCTTGGAAGTATACAGTACATCTGAGATGCAATATCAAATATCGGAGATTAAGATTTATGGAACGTAAACAATGGTTCCACGGGTCGCCTTCGGGGGTCCCAGCCGCTTACGATCTGGCCAACACGACGCCCTGGATCTCGTTGGGTGCAGAACTGGTTGCACAACATTTCTCATGGGAATCCCTGAAGGGAAGCTGGACAGTATTTGGCTCTCTAACACATCGCCGCCCACAATTTCAACCATCACACATAACACGAGAATCAGCACATGGTACATGAGGGATATAAAACAGGGAAATAATAACACATAGTAACACGTATGATAGACCTAGACGTCACAATGATATGAAACGCGCAGTCATGCAGAATCGCTGAATATGAAATACAAAAACACAAAAGCACATCCGAGAGCCCAAAATTGACCAAAAGAAAAGACTAAATAGACATGATCGAATCACACCGCACAGCAGTGGCCAGGCACAAAAGACCCAACAGAAGGAGAAAGTCGTATACTAAACAGCAAATAGAATGGACGGTCGGCGAAAACCGACCTGCTTTCTTAGGGCGCCTGGGGACCAGGCACTGGGACAGACCCTGGGACCGGCCGTGCACCTGCCTCGATAGGTTGACTGACATTGCGCTGGTGCGAGACGGAGGCGTATACCGCGTCAGGACGAGCCATCGCCCACCGAGCATCAGGCTCCGACTCGGAAATAGAGCGCATCTCGTCCGAGTGCGAGCGATGGGTCCGGATGTGCTGTTTCATGTTGTCTTTCCTCGTAAAGGCTTTGTTGCAGATCGGACAGTGCACGCTCTTTTCGCCGGTGTGCTTTTTGCCGTGGCGCGCAGCATGGCCCGAAGTCGTAAATGTGGAAGAGCACCCATGGCTCGCGGCATAGGGGCACGGGTACTTGTTCTTTCGCCCCGTGCCGCGCGTCGCTCCGGTCTGAGAAGCCGTTTCGGATGTGGTTGAACGAGTCTCGGGTGATGTTCGGGGAGCTGCTGGCCCGCGAGCTGGGAATCGGTATGGTTCCCGTCGCGGATCCTGCCGGGCATACGGGTGGTAAGATGATGGTTGACTGGTGAGATAGTCGTAAGCTGAGCCATCGGACGACCCGGGCGAAGCGGGCTGGGCGACGTCCGTCACCGCGTCTGAATGATGCCTGCTCCCTCGTGGTGATGTTGCTGGAGATTGGGATGAAGCTGCAGGGCGGGTATACTGTGGGTCGCTGATAGGAGAGGGTGGTCGCTCTGAATGTGGATATTGTGATGATGATATGTGAGTCCGACTAAGTCGGGGCGCGGAACGGACCGCAAAAGATGGGTTATCATCATTATTCAGAATGGACACAATACTCGTCCTACAAGTGGACATCTCCTCAATGCCAATGCCCCGATATGCGGTCACCGAGGCTGGGAAATTATACTAGAGACAAAATGAAGTTAGTTTAGACTGTTGGCAACCGGCTCAGCCGGGCTCTGGGAACTCGCAAGAACTCGAGAGATCGCCGGTCTGAGACAAGGGGAGAAAGGGAAGAGGGTGTAGAAGAAGAGAAAGAATATCTCTCTCATTTCTTGCCCCCCCGGAGGACCCGACAAACGCACCAGCGGCTCTCGAAATATGTTTGTCCTCTGTGTCGTGTAACACGTCGACAACATTAGACCTTAAATGGGCACTCGCCTGCAGACCTGAACGGAGGCTTGAGCTTGTGCCGGGCTCCGTGTCTTTTGGAGGCACGGGTGACGAGAAAGTATCTCAAAGGTTGTTGAATGCCGGAGATATGACGACTTGGCAGCGATAGTGCAAGGTGAAATGCGATAGACGTCTTTCCCTCGCTGTAGAACTTGTTCAAAGGCTCTGGTCCTCTTTTTTCGCCTTTTCTTCCTAGGATTTCCTTTTTTTCCTTTCTAATTTCTGCAATTGTATGTGGGGAACACAATCCTCAACGGCAGTTGCAAACCGGCCTGGGGATGTTGCAGAAAAGTCGAAGTTCAACGCCGGTTGTCTAACCCAAGTCACAGTTCTTCCAGATGTTAGGCCGTCTGGGAATAAGTAGAAACGAAATGCGCTCTGCGCGTGCCCGTGATAGAGGTAGTGGAAATGAGTAGTCGGATACGAGATAAGAGGGGATTGAAATGATGAGAAGTCGAAACGAGATAAGAGTTCAAATAGGAATATAGATCGAGTAGAGAGAGGAAAAAAGTGAAGAGCAGCCAACCATGGCCATCGGTAACTAATTATACTAAAAAATGAGCGAAAGAAGCCAAGCTCCAGGGTCTGTCGAGGCTCCCCAGAGAGGATACACTTACGGAGCACGCTATTTAGTTCGGTGGAGCCCTTCAAAAAGAAAAAAGAATTAATAGCGATAATATAAAATGCTAAAAACAAATATCTACAATACAACAACAATACAGACCAAGACCCCTAATCCACACCCTTGTACCCGTTTTCTTCTCCGTTTCTTCCGGCCCGCCCGCTAACTACTCCAGTGAGGTCTGTGACATTTTTCCATTTTTATCTGATTCTTGGACTTGCGTTGCTTTTTTTCCCTTACGTCTAAATATAATACTGTATGTGCAGTTGGGAGTGTTAACTCCGACTGGCTTATCATGCGGACTAGGGCTTCGGCTGGGCCAAGCGAAAACAGGGAGAGATCCACCATATCGGCAGAACCGCGGGCAATCATGAGACCATTGGACCCTGAGCAGGTTAATGACTATCTTTGCGGATTTATGGATTTAGTTTTATTCTTGGCTTGAGGGAGATAAATCAGAAACGGACAAGCTTTTAGCCCTGTCTATACGTATTCGTCCTCCGCGCTATAGCTCTTAGACTACATTTCTCTCTGGGGAAAGGCTCAGAACATACGTAAGTGATGATGTTAGTACCTTGGCCTGTTTGGGAACTCACCTCCGGCTTGGGATTCCATAGCGGGTATTAGGTTCAATTGGGGAAATCCTGCGTTGATTGGTGGCTTTAGGTTCTTACTTTTCCCAAAATTATATCTTTGTTTTATTCCGTTTTCCTTCTTTTGCTATTACTGCAGGGCGATCTCGCCTTACGGTAAAAGTAAAAAAAAAAGTAAAAAAGATAAGGCATAAAAGGTCTAGCCCTGAGATCTCCAACGCTTCCAAGGTTCAGGTTTCAACGCTTTGATAATCCATTAATCATAACGTGGCTCCCTTGCTTGTCGGACTTTCGCTTTCTTGAAAGAGTACTTTGCACCGAGATTTCTTCTTTTTCCCCGAGATAACCCCTCGTAAAAAGTTACGTGGACGATGGAGGTATACACGAGGATTGCCTCCACATGAGTAAAGATACCCTAGTGAACTATTCAACCGAACCTAGATCTTCTGTCACGTCTGCTTTGAACATTCCAAATGATTTACATGGGAGCCCAGGGGGTGAAAGGGACTGGCCCGTGCAACTATTCGTATTCGTGTTCATCCGCCCCGCTCCGAGAATCCATTCGCGGGGACTCTCTCCAGGGCTGACTTTCCCTCTACGTTGTAGCACACGTACTCCGTAAGTCGGTATATAATGAAACAGACTGCTTTCAGAGGTTAAAGGGGAGTGACATGTTTAGCAGAGATAGAGCGACAGATCTGATATTGTAATGGCATTATCAACCGTGTACCGAGAATACTCTATGTCATATCAATTCCATTTCCATTCATTTCCCTCGTTTCTCCCGCAAATACCTCGTGGCAACGCCGATCAAGCCAAGCTTCAATCTTCCGATCTACTGGAACTAGCGTCAGAATTATGTTGTCCAAAATTCGTGGCTGGAGGACGCGGACCGTTTTGGGGCTTTCTCAGCCGAGAGGTGATTTGCCTATACTCGATCTCGGACGGGGCCATACGTATGCAGCCTACGTATATCCACGGTAGACGTATATCCGGTAGTTCGGGATGTCTAGTGCAGCAAATGCGCTTCCGTGCTTGTTTCGACTAAGGATTTAGTGTTCGGATTTAGTGTTCGAGACACTTCTCACTCGCCGAGCTTACGCCACAGGCTTGATTCGTCAGGGCCCTTGTACTCGTCTTGTTTCGAGGTGCCTGGAAAGACCCTGTTTTTTATTTTCCCTTGTTTGACTAGGATGCAGGGCCTCGTGGCCCGCTTACTACGATGAGACTAGTCTGGCGTGGACCAGTAGCATAGCGGGTGCTATCATCACCGTTCCCGCTTAGCGGCATGGGATACCCTAATTGTGCTAACTACAACCGCCACTTTTTTTGGCCCACGCGGCCTTTTTATATGCTTACGTGTTTCAACCCTTAACCCTTGAGCTAGTTAGTTAGGGCGTACGGAGTACGGTGTGCGAAGTATAGAGGCGCAGAAAATTTCACTTGAACCCCGACACCGGAGATTTTATATCCGAATGTCCGACCAAAAAGAATTTGATCTCCACTCGGTTTCCACCATCTTTCCCATCTTCGAATCAGAAGGGCATTTTCAGCTGCCGCCCGTCCAATTTGCTGCCTGATGTCCAGATTACAGTCGGTAAGCATGTGTAAGCATATGTAAGCCAGGTAATGTTCACAAGTCACCGGCATTTATGCTTAACTCCATAGAGACGATCCGGCAGATGCCTTCCCGGCCATCTCCCAGCGTGGAGCCTTTCGCTTCCACACTCGTGTTCGGATGCTTTCGCGCTATTGATCTTGTGGTCTATTTCGAGGATCTGGAGCCACTTCTGGGTAATTATGGACCTGTGCTGAGTCATTTATCTAGGATTCTAGTTCCTGGGCATGCTCAACATATGAACAGGTTCCTGGACCCCTGCTTACAAAGCGGAGGAAAATCGCCCGGGCTATCATCCGTATGTGACTGTGGGTATGGACTTGCCATACATAACTCAGGGCTAACTACGGAGTTCCATTCTCCAAAATGGATCAACCGGTCCCTTGCAATGGTCTGAGCGCCCACGTATGATAACCCCAGGTATCGCAGTTTAGGCTACTGTCAAACCTGGGAAATCCATTGAATATTCACTTTGCCTCGGGGAGCTCTGTTCTTGCCCGTCCCAGTAAGGAGACACACATTCTAATTCCTAACATATGTTTTGTCGTATTCCGAGACATTTGATAATTACATCTCAAGTCAACCAAACTGTATATCGAACGACTCATCAGATCTCGCGTAGTATCCGTCATCTCTCAACAATTCCCTCCTATTCCCCAGTTATCTAAGTTTATGTGCCCACCTTGAATTCGCGCACCCAATTGTATTTAGTGGATTGTTGTAATTGACATTCGTACTAGTAAACAGGAAAACACAATAACTAGCCCACCTTCTCAAAATAAACATGCTATCAATATCCGGCCACGCGGAATAGGCATAATCATAACCTCCATTATCATGCGCCACCTTGCCAATAAATAAGGGTTCGGCCGGATCTGGTCATTGGAGGTGGAGCCGAGGACGTATAAAAATGGATGACGAGAGCGTACAACGTACTCTAATCTAAGTGCACGCGGTGATATGTGGCTGAGAGAGGCGCAGTTCATACCTGACGCGAACACCTGGGTAATCCACGACAACGACTTTAGTACAGCGATGCAGAGAGATCCGGTCTTGATAAGATTGATTTACCTTGATTTTTTGCTTGTTTTCCGTCCCTTATTGGCTGCCAAGCAGCCATTGAGCCTTAGCGTCTCTACGTATGGTGTACTATGAATGAAGCTGCGTCAGCAGAAACGTCATTTTGGTGGGCTATCTATGCTCCATACTGGTGTCGCGCGCATCAAGGGAAATTACTTCGAACAGAGGTTAGCCCCTGCATATTTGGGTGGGGAGATATGGCGGCTACCTAGAGATGGTGGTGGGAGTCTCGGGGAGTTTTCGGGGATTCGCCGAGCGGAGAGGGACGAATACGGAATGGGGGTCGTATTGCGTGGAAGAGGGGTTATATTGTTGGTTATCTTAATTATAGATGTTCGTGGAATTCCTAACACCGTTCTTTCTATGATGTTAGACGTTGGTTCTACACCTAATATTATGATTGCTGGACTATTGACTGTCAGTGTGCCGGTATCGATACAACCACGGGTCTCTTGCGAACACCCCTTAAACTGAAACGTAGATGAGACAGCTAGGCTTGGAAAGCTAATAAGGTGAGACATCTGGTTACAAGCTAACGGCTTCGGTGCAGTCTAAGGAATACCATGCCCCGCGAGATTGACTCTTGTTTCATCATTCCCACTTCCCCTCTGATCTTGATGTGGTTAACCAGCAGAATACAATCGAGTTGAGTTCTTCAAACGCAGGTAATAGGTATAGCCCTCAAATAATTTGGACACACATTAAGTAATAGAACCATGCTGACATTCATTTATCAATCTCAGACTGAACAGACAAGTTTCTACGTCCAGTCCCTCCTCTCCAAATCATGCAGTACCTTGATCGTAACTCTTCATAACCACCTACCTATGTTCTGGACGCTATACCATGCAATCAGCCAAAGCTAATCGTCTAGCCTGCCTTTCCCTCTATTTCTCCTCTTCGTCCTTTATCCCATACCCGAGAAGGAAGCAAGTCCACCCTTCTCTCCAAGGCCGAGACCCGCACGCATGTCATCCGACCTCGAAATGAAAGCGAAGCCGTTCGGTGCGACACACGGGCACCAGCACCCGGGTCCTGCGTGTGACGAGTGGCCACGCAACGTACAGCAAACACAATGCGGGGTTTGTCAAGAGACAGGACTTTGTGTGATGTGACATATCCTGAGGCTCGAGGGCCAAAAAGGGTCATGCGAAGGTCCGGCAGAATGGAATCGCGCATCTAGACTACTGGATGGCTTTCTTCTGGTGGAAGGGGAACAGGAAGGCTTGCATCGCTCTCGGAGTAGCAATCGGCATCGCGGGAGAGACAGATTCCGCTAGACCTGCGAATGCCGACGGCGACCAATTCTTCTATGCCAGAGCTCGAGGCGTTTGGAACTCTGTCTTGCTTGGCTTGGATTCCTCGCGGACCAGTCTTTTGCTCGCGGACCAGTCTTTTGCTCGCGGACCAGTCTTTTGCTCGCGGACCAGTCTTTTGCGTCGCGTTGTCAAGTGCTGCGTGGCATGATACAATGAAGAAGATAGGAAATGCGATGCAAGGCAATGAATTCAAAGTCAGGACAAGTACGGAGTGCAAAAAGGGAAAGGTAACCCTTGACTTTGGCGTTATTAGCACCACACTCTAAGCAACCGAGTTATAGAACCCGGTTGTTCCTTCCAAGGTTGGCAACTATTTGGCTTTATCAGGAAAGTACAAGGTTAGGGCTGAACTTTACAAAAAAGGAAAGCGCGTTTCACATCGTTTCTCTACCTATACCTACACATGGATAACAGGGACCAGGGGTTGCTCGATTAACGAGGCACCTTGGGCTGTTTCCATCTTCTGTCCTCCATACCAATTACAATTCCTCATCTGTCATACCTTCACTATCATGAAACTCGTCAAACCACCCGATTGGTTCTAGTTCTATCACATATATAACATATGCATGGTCCTGAAGAGATAACCCCATAGCATTATCTCCACTATACGAAGCTACAGCCATTATATTTTCCAAGATCCAAAAGTTGACTGAACCCTAGTGGTGTAATTATGACACCACTCGCTAGGGTCCAATTGAGGCTCTGTTCAAGTTTCATGCCTTTACCCACACCATCTGACACAGCTTCCAATAAGTGATTGACCGCCGATAAACAGTACATGAATAATATATTTAGAATATGGTCGACAACATGCCTGGCCGATCTGAGATTCGATTTACCGATTCGATTTCCAGCGCTGTTCATGCAATAGCAAACTAAAAACGGACTCAGACCAGTGGAGTCAATTTCAGGGAAGCTTTCGGCCGGCTATCCAGAGTTGGAAAATTCGCCGATGAAGGATGGGGGCGGAAATGTTTTCCCTTGCTCCTCAGCCTATGAGTCGAGTTCTTGGTTTCTTCATTCACCATCGACACTGTCCGAGAATCATTGAAATTCAGCCGCAATCAGATTTCCTTGTTCTACTCTCGGCATCCAAACACCTGGAAGTCTCTGATCAACAAAATGAATCGCATCGCTTTCAGAACCCATGTTGTGGGTAGCGATTGCGGAGATAATGCGGAGCACTAGGGGCTCCATTCGAGGGTGGGTTTGCAAGTCTTAGGGTCGAGGCTATTTGTAGCGAATCGGGCTCTCAACCAGACCGCATCGGGTCATCCTCACAGGGCATACAAATTCCACGGACCTAGACAGCTTAAAAGCGCTAGGATTCATCGTCTCATTGGCCTATGCAGCGACGCGCTTGTTAATCTTACTTTTGTGGAAGACCTGGTCCAACAGTCTTCAAACGAGACATTAAGAACGGGGCTGCTTACTATCCTCGTTCCGAACTCTCCCGCCGTTTCACTGTGATTCGCTCCGTCTAGGCTGTGCAGGGGACTGTATCGGCCCATATATAGGCGCTGTATAGTAAGTACAATATATAGTGCGGTTAACAGGCGCATCGCAACAATCTCTTGAATAGCCTCATGTCAGAGTCTAGAATCGTCTAAAAATAACCAAGTACCCTGATAAACAAGATCTCAGTACGCTTCTCGCTTAAAATGCAATTAAGCCCCCAAATAAGCAAAAGCGCAGACCGACATGCCAAGCAGCTAACCAGTTTACGATAGGGCTAGGAAGAACAGTACACTGCCCAAGTGGACCCCTCTATTTCAGCCCCATGACCCCTTTTCCCTATTTTTATCTGTAGGATGTTCTTGCTTTAAGACGGTTGTCGTTCTTTTTTGTTTTCCGTGTCTGTACGGAGTGCAAGTTCCACGATGGCTTCGTCGTGGGAGTCGCAACACTCGCTGCTATCCGAAGATTCGATCGACGCTCGACCCCAGCGTTCTTGGAATCCACTCAACAACCGCCGCACTGACTCGGAGTATCGCTACCATCCGCCCTCAGAAACCACATGGTCTGAAGAAGTCCTGCACGAGATTGGGCTAGGCATCTCGTCCGCCGACGCCATTCCAATAGAACTTCCGGGAGACAATCGCCATTCAACCGATAGCGCTGCGACTACAACTCCATATACCTACAAGATCCCGCAATTTTCCCAGACTCCGACTCCGCAGACTCCACATGCCCACTCCCACGTGCGGTGCCCTAATCGAGGAACGGTCCTCCAAAAACGGCTCTCCTGGGTCCCATTGACAGTCTTGGTTCTCGCTGTCTATGCCACCGTCTTTTCAGGTATCTTTCTCGGCATTGCGCTGCGTAAGCCCCGATGGCGCAATGTGTCCGGCGATGGACCAGTGGCTCCATCTACAGCAACCTTGTTGAGCTCGGCTTTTGCAAAGACGATCGAATTGTCTTATGTTACGATTTGCGTCGCTTTCCTAGGCCAGGTGCTTAGTCGGAGGGCTTTGATGAGGGATTCTCGAGGAATCAGTATCTCGGATATGAATATGAGGGCCTGGATTATGCAACCCGGATCTATGATTGTGCATTGGGAGGCGCTGCGATATTCGGCGCTCACTTTCCTTGGGGCGATTGCACTGGTTTCGACGTTCGTGGCGATGCTATATACCACCGCGGCGCAAGCTTTGGGTAAATTATTCCTCTTCCACAACTTATGTCAAAGACTAATCAACGACAGTTGCTCCAAAGCTCACTCTTGGTCCTATCGAGCCAAGGTTACTCGAGGGCAAGGTAACCTCCAGCTTCGCGAACCCAAAATACATCGCATCGGACTGCGCGACACCCGTGACCAACGAAATGGACCCGGAGTATCGCAACACAACCTGCATTCAGATTGAACATGTCGGCCACGCATATCACAACTACCAGCAATGGATAACCCAATGGAGCGAGGTAGTAAGCAGCCACAATGATACCTCAAACCAACTGCGAAAGCGCCCACAGCCGACAGGCTCACTATGGGACAACACCACAATAACAGGCAGCTGGATTGATATCCAAGATATGTCCGCTCTGTCCAAGAAACACGGCCGAATGGTCAACAACATAACAATGGCAATGCCGCATGGCGGCATCCCCGCCGCAGCAATGAACTCCAAAAACAAACTCAAACAACCCACAGACACCTCCGGTGAAGGCAAATACAACATCGAAGCCTCCGTCCCCTCGCCAGCCATTAATGTCCTCTGCACAGGAATGACGAAAGACGAGCTCAAACCCCTAGTCTACTCCACCTGGCCCGGCGGTCACAAATTCAACATGACGACGTGGAGTACCTCACCCCCAGACGACATCCCTCGAGCCCCATCCTGGCTGAACCGCACAGTCGTCGACTCGCTCTTCCAATTCGGCCCGAAATACGGCCAAGTCCCACCCGTCTTCGGCAAATACCCACTCCCATACAACACGATCCTCAACACAACAGGACCCTGGCCCGCAAACGCCATCTACCTCCTCGGCGCGACGCCGCCATCCAACGACAGCCACATGCCCGAGTACGTGATGTGCTCTATGCGCGGGAAGCAAACCGGCGTGTGCTCGACCAAGTACTCCGCCGACACAAGCGGCGCCTTCCTCGGCACAAACTGCGAGAGCGCCTCCAACGACCTCCAATACGACCGCCGCCAAGACGTGTTCTACGAGGGCGAGTGGAACCCAGACTGGAAGAACATCGCAGCGGAGTGGGCGAGCGCGCTCAGTCTGAATTCGGGTATTTCAGACGGCGCGGCCAGCAACGCCAGACTGCTGATGCAGATGATGCCACAATATAACAAGAAAGAAGGGACTTTCGCGCTGGACCCGACTCTGCCGTCTATCGGCGAGGGGCTGGCGGTCATGGCCGGGAGCACGCTTATTCTCAGCTCGCAGAACGCGCCGTTCGTGCCGTTTTGGAATTACAGCATTGAGAATAATAATGTGCTTCCCGAGCCTGTTTACCAGGTCTTTAATGCTTCCATCCAGGCGTTTGGGTATGCTTCCGGTCCCACGGAGAAGTGGCAGGGGATTTTCTACGTGATTCTTGTGTTTGCGTTCCTGACCAGCGCCATCTGTCTTGGGTTTATGATTTTCGAGGCGCGCGGGCGGCAGGTGACTGATTTCACGGAGCCGCAGAATCTGTTCGCGCTTGCGGTGAATAGTCCGCAGACGACGCAGTTGAAGGGTGCTTGTGGGTGTGGGCCTTATGGGGACCAGTTGAAGGAGAGGTGGTTTATTGGGATGGAGGAGGATGATGAGCATTATTATATTCGAAGTAAGGCGGAGGAGAAGATTCCGTTCGTGCATAAGTCGATGGACTCGACGCATTTGGAGCCGATGGAGATTGATGATGGGGGTGGGAGGATGCTCAGCCCTATGGTCAATGAGTTTAGGAAGGTCTCGAAGCGCCATTCGTTTTTGGCGAGGCTCTATTGAAGAGATTCCTAGTACATCTCCATTTGGCGGTTGGATGCTTATGATCCATCACTGATTTACGATAATGGTTGAATGTAAGGAGTAATGCATATGACGACAGGGCATTTCAATAGCATGGCTGGAGCATGCGCTTGATTTCAATAAGTGATTAACACTAAGATCGAGATATGTACAAAATAACATGAACACAACACCCATACAAGAACTAGACCGGCACAGTACCGGCATAGCCCTCGAAGTCAAAAAAAAAAAAACCGGTTCAACAGGTGTGGCACAACGCTCGGGAATCGCTCATACACACAAACAAAAAACGAGGAAGATGCTGGATACAGATAAAAATGCAGCATGTCAAATGCAAGGACAAAAAACAATGGGCTTTTTCAAGACACCAGTAGCCACGTAGACGCCATGAAAGGAATGAATGAGGGAGATAAAGAGATTCGCCAAATGACCTAGCGAGGTGAGGTATTTTCTGAGGAAAGAGAGTGAGAGTATGGGAGAGTTGGGCTCCAAATAGACTCTGAGTCGGAATAGGCGACCGTGTATTCAACGATCAGCCTTGAGATTGAGCCAGCTCATATCTGAATTGGTATTGTTCTTCGGCCCTTCCATCGGAAGTTCATCGATATCGTGTGGTATGATGACGCTGGATCGTCGTGCATTGGACTGCCTTGCCTTTTCCGCGACGCTGGCATTCGATGATTCCCAGGGCAAATCTTGCGTGCTCGATTGGTAGAAGCTGGTAGTGTAGTTGCTGCTTGTGGGACGTCCAAGCCAGCTGTTCTGGCCCGCACCTTGCCACTTTGGATCATCGCGGTCGTCGTGGTCGTCGTCCGAGGTGACACTGATTGAATCTGCGCTGGAGATGCGTGCCGATTGGCTCTCGGGAATCACCAGGCTTCGACTGCCCGTCTCAGATGGGCCATTTTCCGTGGTCGGACTGCCGCTGAAAACCTGGCCGAGGGGCTTGGGCTCGTCGAGGAAGCCAAAATTCAATGGTGTCAACGTGGTCATCGGCCAGGCGCTTCCGCGGTAATCGGACTTGGTGTATCCGGAGCTGATAGTCGAGCGGTTGGATTGGTAGTTGGTGGCACCGCCGTCCTCGAAATACTTCCCCCACCCTTCATCAGTCAATCGGTCAGCGGCTTGGTTTCCACGCCCGGTGTCATCGCCGACGTTGCCGTCGTCGGTGTATATGGTTGGTGGGCCCATAGCACCGCTGGAGGGAATTGTAGAGAGTGGACTGCTGGTCTTGGGCTGAGGAGACAATCCATAGCCCGTATTCGTCGGTGGCTTGAGGGATTTCTCTCCGTAGTTGCCGGACATGATAGCCAATGAGTCGACCGAAGCAGCGGCTAGTGGGACAGGAGATCTTGCCATGGGGTAAGCGCCTTCGGTCAGGGGTTCTATGCCTTGATCCTGGAAGCTTAGGCGATCTTTATTATCGCCACCACCACCGCGGCCGCGACCGGGTTGGGCAAGCTGCTTGTCTTTCTTGCGTCGCAGTATGAAAAGAATCATAAGCAGTATCAAACCAAATCCTAGGATACTCCCAAGAGTTGCGCCAAGAATCACCTTGTCATGTTCAGTCAGGGTGCCACTTACAGCCGCAGCTGATGTTGATGAGGCGGGCGTAGTTGAGGTCGCGGTTGCTGTGGATGACGAAGTTGATATCGAAGTAGACGTGGTGGATGGTTTGAGGACATCTTGATCTCCTGTTCCATAAAACAGCTCGGTAGAGTTGACCCATGCGTTCGAAGTCTGGTTGAAGATTGCCAATGATTCATTACTTTTGCCGCTGGCGAGAACGACAAGGCCATTACTACCCTGGGCGAGCGTATAATCAGACCAGGATACTGTCGGGGCGAATGTGCTGTTATAAGGATCGGTGAGACCCCTCTTTTCCGATGATCCGATGACTGTAACCGGGTTCTGCGCCTTTCCCTTCGAGCTGAGAAGGTAGCTAGTGGCACTATTTGGGGAAGCAACCATCTTGAACTCCTCGAGGACCTTGGTCCCGGAGTCGGAAGCGAGCGCGCATAGCGATGAGGATGCGATTGGATTGGGGAGAGTCGTATTGGAGATGGCCCAGCCTTGCTTATCTGCAGCCTCGTAGATGAAGATACTAGGATTGGTGGCAGAGCCTCCAACCAAGGCTACCTCTGAAGAACTCCAAGGCAAAATGATGGGCTCATATAATGCCGGCGTGCCTTGGTCGACCGTGGAACTCACCTCAAAGGTAGACGAGTTTGTTGAAATGAGGTATGTCGACTGAGAAACCTGGGTGCTACCGTCTGTGTTTCCTGCGTAAACCAGTATTTGCGAGGTCGAGGATATGTATCCAACGCCATGTCCAATCCGATCTTTCATCTCCGTTGATGGTAATGTCTCCCACTTTCCTGTACTGAACAAGAAGCGTTGGAGGCCGCTACTGCCGGAGGAGCCGGTCCCGCCGACCAGGTAAAATGCTTTCTTGTCTTCGTCATTTTCGATGTTGTCAATTCCACCCTGGACGCAGGCAGGGCCAGTAACCATATGCTCCGGTGACGGGAGCTTTTTCCATCCCTTATTCTTTTCGAGGGGTATTTTTGCAAAGCCAGTCGGCGAATAGACGTAGAAAGTATTGTTGTGGATAGTGGAGCAATCGCCCTGGATCTTGATTAGGGGTTCGGGTCCAGTCATGCTGAATGGTCCAAATTTGATTGTTCAAAGTCGCAACAGATTCTGGACCAGTAATGAAGGTAGGTGGCCAGCCAGAAAAGGACTTGAACTACCCAAATTAGAGAAGTAAAAGGTGACTACCAGAGCACTATCTCATCTCGACCGCCGAGGCAAGTGAGTGAACAAAGGCAACAGACCACACTCGATTTGAGCTAGTTGACGCGACAACAGGCAACGTGAACACAGGTTTCTCGGCTGTTTTCCGCGCGGTTAACTGCGCTTTCAAGTTCTCCGGATGAACCTCAGGTGGATCGCGTATCGGATGACGCGGCGACTCGGGATGGCACAATCAGGGTAGTGGTTCAGGTTGTCAACAATGAGAATCACAACACCAACGCGTCGGTCAAAGAGAACATCGAGTAATCACAAAAGTCTGTGGGGCTGGGCGATCTAGTCGAAAGGTAGAAAACGAAGGAAGGGCCAACAAAACCCGATTAAGCGAATGAGGGGTGGTTGGCAAAAAAGAACGAATGCTAGAATATCAAGGTGCGCAGCACGAGGGTAAACTCAGAGAAGGGGAGGTAAAAGGAGAGGCAGAACAGAGACAGAAACCACACGATCTAAGTGAAACAGGGAGGAGGGCCCCTCAACCCCCTAACGGAGGAGGTTAGCAGACGGGTTAGGGGGGGTTAGCGAACAACGCCATCCCTTAAGGGGAATAATATCGTCATTTTCAATTCGTCAGGTAACTTTCCCGTTAATTTGGTTTTTTTCACTTTAATTGGGTCTGATACTCATTCTTATTACTTTATTCGCTCTGATTGGTTCGTTTCGCCCTCATTGCTCCTCTTCTATATTGATCAGGGGGGTTCCCGACAAAGTGGGACACCTCTCGTTGTACCTGGACCCCCGTTTTACAGCTTGGCTTTGACTTCCTAGATTTCCAATTCTTCTAGGGCGAATCTCGGGATATACAACAGCAAGGGAGACTGCGGATGTAACACATAGCAATATTCTGCACATAATAACAGAATCGAAATAAAATAAATCAGTTAAAACAAAACAAAACAAAATAAAAATAAACAACCGCTCTTCTGAACCTTGGTATTCCCTCAAGAGACCGTGGTTCCTGTCCGTTGGATCCATGGAAATTTCAAAACTGTGGCGCCTTGGCGTCCCACCTCCAAGGTTCTTCCTCTATAATTCCACTTTCCTATACAATGCTGTACAAAGTATAGGACACTCTAAGCCTCAATATCAAATGTTGCCTCAAGGTATCCATTCCACATCTGACTCAGGGATTATCAAAATCAGCGATGCCCTGTTTTGTAAACCGGAAGAGCTCTAGGATTTCTAATTTCACTCACAAGTGTACAGCATATAGACCAATTTTCAATTCATACGATTAACGAATATTAACTCATCCTCATGTCCCTAGAATCTCGGCTTTCTGCAATCATTCCACGCCCCTTTTGTACCCAAGTCCAAAGATCAACTATTACGCACGAGCATGTGCTAATTGTGCCGTAGAAATTCTTCCTGCCAATTTCGTAAATGTGATCGACAGGCTGATCAGAAATATGGCACCCCACTATTTAAAAGAGGGTGCTAGTTAGGGTCTAGGCCTAACGTTGACATCGATCCGAGCGAGCACTTACTGTTCTTGGTAGGATTGGAAGGTAGGTAGTTGTATGAAAGTGACGCTGACCTATGCAGTCTCAATGGCTGTAATCGAGACTATGAAAATTGTATAGAAATCAGAACAATGTGAACGGTAAGTTCATCAACTGAAAGCGAGAAGGATGTGTGGCGCGTCACTGCTCTCGTTGTTGATAGCTCATCAGGGTCGAACATTAGTTAGTACCTTGATGGTAGTTGTATGTCTAACTGACTCAAGTTACTATCCCCGAAAGAAGTTGTTCGAGTCGCCTTCGTTCTATGGCTATGATCCTCAATGAACGTAGTTGTATTGTTATCACCATTATTTTCAAAGACTACGAGAATATCCATATTTACTTCAGGTCTTAGCGTCTGCAATATATATTTTCTGTTCGATGTCCCGTTTTGTGCGCAAATCATTCTATATATAGACGTCTCCGCTGGAGTACAGGTAGTCTGGCTCAAAGATGGACACGCATAAAAGATTTTCCAATGTGCATTTACCTTGAAACCATCAGCCACAGACAAATTAAACACTTGATGCGTCTGAAAGTGGCGTTTCTGGCAAGAGTTTAAATGAAGTCTCTACAACATATCACATGTTCTAATCGGGGCATGCGATTATCGACTATAGATAGCCGCCAATAGGCACAACGGATCATCTAACAATAACGGATCGCTCATGATCGACAAGTTAGCTGTCGATCTCTCCTACGAAGGATCAATATGCCCATCGTGGTCGATGTTTCGAGTGTCATTACTCATTTAATAGGACTTCGTTAACATTGAGCTATATATATATCCGATGTCACTACTTGAGATGTCGATCGAGCGACCCTTTACCTATGTACATGGTAGTAAAAATCAAATTATCTGAAACAAAAAACAGACTATGTTCTATATAGGAATGGATTGTTCAAGAACGTGCTATATATGTTGTAGGATAGAGTGAAAGGAAGGATTTCGGGAGTGAGGGATAAGATATGGAGCATGCATGGGGCTGTGGAGCTGTGGAGCTGATATGCATGTACTCCGGATGTTTCGGGAAAATGTCTCAGTTCTCCGTGTTTTGATGATACAGATTAGGCATTAATGTGGATAGAACTACGGAGTATCCAAGAGCTGTATGTACACATCTACTCTTATCTCATGATCTGCTTTGTGAGCTGTTCTAGTATCAATGGCGGATGACTTCCTGTTTAGATTCTGAAAAGCCTTCCGATCTCTAATTCAGCCGACGCAGGTACCATTACAGAGATGTACCACAAAGCCAGCCCCGCCCTCTGGAGGATTTGATATGGCCAGCATGCACGACATCCATACCGCATACTTGTCTAAATGTAGGGGACAGCTAATTTGGACCCTACATATCGATTCGTGCCGCTTAGCCGGCGAAACCGATTCGATCGAATGAGACAGTGTGGTTCGGTTTCATTGTCACACGCAGATATCGAAAATGGTATTCTGGTCTGTATTATAGCACATGAAGTCCGTCCTCGGAGTGGGCTTGGATGGATATTTTCATGATATAAAGATCCAAGGTGTCAAAGCAGGGGCAAATATGGGAATCAATTGATTTTGTAAAATGAAAGCTACCACGCGCTTCAAGACTGGTTCTGCTGCTTCCATTGGTGTGCCTTTTGGAGCAGACGAGAAAGATTGGCCGCAGATTGATCGTCTGCAGGGAAGACATGGTCTGTGTACTCCTCGTACTGGTCGTCCGCCAACTTGCGGCGCTTCTTGACAAGTCGGGGCATCTGTTTATCGATCTTTTCAATATCCTCGCGCGATCCAACCGCATGCTCGAATTCTTGCCAGTTGTTGAGAATATCCACACGCTGTACACATGTTAGAATAAGCCGAACACCGTGTAAATTATGGGAATAGCAACTTACAGAATCCGTGAGACCCTTTTCTTTGAGCACCTTGTGTGCCCGAGCAAAGACTGCACGCGCGCGGGCCTTTGCGTCTTCGGTAATACCTCCCTCCTCTTCTTCGTCCTCTTCCTCGCCCGGCACAGAGGCTTCGAAGCGGCTGTAGTTGACCCATACCTTGACGTGATCGGTTTTCTGAAGGAGACGTTCGTACAATTGTCGAACTCGGTCATACTCGCCTTCTTCATCTTCAAAGTCAATGTATGCCTTCCACACAAGCTCGGGCATGTCAAGGGTCGGTTGCTCGATGCCAAGCTCGAAAATGGCCCTTGTCCGTTCCGCGTCGTCCAGATCATGCTCCAGCTTCGCGAAATGCATCCACGACTGGCTGTTGGAGGGGTCCCATTCAATTTGCTTCTGGAACAAAGTGCGGCACCGCGCGAACTCGAACAACCGGCGTTCGATGCTGATATAGCCACGGAAAATTTTGTCTTTCGGACACATTCCAATAGCTTGACCCAATGTCTTCCGTGCTGCTTGTAGTTGCATCTGGCGAACTTCAAACTGTGCCTTCAAGAGCCAGACTTTGCCGAATGTGAACTTCTTGTGCGGGATTATCCTCAGACATTCCTGATAGATTTGTCCAGCGCGTTCCATGTCCTTCGCTTCCATTTCTTCCCACACGGCGTAGAAGATCCATAGATAGATGTACCGGCGCCAATATCTTTTCTCTTGTGATGGGGGAATCTGTGCAATGGCCCGTTCGTAGATGTCCCGCACCCGCTCTGGGTCACCCGCAGTTTCCTCCAATCGGGCAAAGTCAAACCAAATGTCATAGTTGCGAGGGTTCTCCTTGAGCTGCTCTTCATACTGCACTCTGCGTTTGGACAAAACCACATCCTCTACACCTTCACGATCACCGTATTGCTTTTCGAAGGTCGTGTAGGCCTTGTGAAGAAGCATAGCCTTGGATCGCGGAAGCCGGTCTAGGGCATACTTGTAAATCGCTCGTGCTCGCTCATACTCCTTCAACTTAGCCTCGAATTTGGCATATGCGACAAAGAGCTTCTCGTCCATGAAGTCCTCCCCTAACGTTTCGATAGCCACACCGTAGACCTCGCGAACTAAGTCACTTGTGCCGTACTCTTCCTCGAAGCGGGCCCATTTGATCCAGTTTCGAGGCTCGGGGTGGACGACGGTAAATCGCTGGAAAATGGCACGTGCTCGTTCGAACTCGCTATATCTCTTCTCCATTTTGATGTATGCGCCCCACGCACCCTCTTCCGGCTCCCATGAAATCCATCGCTCGAACACTTGACGGGTACCAGGGATGTTGCCTAGTGTCTCCTCCATGTAGACATACTTATACCAGAGCTTGTCGATGCGGGGGAGGATAGTCACGGCGCGGTCGAGGAGGTTGCGGGCATGATTAATATTCCGGGTCTTCATCTCAGCTTCGATGTAGCGAATCCAAAGCACCACCGAGGT